AGAAGTTTATATTTAACAGGTGAATTCCAGTGAAAGCCAAGCTAAAGATAAAAAGCACTCTGCTAGAAAACTTTCAGGAAGACTTGTTCTTTCAGTTTAACTAGTCAGTTGAAGTCTGGTAGTTAAGTTTCCCATTGTGAGGCTTGCTTTCTGAATCCCAGCTTTGAAAGGTGAGAACAGGATGATGTAAAACGTCATAAAGTAAGAGATGGTTTAAATAAATTTCCTTGTGGGAGAACATCCATCACATTAATTTCAGTTCTCAGGTGCAATGAACTGGGTGATAAAGATCATGTTTTTCTGCAGAAAGGGAGTAGAGAGAAGTCCCATTCCACATTTTTAGGAATTGGATTGGATACTGGTGCATCCAACAAGGGTTCACCTCATGCTTAAAATTCAGGGTGGAAAGTTGAATAGAAGTAAAGGGAAGGGTCTGTATCCTTGAAAAATCAGGGGGGCTGAAAACAGTTGGGTCAGGAAATTTATCCTGCTTTTTAAAAGGTAAACAGACACAGTGAATGTGGGAGAATAACAGGGAAGAGCTCTGAAATCAAATGATTGAGATAAGAGAAATGAGAATTCTTTTTCGTGGATTACAGCATTCCTACATTAATTATGTTGTTTTCATTTTAAACGGCTGCTCCTTTTGAAGTTTTAGAACAAATATTCAGAATACAATAAATCATGTTCTTCCAGCTGTGCCACTTGTACCTTGTATGATTTGGTTAATAAGGAGGAGCGGTGGTGCAAAGTACCTGCCATTAGATTTGCTTGGTTGTTTGGTGCAACAGTCATCTCCTGTATGTGTATATATGGCTTCCTAGTTTTTTTTCTCTCTATTTAAACCTTTTTCACAATGGCAATTGACCTGCTGTGAGGAGAAAAGAATATGTATGCACATGCACACACATCCCCACACTCACTCTCAGAAGGTATAATTGTGTGGGTTTGGGCAAGCTGGATTTCATGTTTTCCTGTTGCACTAGGAGCTAAATGAAGTTTCTTCACTGACCTTTGAATTTTCACACTTAAATACTGTGAATTGAAATGTCTAGCTTCCTGTGCCCCATTATCTGAAAAACTTCAGTCTCCAGGGTGGAGATCTCTGTGGTTGATTGTGGTCTGCAGGTGTTGGGGTATTTTTTTATTGTAGATTCTAGTTTGCAGTACAATTTGTGGGAATTGGATCTTACGCAGGAAGCTGGCATCTATAATAACATGAACTTCCACAAAGCAGTTTTAATCTGGTCATCTTCAAATGAGTGAGGTGGCAATCTCTGAACTGTAATACAGCTCATATAATGAAAGAATGAACAAAGCTACTCGAGGTAGATGCTAATCTTACCACCTGATGCAAATGGGAAAGGTGCTTAGAAACTGGAGCAGTAAGGGAAGAGGCCAATAAAAGGTCACACAGGTAGAACTATTTTTCTCTGTCTTTTTGGGGTTTTGATCATTTTGCTGACTTCCTGGATTTGCATCAATTTCCATGTAAGAGGAAGTGTATGGCTTGGTGAACTTAATAAATCCTAGGGAGACAACTGCTTATTTGAAGGTAGGGCTCCCAGAACACTTGTTATCTGTTTGGTTTAGGAGAGGACAAAATATAGTGAAACTGAGTGTTTTCAGTAATTTAGAAGGGTTATTTTAAACAGCTGGATTAATCTTTGTCCAGGTTCTGATAAGGCAATTAAGTGTGAGTTTACATACACAAAGGTGTGTGTTTGCACATCTAAACTATAATCTGTTCATAATACACTGTCTTAACGTTCAGGCCAGAGGGAATGTCTTTAACCACTCCCCCAAGCTGTGCAGCTGACCTGAACACAGGAGATCTCAAGTAAGAGGCATCTGCACTTACGATGTGGGGGAGGTAGTGTTTGGTACCTGGTTGGGCATTCATTGGTACCTACCTACAGCTGAGTGGGTGGTATGTCAGTAATTACCTTGCTGCTTCCAAGTGTCATGTTCATAGAATAATGGAGTAGTTTGGGTTGGAAGGGGCCTCAAAGACCATCTAGTCCCAATGCCCACCCATTCCCTGGGTGGAGACACCTTCCACTACAGTAAGTTTTTCAAATTGCTCCAAGCCCCATCCAACCTGACACTTCCAGGCATAGGGCAGCCACAGCTTCTCTGGGCAACCTGTTCCGGTGCCTTGCTACCCTCACAGTGAAGGATTTCTTCCTTATAGCTCATCTCATCCCAGCCTCTGTCAGTTTAAAGTCATTCCTCCTCATCCTGTCCTGGCACATCCATGTGAAAAGTCCTTCTCCAGCTTTCCTGGAGGCCCCCTTCAGGTGCTGGAAGGTGCTTTAAGGTTTCCCTTCTCCAGGCTGAACAGCCCCAGCTCTCCCAGCCTGTCTGCAGAGGAGAAGTGCTCCAGCACTCTGAGCATCTTCATGGCCTCCTCTAGGCTTACTCCAGCACGTCCATGTGTTCCTGGTGCTGAAGAGCCCAGAGCTGAACGTAGCACTGCTGGGGGAATGTCTTTAAAAGCCGCTGCTCTGGTGTCATGACATTGCTCACTGCATCAGCTAAAAAGCCAGAAATTACTGTTTTCAACACAGGTGAAACTGAAGGACTGATTCAGATGGACGTAGAACTCTAATTTTTTTTTTTCGTAAATGGGTTTTAATTTTTACATCAAAATACTTTAAATAAGAAGTTTTCAGAAGTAATGCCTCTGTGCTATTTTTCTACTTTGTTGGAAAATCATGTATTGTAGATGTGACCAGAAGTGTGGCAGGTGTGAGGACACTGATTTTTGCCTCCAGAGTTCTGCTGGAGGGAGAGGGGTGCAGCCTGAGGAACTAGAAAAGGGCCAAGAAAATAGAACCTACTATTACATTTATCCTGTGGCTTACAGAGGAAGCTATGAGATGATTTGTTTGAAAGTTTGGCAAAGTATACATCGAGCAAACAGGCAAGTGGGCAGATGCCATTCATGTTAGCTCCTCAGAATATTTTATTTTTCTGAACAAGCATATTTACCATGTCATCTGGAAACTCTGGGATTTTGGAACACAATTTTGCATATGTGACAGATGAAATTTTAAGTCTTTAAATATGAGACATCACCAAACAAGATTGTTAGGGCTAGTTTTTATTCTATTTTTGCAGAAGAAACCTGGCACTTGCACTCACAGTTACCTAATCAGGGTGTAGCAAGATGGGTGGTGTAGCATGGTGGGTATTTTCTGACACTTTGTAAAATAAAGCTGGCTGTTGAGGACCTCAGATTGTTTTCTGTCTACATCATCCAGTAAGAAGAACATTACAAGTTATTTCAGTGATTTAAGTAACTTGTCAATTGGTGATAATGTTATTTTTATTTTTCTACAGAACAGAAGTCAAATAAAAACATCTTAGTAAATTTTGTTGTATCCTGAAGGTTTTATCATGCCTTGTATGTTGACTTTTTCCATAAAGATGAATAATAACAATGGCAAATGGTTAATGAAAATAATGCTTTGTGGAATGTGCCTATGAGCTAATGTGATTGACTGGTGGTTTTTTTATCTTGCTGAAATCGTGTTGTATTAGGTGATGAAGTACAGCATTGGTGATATTGGCTGCTTGTTATTAATTTTTGGCTGAAATCTTATGACCATTTATTCGATATTTGCACAAATCCTACAAATAAATTCTGCCCTGTAAATATTTCTAAAATTGATTTAGTCAGTTGGGTACTTTTATTTTCTACAGTTGTACCCACATAAGCATCTTTTTCATTGAAGTAATCTGGGAAGTGTCTCCTATTTCTCCATTATATTTTTATTTACATTTTCTACTTTGTGGGAAATTGGTAACTGTGTTGTCTTTGGAGGTTGTTAGCAAGTAGAGTTGAGCCTCCATCAAGGTGAAGTACCCAAGTATTCCAATTTTCATTTTGATAATTGCCTTTCTAGTTCCTGTAGAAGGTACATAGTGACTCAGTTTTTCTTTGATGGCTTGCTGATCTCTTGCACCTCTCTTTGATAGTGCAGTAGGTTTTCCCAGTTCTCTTTGCTGGCAAACATGGCTTGTGTTCACTGTGGTAGAATATGAGGGCCAGTGACCTGTTTCTGTCTTCTGTTAGTTATTAACCTTATTTAGTGTCTGTTGAATGCAGACATGAGTCCCTTGAAATAGTCCTACTATTATTTTCAGATACTCCCTTGGAGAGCCTTATTTAGTGAGCTCTGCATAGGTGAAATTGTAGTTCTTTTAGTAATATCTACATGAAAGGAAATAACACTGATACTAGTATCTTCTAAGAGACCTAATAAATTCCTCAGAAAAAATCACAGGTTCTACCTCTGGCCCGCTACTGGTCCCAGTAGCAAACAACCAAGCAAACTTTTCCAGTGTTCAGAATTCACATGTAGACCTGTGAGAAAGAGTTGTGATGGATGCTGTGCATCCATAATTGTCATTGTCAGCTCAGAGTTGTTATGTGTCCTAAGCACTTGTGGATCCCTGGAAAGAAAGGTGTCCAAAATTAGTCAATAACAGATTGCTGGTTTTATTTATTTATTTTTTTTTTAATGCTGTCTGTTCTTTCTTGGGCATCTTTATTTGCATTTAGTAATACTTCATAAGAAAAGGGAACCTTCACACGGTTCATTCAGGAATGCTCATAATGTTATTTTTATTGTACAAAAAAGAAAGAGTTCTGCTATTTCTATGGTAATGATATTGCCTAAAGTCTAATGGCAGAATAGTCAGAGCAAAGACAGAAACAATTCCTGATTTTAAGAAATTTTTACTTCTGGACTTTGACTGTAATTTTTTATTTCTTGGCAATAGGCAATGGAGAATCCTAGCTGTAGCCTATCTTCTCCTTACATTGTCCCTTCCAAATACTGAGGAATTTTGGAAGTATTTTAGGAATCATTAATGTTATGAGTAAAATAATAAGTGTCAGAGATTGGGCTTTTAACTCTGAATGCTTTCTAGGCTTCTCTATTGCTCTACATTGGAAAAAAAAGAGTTCTAATCATGTTTTTGTGTTTCAGGACTTAAAATGGCAGCAGAAGATTCCTACATTATGGGAGTATCTGATCCCCAAGTAAGTGAATTTCCGTGTTTTCAGTATCCCCATATCCTCTCCTGGCTGTCTGTTTGTCCTTCTCTCATACTGTCTTGTAGTTTCCTAGACTTAATATGGATATAGAAAATCATTCTGCATTGGCAGATATCAGGGCTTTTTTCCCTGAGCTGGTTTTTATGTGACCTGTAAAGTGTCTTGCCACTGGCTAAATGGCTGAAATGAGAAGGAAAGCTAGGCCTGCTGAATTAAACAGTTTAAAAAAATACTTATTTTTATACCCTGCATGCCTGTGACACCTCTCTGGAATTTCGTTTGTGGTGGGCATTGGAGTATTTCTGAAAATAAAACCCCTTTTGTCCTAAAAGGCCCTTTTGTGTAAATTTTTTTGATGTTTGCATTAACAGTGATGACTAAAACGTTGCTTCACTCATGCAGATCTACAGGCCTAGCTCTTCAGGAGCTCTTCCTGATCTTCTTAGATCATTCCATAAATTACTTGAACTGTGAGAATGGTGTGTGGGTGAAAAGCTTAAGTGAAGAACAGGTCATTTCTACTCACCTTAATTTTCAAAAAGCAGCTGTTTTCTCTTTTATGCTTGCTCCACTTTGGAAAAAGATAGATTTATATCTGACAACAATTACAGTAAGTTAGGACATAACAATGTTTAAAAAAAAAACCAAAAAACCAAAAACAAAACAACAACTTTTATCTGGATGTACTGTTTTCTCACATTAGAGCTTGTAAATATATTTACATAAGGAATATAGTCTGGTGGGGTTTGATCAGAGAAGTGGAAATGAAAACTCATAGGTTCTTAGTAAGACATCTAGGGTTAGATTTTCAGAATAGGTTCTTAGTAAGACATCTAGGGCTAGATTTTCAGAATTTACTGTCTAAGCTCATTAGGATTTATAGTTGTTAGTGCAGGTAAGCAAAGTGGGTGTTTGGAAACTGTGCTGAGGTTGGTGCGGTCTCATGTTTCTGGTGAAACTTGGGTCGGTGCTGTCAGTCTCCTTGCAGTGCTGTTGCCAACAAAAATAAAATAGCTATAAAATGTTTATGCAATTCAGCAAGGTGTTTGCAGTCTCAATATTTGCAGAGAACTTTGAAGTGCTTTGCTGATAGATGTTTTATGCAGCTGTGCATATATGTAATAATGAAGAGTATTTTCCTTCAATGTAGATGTTTACGGTGGATCAGTTCATGGGAATGAATGCTTTATTTAACAGCACGAATTACATCACTGCAGACTTACCACTACGAACAGGTAGGAACCCTCACTATTCCATGGTGCCATTGTCTTGCTCATTCTTCCTGTTTGTTTTCTTTTGAGAAGTCCTTTTCAGAGCCTTTTTTGTTTACCAACGTGTGTGTCAGAATGGTAGATTGCAGGTTGTCAACTAGTTTTTTTTTATTACATCTTGCATCTTTCTTCCCCTCATGAAACTTTCAGCAGTGAGACAAATGAGATTTTCTTGTGGCTTGTACAGAAACTGAAAGTTTCAGCAGTTTCCCAGGTGAAACCAGGACAGTGACCAAAGAGCTCTGAGTGACCCGATTTTATAAATTACTTTGCTGAGGCTTTTTTTCTGAATTTCAACCTTCAGCGAGTTACATGTTGCTATTGCCAGTTTGCAGACTGCAACCTGTGCTTCTTTTCCTTTTGAATGCTGTTGCACTTGTTGTAGTATTTCTTAAGGTGCTTGTTTTTCAGTAATAAAATGCAGAGAATATTAACTTCCTGTACCATTCTAATGTGTTTTTCCTTCTTGTTGACTTCTCTGTTTCCTGTGAAGTGGCAGTGTGGTAATAGAAGCACCTGACAATTTCCTGAACAATAACACTAGTTTGAAAGCTCATACAGATTTTGCAACAGACCACTGAAAATAAGCAAATGGTATTCTGCAAATGTCTGATAAGCAACTCTTACAGTATGCTTCCAGAACAGTAAGAACAATTACAAGTGTTTAATAGCTCAGTCAGTATCAGCTGCTTGATCAACCTTGGTCTGGTTTTGCTTATTAAAGTTCTTTATAAATATTAATTCTTGCATTAATTTGGAAAGCTCTCTTCTCCTGCTTAGTCTATTAGAACAGCTGATACAAAAGGAAGAAGGAAATAAAATTTAATTTAAACTTTTTAAGATTTTTTTTTCTCAAAATAAATCTCCAATATAGCTGTTCAAGTCTTTTAACATGACAGCTTTCTCTTGTTATCTGTTTGACTCTGTTGTATTAGGATGTAGCTGGTGTCTTAGGTATTGCAAATTACTTTAGTCAGTTGAAAGTGCAAACCACTTCTGATTGCAGGATTTGATACAGTTCACAGCAGTGAAAGTGTTAAGGGTAAAATGAAATAAGTATTTAACGTTTTCCTTCATAGGTAAAATTCCATCCTAAAGTAATAATAAATGCTGCTTATAGAATAAAAATTAAAGCAGGCTTACTGTTTTAGTGTTTCCTTGTTTTCTTAAAAGAGTAGTAGCAAGAAAGTATCAAGAAACACATGGTACAGACCATTCTGTTTCAAGATAAAATGTTCTCACGAGCAAAACTCTTGACAAATATGGAAAAACATCCAGCAAATGAATGTTGCAATCATTTGTTTACAGTGTATTTTTGTTAAGGCAGATAAGATCATTCAGTAAGATTCATCTGTGTAGTATTAAAGGGCTTGTACATTATAGACCAAGGGATTTTTTTATCCCAGTTTCTGTTGAACAAATAAGGTTATTGAAATTTCCCTGTAATTAGCTCTTTTACATGTACTTTTTAAGCTTACTCCGTATTTTTCATGCCAGACTCATTCAATACAAATTTATTCAGATATATAAAACTAATTTTCAGATAACTATGTCCCATCTAAAGTAGAAAACAGCTGTTTTCAAAAAACATGTCAGGGAGTCAAGGATTCACTGAGCTCTGCAGCTGCAGAAAATTCTTACTGGGCTAAGTCTAGCTCTGTCCTTAATTTGAAAAATTGCTTCAAAAAAGGCTTTTATTTAATACATGCCGCTGCTCTTGTCTACTGCTGCAGTATAGGTGGCAAGTTCCTTGTGCACAAAATGGGATTCAATAATGGATCATGGATTTCAGATTATCACAAGCAAAAAGTTAATTAAAAAAAAATCAGAAAAGGTTGATCATTTCTGCTGCATCTGATGATGTCACGGTTGGTTTGTTTCTTGAACAGTATCCCAGTAATGCTTATTTCCTCTCCTTCTTGAAAATATGCTGCATTGTTACTATGGACTGGCTCTTCAGTTAAAAGATAATGTAATAATTTTTCGTATTCTACTTTAGTGGTTTTCAAGCAGGAACTAATGATGTCTTTCTACTCAACAAAGTCAGTTTAAAAAGTCATGTGGGGTTTTCCAGAAGTACTTCCAGCTGAGATATGGAGAGTGTGAAATAAAACAATTTTTCTCAAGGACAGATGGATGATAAAAGCAGAAAGAACCAAAGGCATTAATTGTTCCTCATGATCTGGCTGTGGTGCCTATGTCTTTTAGTCTGTGCATCCATAAAGGCACAATGTCAGACCTATTACACTGGCAGACTGGTTTAATGTATAACCATGGATTGCTGTGTCGTGCCAGCAGGGCTAAATCAACAAGTAGCTGGGGAATTTGGGGACTTTCTGGTGATAGATGTTCTGCTGCTACATTAACATTTACAGTAATAGTAGAAAACCTCTGAGATGGTGGGGCACTGATTTTCTGAACATCATTGTCAGTGCTCAAGTGCCTTTGCTTCTTTTTCTCTCTTGTATGTCTGTTTTAAACATTTTTTGTTACTTTGGCTCTAAAGATGTAGTAGTTAAGTGGTTCAAGTTTTCCCAGCAGAAAAGCCAGTACCTCATGAAGTCAGCCTCTTCTTTGGCTTGCTGGGAAGAATCCTGCCTTTGATTATGTAGGTTAGGTACTGATCCTTAGTGGCATTGGGGATGGAGGGAGCATTATCCACAGCATGCATTTAGGCAGAATAAAAGTGTGTGCACATCAGTGGGATGTCCACTGTGTAGTAGAGAAACAAAGTGATGCCTTACATTGGAGGGGAAATGGGCAGAGCTCTGAGCTAAGGGATTTGTAATTTTGGATGTTTTGTATTCCCTCATGATGATCCAAGGTCATCTACAGCCACGTAATGTGCCCCAGGTAGAGGTGGGTTTGGGAACTGCCTAGTTGTTTCTGCTTCAAGAGGCTCTGGTCTAACTAGCTCTTGGCATTAAGGTGGTGTGTTTTTAAAACTTTGAAGTTGAAGCAGAGCCATCAGGAGCTGAACAGTATTGCCTGGAGGCTGCTAAAATTAATTTTCTGCTGTTTCTTTAACCTCCTCTTTCCAATCCTGTGTGACATTTGCTGTGAAAAATGAAAAACTTATACAGGGAAAAGAAGGAACTTAAAATTCCTTTTTCATTTTTTTTAGAGACAGATAATACTAGAGGTTCAAGGAGACCAGACCACCACCAAAAATGAGATGTGTTCATTTTCCCTGTTCCACAGTAGTGGCCCTAATCCTCAGGAGCTTGGGCAGACTTGCATAAGGTCCTGGTGTTCTTTCTAGATCTCCTGTGCTTGTGTTTGGAAGAGTGAACCAAGGGAAGAAGTTAAAGTCTCATGTGCCATTTGCTTTAAACATCATACTTTGAACACTGAAGAGCTGGGATTCAAGAGGGTATTCCTGTGCAGGGGAATCCCTGAGGGGTAGGACATGCAAATGCTACAACAAGGCTTTAGGAAGGATAGGGCACTAGGTCTCCAGTCTGAGCTCTCAGCAGCAAGGTAGCACTGCCAGGATGGACACGAGAGAGTTGATGTGGGATTTAACAATAAAAGCCTGCAGGCTACGAGTGTTTCCATTCATGTCCAGAGAGAAAAATTACAAGGGTCCCATGCCTGTTCTGGAGGCCACCAGCAGAGAGGATGTGAGGGAGGATACTTGTTCGCTGGTTGTTGCGGGTTAAATGGAATGGTTTTGGGTAGTCAGGAAGCTGTTAGACACAGGACCCCACTAGCCCAACAGAGCTGCCAGGCTTGCAGGGATATCCCACCAGCCTGACAGACCTCTTTTTCCTTGACTTTGCTTTGGAGGGAAGGAATTGAGGGGAAGCCTGGGATGGGTGCTCCTTTGTGTGTGTGTGTAGGGTGAGGCCTGTCGAGAAGAAGAATGCAAGGGGTGGGAGTGTCAAGGGGCAGGAGGGCCTCTGACTCAGGCAGGAAGGAAAATGAAGAAACTTGGCAGTTGAAGAAGACGTGGGGAAGTGGGACTGTGACTCAGACTGGAGTGGGATGCGAGTCGGTCTGTGGCAACTGAGGCGAGAACACAGAAAAAGAAGCCCTGAAACATGGCCAGGATGTGGCAAAGCCTCTCCAGGCTGGAGAATCACATGTTGTAGATGCAGTTCTTGGCCTCCCAGCTCTCACAGTGCTAGGCAAAGCACCAGGAGCACTCCGGTCAAACCTGGCTCTTGGCAGGCATGAGAGCCATGCCTGTGTAGAGGCAGCTCCATGACCGCGTCCTTCAGCCTCTCTGTAGGGCGCAAGTGGAACATAAGCTGTGCATTAAGTAGTGTTCCTTCTTGTGGCTGATTAGCATTTAAAAGGGGGTTGCTCTCCTTAAACAAGAACTTAAAGCAAGCACCTTCCAGGCTGGAACAAAGGATCATCACAAATCTCATCATTTTTAGTTCTTCTTACAAGGTGTTCATCCTCAGGTTCCTGCTCTTTGTCTGCTGAGACAAAGACACGCCTACTAATAGAAACAAAATATTAAGAACTGCTGTGTGCAAAACACTAAATGTGTTTTCTTTTCCTTGTGGGAAAGGATGAGAGAAAGAAGGAACCACACATAGCCAATGTTAGGCTGTGTAATGTGCCCCTGGGAAGTACAGAGAGTTCAGTGAAAACGGAGATCTTGAAAAGGAGATCTTAGTGAAAATGAGATCTTTCACTAAGTAAAATCTTTTTTATAATCAAAGCAATATGCCATTTATGCCTGGATGTTTTCTTGAACATTGCTGGTTTAATTTTAGGTAGCATTTCAGATATTAAGTGCTTTGCATTAGAATGCCTTCTCTGTACTGTTATTTGTGTCTGGTTCAGATGCTATACCTAAGAATTACTTACTCACTGTTAAAAGAAAAAAAAGAAAAGGAAAATCTTTAGTCATGGAACTCAAAGATTAAAATAAGACCTTAAAAAACTCTTTTAAGTACATTGGTATGTTATTTGTATAATGCGGCTTAATGAGAACAGACATCTAATTTGGCTTTGTACATTTACACTGCATCTTTTTTGCACTTTTCTAGTGCTGGTATATAAAACATTATGATTTTTTCATCAATATATTTGTATGGTTTTTATAACCTTTTTTCCCAAGAGGTCAGAATAATCACAATCCTAAGTTTTAAATTTACCTGAGTTTTCAAAAGTGCCATGCCAGGTCAAACCATTTCAGTGTTATGAAGCATTCTTCTTTAGTTTTCCAATGTACCAAGATAGTGCATATGCCTCTCTTAGGAGTTTGAATTTCCTTATGCTGTAATTTGGGTGTGATGTGTCCTGGGGGACTTCTGCAGCCACTTAGCCACTGGATGAGGGCACTTCCTTTTCTGACTAATGTTTGAGAGAAAGCAATAGTATTTTGTGCTAACCCAACATGTATGTCTTGAAAATTAATTCCTAAGAGGAAAAGAGCCAAAGAACAATTACTTGGCAGATCATGCCCTGGAGGCTTTGTTGAAAGTTGAACTGCACACTGTTGTATTTTAGGTGCATTATTTCTGCCAATGCCCAGAAAATACATAGCTTCTGGATTGTTAAAATATAACTTGTCAGGTACCTAAGGCATGAGGAGGGTTAGAGGTCTGTGAAAAGAGGTCTTAAATTTAAGTGCTGATACATTGCTTAAACCTAGCTTAGCTCATCTTGACTCTGTCTGTTACAGACAAAAATTGAATCACAAGGCCAAAGCTAAATATTACTCTACATCTTTTAGAGCTCCTGAAGACCAAATCGTTTTTCCTGCTTTATAATGCAAGATTATGTATATATGGTCTTGAGGCAATTGTTTTTCATTACTTTAGGAAGCATTGTTTACTTTTTCAAAGAAAAGTACAGTTGGTGGACTTGGGAAATAATTTCTCTTTAAATGTGAAATTGTTGTGACTTATAATATTTGTAATATAAATTTGACATGAAGTTAGTTCAGTTGCTGAGTCAGCTAACTGCTGTAGTAGAATACTAATTTCATCTACTGTGTATTTATTAAAACTTCCATGTTGAGAGAAGCTTGTTCTGTAAAGATCTGTGCTCGATTCCTTAGCATTAATACCTGTGACAGAGCAGAACTGATAATACAGAATTCCAACAGGAATACTGCTGGAAAAATATTATGTAGGTATTCCCAGTGAAGCTGTCATTTGGGGTCTTCTTTGAAAACAGCAGATCTTTTAGCATTGAAATACAAATCATCTTGACTGCTTAGCAAGAGAGAGGAAAGTAATCATAGCTCTTGGCACTGTTGTTTTGAGACTCATCAGTGGCTTGCATTTTTAAGAGATTTCACAGCCATCCACCCATAGAGATTTCCTTCTTGATGTAAATAATCTAAATGATCAAAGTTGGAGCTAAGCTTTGATCAGGTGATGAATGCTTAGCCCTGGTGACACTGACTTCTCATTAGATTTAGGGCCTACTCAAAAGCTATATAAACTGGCGAATTTTGAATGAGGTTTATAGTATGAAGTTAGCCCCTGTATGAGACTGAAAGTTGTTTAATGAAGCCTCTTTAAAAGACACAAATAGAATTTTAGTAGAACATAATCCTGTGTATTGGCACCATGCTCAAGATGATCTCAATATAGAATCTGTGTTTGTAGTCAAATAGAGTGTATTCAGTGTTTTTAGAGACCCAGTCGTGTTTAAATACACTGTATTTAAAAATGTATCTGAAATTATTAAAAGAATGTAAATTGTTTAGTCTTCTCCATTCCAGGATTTTTTTTTTAAAGCAATTCTTACTGTTTGGGGCATGTTGAGACAGCTTGAATTCCTCCTGTATTCTCAAGCCTCAGAGTTTCCCATTGGCTGTCTCTTGACTTTCAAAAGCACCTCTTCTGTAGGAAGCCCTAGGGCCAAAAGCTGGTGAGTATAGTCTCTAGAGCCCAAGGGGCTTAAATACAGAAGTTAACCTTAGCTCAAGAAGCCAGACTGCTGTCAGTGGCAAGGCAAGGATCCTGTTCTTTTTCACCGTTGCAAGTTTTAAATGAGTGATCAGTTGTCCATTTAGGCTCTCAAAGCTAAAATTAACTTCTTGGACTTAATCTTTCTCTTCTTATTCCACTGGTCTTTAGTTGGGAGTGACAGACTGCCAAATGATTAAATAATTTATTGAAATTTAAGTCTGAAGAGACTTAGATGCGTTCAAAAATTTTATCTTAAGTCATTCAAGGACAGAGTCTTACCCCTACAAGTTATATATTAATTATAGTAATGGAAATACAATTTCTATTAATACTTTTCTTTTTTTCTTTTATGCTAGCAGATGGACCATATCTTCAAATCATAGAACAGCCAAAACAGGTAAGAACAAGACTACATTTTGAAAATGTCTAAGGTAGTTATATTACTACATTCAGCTTTGAATAAACTTAAGACTTAAATAAAAAAGAGCACAGAAAAGTCTGAGCTCTCAGAACAAATGTGGCACTTGAATGTGAGGAGTTTTAACTCTTACTTTTGTAGTTAAAGCATTTCCTGTTTTTGTTCTGTTTTCATCTTTATTGTTCTCTGGAAGTGTCAAAATACAAAAAAACCACTCTTAAGGGTTTTAAAAATATACCTTGCTAAGTATAGACTCTTCATCTTAGAAGTGACTGTGTTACAGTATCCTAGTATTTGGAAACATAAACTAATAGATGAAACATGGAAGATTTTTAGGATTTGTTTCATAGTTGTTGAAATACAAGAAGTTAAAAATAAAAACAATTCCCAAGTTACATGAACTTCTGACTTGTGTTTTGTTGTCAAGAAATGCAGTTGTCCTTTGAGATTCTTTTAGCTATAGTTGTGTGCTTTGAATAATGGAAGAAAAATGAAGTACTCAAATGAAACTTTTTTTCTGTTATGTAGCAAATGCTGACCCATGCTCCTCTGACAGCAAAGAAGTAATTTCAATGCACTGGTTAGTTTTCATGCAGCTGATGTACAAAGTAATTGCTGGGTGAAGATTGCCCGGAAGTGTGCCAGGGTATTATTATTGTTTCCCTTTGACTGGTGGCACCAGCAATTACAAGGATTCCTCCTGAAGCTGCTAAAGTATGGAGGTGCCTTTCCTGTGAATTGCATAAAATGCTACCTTATATAGCTGTTCAGTAAACAGGGGAAGGCAGTGGCTAAAAGCTGTCCCATCCTCCTCTTGATCTTCTGCAGAAGCATACTGCAATCCAGTCTTCCTGGCAGGAGGCAATGGAGAACATTGGTTTCAATCACAAACCAAAGACATTTTTGTGCTGGAGCATCCCTCCAGGAATAGGGCTCTTCATCACAGCACCAAGTGAAACAGCAGTGTGCTGTGAGCTCTTGGAAGAATATGCTGCATCTTCCTCATTGTTTTAAGTTCATCCCGAATCAGGCCATGTCTTTGCACAGTGGAGCCTGCAGTGCACAGTCCATAAGGAGAAACCATTGCTTCCATGTGGGACTTCTCTGCAAGTGGCTCCTCTCATGGAGTACCTGTGTGGCAAGCTGGGCAGGGGCTTACAGCAGGGTGATGAGGGTGATCCATCAGCAGAGTGCTGTGTCCTGACTGCAGAGGGTGCCTTTTGCAGTGAGGTTTGCCTTTTGATCAGCTTGAGTTCAAGCTCATCATAGCTGGGCACTCCATGCACAGTACTCTGGGTCACTCAGCTCACCTTAGGAAGGCAATTGGTGAGGTCTGAATAAAAGTCATAAAAGTTTACATTTGCATGGTAAACAAGTTCTTAGCCTGAAAAGGCTTTGGTGAGATAGGTACTGAAGTTTCTGCTTCAATATTATGGAGTAATTTTAAGGCACGTTGTTCACTTTCAGCTAATACAGACTTCAAATTCGGAGTTGTCTTCTACTAGAAAGAAGCTGAATGATTCTTGGAAAAGGCCACAAGACTAACTGGTGCTATTTGAACACTGGGAACCTATATAAGATGGGGATTTTGCCAGAAATTGCAGGACTGGAGAGTAGATCTGAAAGCAAAACTGAGGACTACATGAAATATATTGTTAATTAGAGTTACTAGACACTTTTGCTTAAGAGTTGCATCTTCCATGCTTTAGTGATTGTCATGTAAAATAAAGGGGATGTTAATCAATGGAGTTGATGGACAGCTGTGCTGTGGACTGGTTTTCAATATCCTGCAGTTCTCTAAAGTATAATCAGATGTCTACTTACGTAGCTGAGATGAAACCCAGACAGACTCCCCTGAAGCTTTCGTCCTGTTTCTGGATTTCACATGGAGATACAGCTTTCATACGTTTTTCTCAGAAGGAAGAAGTGTTTCTATTTCATCCCTGTACTTTCTTTTATGGTGCTCTGGACTTCCTTTTTCTTTGTTTCAATTTTGTCTACCTAGCAGCAATGAGAGAGTATCTGCTCTTGCATTCTCTACATGTGAATTTGTATCCTATTTTAAAAGTATAAGTAGTTCTCTGTTTCAAAATATCTTCACTTAACTGAAAGAAAAGATGAGGATGCTGTTGTGTGTTAAAGTGAGAATAGAACATGTTCTCTAGGGCTACAGTTCAGTGATGCTTTATTAACCAGCACTCAGCATTTCCACGGATGAGCAATTGTAACTTTTCCATTTGGGTGAGTCTTGTTTGTGGGTGTGTGTTCATCTTTGTGTGTGCTATTTCTCTATTGGTTCTGTTTCTGTACAGCTTTCAAGTTTCTTTTCCTTTATTCCACAGAGGGGATTTCGTTTCCGATATGTATGTGAAGGGCCTTCACACGGTGGACTTCCTGGTGCCTCTAGTGAAAAGAACAAAAAATCATACCCTCAAGTCAAAGTAAGGACATAAAGCATTAATTCTGAAGTCAATGCAAGTGTCATCATATGTATGTGTATAGGGCCTTATTGCCTAGCAACATAAATTTGTATGAAGTTGCTCAAGACAGACTACATTTCAATCCCAGCATTCACATTTGATGTTGAAAATAAAGTTGCCCTAAGATGTGTGGGTTTGTTTTGGCACCATTTGTATCTGCCAGCAGTTGAGCAGCAACTTATCTGCACCTACTACCTCACTGCCATTGTGCAGACTAATGGAGCTCTTCCTTAAGGTGCAGTTTTAGCGAGGCTTGAGCTGCTCAGTTGCTCCATTTCCATTGCAAAGCATGAGTCTACTTAATTACTCCACTTCACTCTAGGATGCTATATACCAAGTTTTCCCTTTTTTTCCTGTCCATGTTACCCCTTATTCAGTATCTCTAGGGTACTCCATTCTTAGGAGCTTAATTCCTTTAAAGTAAACATAGAGCTTCTCATTTTAATAGGAACGGTGTTATATTCAGGTGTTCACTGAACTTTTTTTGTGGGGTTCCCCCCCACCCCAGAGAAAAAAATCAAATATGTTAATCAAAGAAATGTTCTATGGAGGCACAATATGAAGATTAGAAAAGTGATGAGTCATTCTGAGACTGGAGAACTGTCTTTGCCTATGTTTCTCGCAGCAAATGTTTTTTTTTTCTGTGGAAGTATGGAAAAGCTACACTGTGTCTTTTCAGTATTCTTTTTAACTTAAATGCAAGCCTTGGTCTTATTGCATTACATCTTTGAACAGCTGCACTACAAATTTGCTTAAGGAGCAGGGTGAATGTATTCTAATTCTGGTGTTATTTCTTAATGTATTCTAATTCTGGCGCTCTCTTACTCCTTTATGGGGAAAGAAGGGGAGGGAAGAGTGGCAAGCAATAAACCTCTGCCTTGGTGTGTGCCACTCCTGGTTGTTCTCTTCAGTTTATGTAGCTCATCCACAGTTCTTGGGAAAGGCTGGAGTTTGGAACAGCTACATCTCTTAATGAACCAATATAAGCATAACATACTGGAAAATAATCAGCAATGGCTGAGGTAGCCTGGGCTGATAGTCTTGTGAATTGAGACGAGTCTGGGAAAGCTGATTTCATAAAGCCTTGCAAAACTCTGAGGAAAAATTACCAGCCCAGGCAAATGATCTACTTGTTTTTTTTCTTTCCTATTTTGACAGTAATGATGAACCAATGAATGAAATTTCACTGGAATGTTCAGATATAAAATAACTTATTTCAGTTGAGCCAGATCTTTGGATTCCAATCTGTAATGATAATAATACAAGAGATACTTTATAAAGGTGTGGTAGGTCACACGGTAGCATGACAAGGAATTATACAGGAAATGGAATTTCTCCTTGAGTGAACTAGAAAGCAGAATGTTCTTTGGCTTTCCATTCAAACTTTCTACTTTCATTGATCACCATTTTTTAATTTCATCTAGAGATTACACACACACACACACACACATCCATCCCTTCCCTCCCATCCCACTGTGTGCATCTGGGTTTTTTTCCTAGTACAAATCCCCACATGGCAACACCTGTTGGGAGAGGTTGGTAAGGGAACACAAGTAAATTCCTCAAGGCCATTGCTTGTTAGTGCCTGTTCTTGATTCAAGTGGTGCCAATAAAGACAGAAGTGTTTCACACCTTTTCCTGTAAGTCTTTTCTGCCTTTTGTCAGATTGTGCTCACTTTGTTGTAACTGAGTGGAGCACAATTGAAAATTGCAATTTTTTGTTGTGTTGGAGTTTTTTGTTTTGGTTTGATTTTTTAAACTTTATTTTTATTTTAGTGGGTTTTTTTTTTCATTCTTGTGCCAGCGTTTTCACTATAAAACCTACATTAGTTGATCACAATGCAGTGAAAGGATAGTAGTATGAGCTTTGGCTGTACTGTAATAAAGGAGGTTTTGTGACAGATCTTTAAACCCTTGGCCATAGTGTGGTCAGTGCATCTCACAGTGAGATCTGTTTTGTGAGAATTTAGCCAACTCTCAAAATTTACTAGTAGCTACCATGGGGTGTCCTGAAAATAGCCATCCTCAGTGTGCAAAAAAACATTGCAGTCTCCCTATTCTGTTTTCATAGGATGATGGATTGGAGGCCAAAAGAAAACACATTTATGGGATGTAACCTCTTGCATAATATGGACTGTTCAATTTCACCCTTTTTTTTAAATTAAGCTGGAACACATCAAGGCATATCTCCCACATAAAGGCTAGAGTTTTAAAGACTGTGCTATGTCTCTAAGCAAGGTATTTTGGTATTTAATTACCTGTTTAACCTCTCCCTGTATAGTATATTAGTAGATGGTGTAGGTCAGGAGTTAATGTGGCAGTTCTGCAATGCCAGTCTTTACACTTCATGTCAAGCGAGCAACAATCATGAAACAAACCTGCACTGGCCAGCAAGTTGGAATTGGTGTAAAACCTCTTGTTTAATGGAACAGCCCTGACTAATGGAGTCTAGATTACAGTGTATATTTTTCTGTAATATCAAAAATTGCATTAATTATTTTAATGATTTGTGGAATTATGTTCCTTTGTTTAGCCCTGTCTTTGCTAAGAGTAATATATCAAAAACGTCTTGCATATTCAGAGGATTCTATATAACTTTGCATGTCAATATGGAGAGCAGAGAAGTTGTAGATAATAAACATTTTACAATGAAATTGTTTAATAATTACAACCTAAAATTCTTAATTTAAATTTCATTTTCATGTACTTAGTGCAAGTAACACAACGCTTGAAAATTTTACTGTATAGAATAGTTGCAATCAAAGCTGCTGAACCGCTTATTCATCATTACTTTTTTATCCAGGGAAAAAAGCAATCAGTAGCATAAAAAGAAAGGATAAACCAGCAAAGTCTAGTATTATCACCAGCATGCTTAACTATCAATTTTTTTTATTTATAATTTGCTTGGGTTTTATACATTTGAAAAAATGTGATAAAACTTGTGCAGAAAATTTCCACTCACCTTACATGTATAAACGTGTGGGCAGATCCATGTTTTACACTGAAGTGTTTGATCCAGTTTCAGGTGTGACAAGAACTTGCTGAAAATAGCAGAGAGAAAGAAATGTCCTGAATTTTCATCTCCTTGGGGGCAAATCTATGTGGGTGGCTGCAGTCTCTAGTTCATTGTTCTTTGTGAACTGGATGTAAATGAGCTCCAGCCCGAAGTTCAGAGGTGTGCCTGAGCTAAAGAGCACCATCTCTCTGCACAAGAGTTTGTGGAGCACTTTGGCTTGTGAACTGAAGCTGCACACCAGTTAGGCAGCCCTGAACCCAGGCACACCAATAGAACTGCCCAGCTAGTTATGTCCTGAGGCTATCCCAAATTATACCTCAGTTTGGAGATAAGAGTTCTTCTCAGAATTAGGGATTTCAGCACATTGAGTTCAGGAGGAGAATTTATGGAAAATTACTTTGCTGATGAGCCTTGGTGACAAAAGGAGCGTATTTATTTGCTTTTCCTCCTCGCATCCAATAGGAATTAAATGTAAAGTGATACAGATTGCTGATTACAAGTCAAAAAATCACCTAACAGCTGAATTAAGGAATAAACATGGGAGAAGAAAAGCAGACTTTTCTTGGAATAAATCTTTACCCCTCTTAAAAATCTACTGAAAATTCAGTGAGATTTGAGCTTTTTACTGGTAAGGCTGATTTAGCTGAATAGGAAGCACAGAATCTCTTCAGATGGGCTTGTAAAGCAGAGCACCCAGCTCCATATTTTTGCCATTAGAGTGACCTCACAGTCAGAGGATCAGATCTTCAGCTCCCATTGGTTTAAAATACCTTACATTCCTTTTTCTTAAATCTATTAAGTAAGTACACAGTTGCCTACATGATTTGTACCACATCTGAAATATTTTGTCTTTAATTAGCAACTGAAAAAAAGAGGGATATTGCTCTGTAAAAACAGACTCTTTATAAAGAGTGAGTGATGCCTCATCTTTGGAACACTTCTTGTACATGCCTAATGAGGACAGCAGTAGTCACACTGAAGGACAGGCAGGGCTGGGGCTGCAGTTGCTCTAAGAAAAGAATTGGAAAGAGAAATAGGTGATTTTGTAATGCTGGCATTGTAGGTTTGGTCTTTTCCATCATTTGCTCCTGTTGTTGACTAATTGGTTTCATTTCTTGCTTGTAAGAGTAACTGGAAAAAACATCTTAGAAGTGTGAAAATGTTCTTTTAAAGTTTTTGTGAAGTTTTGGAACCTATAAAAATTGGCTGGGATCTGGATTACAGGAGGACATGAAATAACTGAAAAAACTTTCTACTCTTGTTTTGAAATTGACTCAATTTCGAGTTTACAGGTTCCTTTTAATCTGTCAGACAAATCTCTCAAACAGAAAGAGCAGATAAATGTAAGCCTGCAGCCTTTTAACTTTATCAGATCAATTGAGTGCTGCTTCAGGAGGTACAGGATGTAATCAAGTATTACAGCTATACTCTGCCCAGGAACTTCTTTTCTTTTTTCCCCTCACCTTTAATTTAAAGTTCAGTAGTTGCTTTTTGGATCTCAGCTCTGATTTTGAGCCATACAGCATCCACATGCTATCTCCTCTTCATGCTGAGTCTGTTTTTGTGTCAAAACCATAATCCCTATTCAGCATTGTAATATACTTTCTACCTTTTCAGGCCTTTGACAGTGTTTCTTAAGTTCCTGTGCAAAAGCTGATTGTTACTTGTATACCTCAGTGCCAGAATTAATTTTAAATTATTCTGAAATTGTGGCATGATTTGAGGACATTGAAAACTTATTTCAGATTTAATTTATGGTACATAAGGATATTTAACCACTCACACTATTTTCCTGGGCACCAAGTTATCCCAAATGACTCAAAATCAATTAGGAAAGTCTGTGTATAAGAAATAAAGGTAGAAGGTGTTCAGAGACATTCTGTCCTCTTGCAGCATAGAACATCAGACTGGGCGACAAAAATGTCTTGCCTTATGACCTACATAAGGCATTACATTTTGGGAGCCCTTTTGTTTTTCCCCTGAGAAGGAGAGGCTGCAAAGATCATGCTGAGCTGAGTAACAGAGCAGATTGCAATCTGTGCTTTCAGAGGCTGGAAAGTCCTTGACGTGCAGCAGTCTTGCCTCCAGTTTCACTGTGGTTTCTACAGCTGATGAAGGATTGTCTTGAACTTTTCTGATGTGACACCAGAACACTATGTTATTCTTAGTGAATATAGCACTACAGATGTGCTGGGAGCTTTGTAGTAGGGAAAGGCTGATTGAGTGAGGGGTAAAATGGAAATATTTTTTTTAAAGCTACCTTTTTGAAAAGTTAATTGTAGCAGTGGTGGTGACATACTGTAGCACCAAATGCAGTTGTTTTTATTTTCAGATTACTTTGTGAAAGGTGCATAAGAATTTTCTCTCTGCTGGTAAATGACAGAAATAGTCCAGCAGTGATTATCCTGCATCTCTGTAGTGTTTCAGTCCAGACTTTAATGTGGAAACAGGAGGGAAGCATCAGCCCTCTGTCTTGTATTTTAGAAACTGCTGCTTGTAAAATGTACTGCAGTATTACGCAGTTACCTAGCAGGAGTGGGTAATGAGGGGGCTTTTGCACACCTGCTCCTTCTGGAACTTCTTCATAGTTGAGATTTTTTTTTTTTTGTTTTCAGCTGTGAATAAGAAGGCGGGGAGGGCACACATTGTACATATGCAAAGTGTTTCAGCTGTGATGGGGTGGGTTCAAGAGAGGGGTTAACTGGAGTGAGGGAAGCTAGCAGGACTCAGTAATGTGGTGAAATTGAGGCAATCCCTCGCTATCAGTATTTTATCAACAATATAACCTTAAATATTCAGTTCATCACCGATTCATCACTTTAATGTTTATCGTGATCCTTTAATACCTTGGTTGATTAGATCTATAAGCTGCTGTAATACAAAGAACTTGGCCCAAGGCAAATTAGAAGAAAAATTAGAGGAGGAGGGGGAAAAGCCCAGCATTGATAAAAGGGTTAATTAAGTGAATTGGAAGGGAAGGTAATGTTTGCTTTTTAAAAAGTGGGGTAATTTTATGTTCACCATAATTTGAAAGTGGTGCATAAGCCATAACAGCCTTGGAGTATTACTGCCTTAGAGTGAGGAAAGAAAATAAAGCTCTAAATAATATATGTAAAGCAAATAACTTACCAGTATGGTATGTTGTTAGTAATTTTAGATGTGTTTTTGAGGCATTGATATTTATTAAAGGCTGTTAAAAATGTATGGTGATTAGAAACTGTGGCAAGGGGTAAAAAAAGGTTTGTAGGCTTTGAGAATTGAGTATATGAAAGAAACCATATCATTTATCATAGTTCAAGTCCAGCAAAATCCTAGATGTGACTTCATTACATATCTTTGTGTACAGTTAAGGGAGATATTTACTGGACTGAGTGTTGATGAAGTCCATTGAACTAACAAAATGCCTATTCATTTAGAATTTATTCACTGTAAAATCTCTACCTGAGGAGTCATTGTAATGTGGCCAAAATGTTTTAGAACAATCATAATGTTTAAAAGTAATTTTTAAAGTCTTTCTGAATTGGGCTAAACAATGCAGTATTTTGAGTTTAATTTTCTATATGCTTCTTAATGGGTAACAATATTTATTGTGAATTCAGTTTACTGATTGAAACTTAAGGAGAGCAGTGTGGACTAAATGGTCAGAATGTAAAAGTGAGATTCATGTTTTAAGAAACAGGTGAGGCTTGCCTTTAGATTTTTTGGTCAGTGCTTCTGTCATTTGCATGTCAAGTTTAATTGCAAAAGAACGTGGTGATCTGATACAGTTAGTTTGCCATTTGTATTTCATTAAGAAATGCATATACATTTCTCCCATGTAAACTTGATTGTACTTAACTGACAGAAAATACTCACCTGGAATCATTACTTGTTCCATGTTTAAAAAACAGTAAGCAAACTATCCCACATTTTTAACATATTTCTTTACAGATCTGCAATTATGTTGGACCTGCAAAAGTGATTGTCCAGTTAGTGACTAATGGGAAATACGTCCACTTGCACGCTCACAGCTTGGTGGGTAAATTCTGCGAAGACGGAGTGTGCACGGTTATTGCAGGACCCAAGGACATGGTTGTAGGGTAAGTCTGGGAACTCCTCTGGAAAACTGAGCTGTGGGGAAAGCATCAAGACCATAAAAAGCAGTACAGAAAAACTCCTAAGAGGCAGCTCTGTGGAGCACTCATCTCTGCATCCTGATCTCTGTTTTTATTTGTATCGTAAATAGAAAATTTAATGGGGTTTTTGTTCACCTTTGTAGAATTTTTCCCCAAGCAAGCTAAATAAATTTAAGTAACTAATTTTTACTTAGAATTTGTATAGTTTTAATCTCTTGGTGTGCAGTCTAAATTTGTGTTGTAAGTCCATTCTTTAAAATGCAAGGAGTTTTGATCAGAGAAGGGACTAAAATTAGTGTTACCATTTTGCTACCTCTTTGATCAATATTTTACTTTCATTGAAACCTGTCAATAGAAATGTAATGGAAAGCATTAAGGAAATAGGATTAGTAAATTTGAAATTAATGCAGGGCAAGTATAAACATGAAAATACTGCATAAGTCAAACTTTCAAAGTTTAAAGCAGAAAGGCTGTAGTGAAATTGTAGCTGGCCTGTTCTTGTTTAATTTGAAGGAATAATTGTTTATATCGGTGAATGGAGCTGAAGCTCCCAACCGTGTTTTGAGGCTTAGATCAGGTTTCATGCTGGCTGTGAGTTTTAGTTCTGTGATCTCAAGAATGTCTTTGTTGGTGAAGATGATGAAGTTTAAAAAGCTGAGAAGGTTGGGAGAGAGAGATTCTTTTAAACTGTAACTTTTGATGTCCAAGCCCAGTGCACTGACTTTACCGCTCACAATTTAAATAGCTTTATTTCAAATGCTCCTTTTCATCTTGAAAAGTTTGGCTCATTTTCTAACCTGTCTTGTTTTTCATCAGATGTTTAGAACCAGCTTTCCTGTCCTCACTTGACCCACATGAAAATTGAGTTCTTGTCTTGTTTTCATACTTCCAAATCTAATTGATTTTTCAGTATGTCAGGAGATTTTTACAAAAATGCACCTTTTCTTTGGAAATTTTCATTCAAATAGATACCCAAAGTGTCTTGCAGAATGACCAGAGCCTTCCTTAAAACATTTTATTTATAAAATACTGCACTGTTTTCAGCCTTTTAGCTTGCTCTCCAAACCATTTTGAACAGATGGAGCATACTCTGAGCAGTTGCTCTGTTTAACAGACACACAGAATGACATATCAATGTCATTGCCAAGACACAGCAAATAAAGTGTGACTACCAGATTTTCCAACATTTTGTAAGATGCTTTCCCAGTGGAAATCTGAAACCTGACAGATTACTACTTATGCCATAAGAAAGTGCACCCATATGATGGTGCACATTTTATACGTTTTGTGATCTTGACTGAATTTTTCTTGATGGAAAATTCTCCTTCAAACACTAATAGGGCCTAAGTGAGCCTGTAGAGTCTTTCTGTAGGCTTGTGTTGTGGAGCTCTGCCTGGTAAGAGAAAGGCTGCCTGCTGCAGGTCTCTCCTAAAGCGTTCCCCCAATCAAAATTTGGCAGGTTTGCAAATCTTGGAATACTTCATGTCACAAAGAAGAAGGTGTTTGAAACTCTGGAAACACGCATGATAGATGCTTGCAAGAAGGGATACAACCCAGGACTCCTGGTGCATCCAGAACTCAGCTATCTGCAGGCTGAAGGATGTGAAGACAGGCAGCTAACTGGTATGTGAAAGCGATGACCTGGTTCTAATTGGTATTTTATTAAAAACAGGTTGGGCCTCTGAAAGCATTGATTCATAGCCAGAAAAAAACCTTGTGTAGGGCAACAACCAATGTCTATGTGCTTTTAAGAGGTAGTGCACTGTTGCCATGTTTTAGGGAATCTGAAAGGACTCTGCTGTCAATGCATACTTGAGAATGGAGAAACTTCCTTCCACAGCTGCATGTACCAACCTCTGCACCTGTATTCCATTGTTCTTATGCTGTTTAAAAGCACATTAAGCTTTTAAATAGAGTAATTTTGCATTATTGCAGTAAGACATGATATCCTTAATTAATTTAGACCTCCTTTTGAGGTCACTGTTTCATTCAGCTGTATCTCACCCATATCACTGTAAAACCTGTGGTCTGCATTGCTTTCAGGTACTGCATAACGGGGCCAGCTGTCATTTCATTGCTCTTAACATCCGGTATCCTGGTGTCCTTAGGGGTGGCTTTCATCTTTTTCACAACCTTTATAAATTGAGAGCAGAAAATAGTAATTTTCTGTCTTTTAATTATATAACTTAAATAAGATCTGATGCACAAACTGCAAGATGAACACAGTATAATTTGAATAGTTGTTCCACTCTGCCTAGAAAGGGAAAACCCAATGGATGCTCCATGTAAAAGACGACATTTCCTCCCTATCCATGCCTTTGGATGTTTGTGTGTTCTCTCTGTTTTGTTAAGGATGCACTACCCTCTGTGTTAATTCCTCTGTCTGTCAATTCCAGAACGGGAAAGAGAAATCATCCGCCAGGCAGCCATACAGCAGACCAAGGACATGGATCTCAGCGTGGTGCGGCTCATGTTCACAGCCTTCCTTCCCGACAGCAATGGCAGCTTCACACGGAGACTCGATCCCGTAATATCGGATGCAATATATGACAGCAGTAAGTATTTAATTACTTTTTAAATTAGGAGCAGACTTTTGTACACACAGAAATGACAGGTAGATATTGCTGTACGTAGACTCATCTAGCCCTGTATTTGATGAAAAACAAGTAAATAGCCCATGGATAATCAGCCCCATGTCTGTCAGTGTACATACAGTATGATTCTGGTTTTAATAGATGACAATGTAAGCGGTAGAGGAAGATTTTATTTTGCTGTTAGCATGTTTAATCCTGCCACTTTTATTATGAGTATTTTGTAAGTTCTTGTTATATCGATAAGAAGGGCTTGATTTTTGCAGAGTTTTCAGTTGCTGTCTGTGACAAAGTGTTGTTACATGAGATGTGAGGAAAAAGATTTGCTTCTTTGTTGAGAATTTGACACCTTTCAGTTTTGCAGACCATCTGCTTGTCCATATTTTAAAAGATAATGCAACCATTTCCTTTAGATCTGTCAGTATTTTTTAGACCATTCCTTTATTTGTCTTTTTTCTAAGAGAATTTTTTTCACTTCATGTTTTCCCCTATGCTGTTAAATTATACTGACTCATCTTACTTGAACCCTTTCTGCTGCCTGAATTTTCCTTCCTGAGGTTGTGGATTCCCATGTTCTTGATAGTCATTCTGTAATGACTCAGGAAAAGTACCTTTTTTTTTTTCGTTTGTGCATCAGTCATGTCTATATTGTTCCTTTTTAAAGACAAAGTCTAGATCAAAAGGTTCTAAATGCAACTGTTCTACTATAGTCTGTGCCTTGCTGTTAATTGGGAAATATATTTAAGTCAAAAATTCTGTCCTAAACTATGGAGACAAACAAAGGTGACATTTTGTATGCATGATTCTGCTGTTGTAAGTTGCTACACAGATGTCAGTTACTAGTTTCTGATCTCCCAAGGTGAGTTCTTAATTGCTGATTTCAGAAGATTTTTCTTGAGTTTTGTTTGGGAGTTTTTTTGAATACTTCATTGGCACCATTTAAGCCTTCACAGAACATACATAACTTGTGGTAGCATAACTTGCCTATAACAGCTACTTTCACTTATCAGATGATAGTTCTGTCTTGAGGACCAGTAGTTGTCTGTTGATGGAGATCTGTGGAAGTGGGCTTTTTTATCACTGTCCAGTACACTGGCCAAAAACTGGCATGCTTTCAAGTAAGCCACAGTGTAAAGCAAAGCACTGTAGATAGGGGGAAACAGGAAACGGCTCTCAAAAGTGTCACTCTGTCAGAAAGCAGGGAGGAAAAATTGACATTCTCTTGTACAGCCCTGTTGTCATAAAACGAGTACTAGTGCAGGGTGCTGGGTGCAGTTCACTGCTGGGATACCTTGCTAATGCAGTAATTGTGCTGCAGTAGCTGGGACCTTATTTTGTAGTTCACAGTTCAGTCAAAGCTTAGAAGATAGGAAATTGTCTTTCGTATGAAAAGTCCTTGATTTATTCATGTTTAAAAAACCAGACAAATTCAGGTAGGTTGTATTGGAAGCTTGTCTTTCTATTGCATTTCTGTGTGTTGTGCTTGGTTGTGTTTTTTGACGTCTAAATCTGGTTTACTGTCTAAGCAATTTTTTTTCATCTTCCCTTTCAATAGAAGCTCCCAATGCCTCCAACCTAAAAATTGTAAGAATGGACAGAACAGCAGGGTGTGTGACAGGAGGGGAAGAGATTTACCTGCTCTGTGACAAAGTTCAGAAAGGTAAGAGTAATGAGTATTGTAAGGAACACCAGAGTGTTGATCTGGAGTACACATAAAGCCTTCCGTGCTGTCTTTAGTGTTGTCCCACTCTGATAGTGCAGCAGGATTTGTAGATACTCAGCCTTTCTGGAAGTCAAGGCAGCAGTCCAGAGATTTAATAAATCCAAATACTCTATTGCAAAGCAAATTCAGCTTCTTGTGCCTCCACAGGGACCATGTGATCATCTTTGTTCTTCTCAAGTTGTGCGTGTTCTGGAATTTTGGGGGGTGGTGCTTACAGGGTGATGTTTGACTCCATTAAGTAATGCCTGTTCTGAATTATTCTGAAGTTTTTGATTTATTATTAAGTTCCTGATTGTGAAGAGCAAGTGTGAGTATTCTCTATTAACCATGGATGGGAGCTTAATGTGTTCAGCACTGCTGCTAATAACTTTATTTTTATGTATATGCTATGGTAGAGGTTACTCAGTGTAAACAGATACATCTCACAGGTTCATTTTCAGTCTCTGCTCATGGCTTTGAACGTGTGAGAATTCAGCAGTATGGATTAGGATACTTTGGTTTTTTATTGGAAGATAATGGTTAAATGTGGTTTGTTATATTTGGGCTAAGGAAAAAAGATGGGAGTGAGGGAGATACTTCGTATTTTTTGGCTACAGGTAGTACTTGGGGCACCCTAGTGTAGATTACATGGTAGAGTGAGTGCCCTGTTCTCATCTATTTGGAGCAGTCCCTCCTCATCTTGTTAAAACCACTGTGACATTTTCTGTTGGTGCAGGCTGTTCTTTTCCATCTCTCTTTCTTCTAAATGCTCTTCTACCACTGGGAAGAGAGAAAGCTTTGGGGGCTTTTAGGGACTTTGAAAGACCTATTTTCCTTTAATAGTGCATCTACTCTCTGCCATCAAGAGGACTGAGATAAAACATAACTCTTAGGCACAAAATAAATAAATAAATGTCTGACTCAGTGGAAGCCCTGAGGTGGGGTTTCCCCTCAGCCAGACTGGGGTTTCCCCTGACCTCACTGCCTTCAGAAACCTCCTGTCTGAAGGAACTTGAGCATGCAGGACAGCAGGACTGAAGTGGTGGTTCACAGTCTTGAGACTAGCAGGTGGGGCACCAGGGGAAGCAGTCTGTCTGCTACAGAAGCCTGTCCTGCATCAGTCACCCTAAGAGACAACAGGCTTTTTCTAGCTTTTTCTCATGGGAGTGCTGTGGAAGGAATTTACCAGTGAGATGCTTTTCCTGAAAATATAAATAAATAAATAGAAAGAGAATGAAAGAAAATTTGTTCAGAGCAGCAGAAGCCAAATGCCATGTTTCTGGCCTGTGCTGTTTGGAGGGTGAAGGATCCCTGCTGCCACGCTGCTGGCTCACACTTCCCCACATCTCTGAGCTGCAGCTCCACCGTGGCACTCTGCCAGCAGCAAGCGGAACTTGAACTGTGGCACTTCAGGTTTTGCTACAGTTTTTTGAACTGAAACTGTTGGAGGAGAGAGGGTGGTTTCTACATTTCACACTTCAAGTTCTCCCCTCCTTACATGTTTGTTCCAAATAAGGCTCCTCTGGAATGTTTTATAACCCTAGAATAGGAAGATGATGTGAACCTAGTTCTCTTTTTACAGCTCAGTAAATAGCAACTTCAGTGAAGTCATTAAGATTAGGCTGATGCAGAGTTGATGTCGAAAATGGGTTACTTCTGCTGTTTTCATAAAACAGATAAAGGTAATTGATGTATTTTGTAGTATTTTCATCCAGCCAAAAAGTAACCATGTTTATACCTGAAATAACCACAGCCAAGGTTAAACAAATGCACAAACATCCCAGAGTGTTACTTTCATTCTTTGCAGATGATATTCAAATACGTTTCTATGAAGAGGATGAGAATGGCGGTATGTGGGAAGGCTTTGGAGATTTTTCTCCTACGGATGTACATAGACAGGTAAGTAACAGAGCATTTGTCCTTTGTTAATGATTCTCCCATCTCTGTAAGCTAGGATTATATTATAGTTTGTAAATTATGTAAAAGCATCTGTATCCTGTACTGACCTCCTCTTTGTTTGCTTCTTAATAATAATAAAAACATAACAGTTCTTTAATGACATCTGTTAGATGACTAGGAATACAGTTCAAGGAAATAAGGAGAAAGCCCCATTGGTTTAACATGCACCCTCTGTAAAATGGGATAGGCCACATAAAAGCTCTGAGAGCTCACTGAGAAAGCCACAGAAGAGATGCTAAAGGATGAGGGGACTAACAGTGCAGTACTGACATACGGGGTGTGGTAACACTTAGCATGGCAGTTCTGTCTTTCCCAAAAGGCTTTAGGAGTCAACCTCAGAAGTGAAACTGAAAGCTAAAATGAAAGTTTATTGTTGTAATAGCCCTTTGCTCTGAACTTTTGCCTCCCGAGCCCTAAACCAATGCCTTCAAAACAGTGCACATGTAAAAGCCAAGTTGTCAAAAGTCATGCTCTGTGACAGATATGTTTGTCTTTGTTTCCTTCACAGTTTGCTATTGTGTTCAAAACACCCAAATACCGAGATGTCAATATCACAAAGCCAGCATCTGTGTTTGTACAACTGCGTAGGAAATCTGATCTAGAAACAAGCGAACCAAAGCCTTTTCTCTACTATCCAGAAATCAAAGGTAACTCATTAAGCCTGTTCTACAGATTGGGAATGGAAACTGTAGGGTCTCTCGAAATGTTTTTAATAAGATAGAAGTGGTTTAATGAGGAATTTTTTGGTTTAGCTGTTATTTTTAGAAAATATATTTGCCTCCTTGTTTTGGGCAGAGTCAATTTGCAGCGTGGTAAGTTTATAATGGGTTTTGTTAGTGGTGTTGTAGGACTGGTAAGCAATAAATCCATGCGTATTTTCCGAGAGGGGCTTGTTCCTTGCAGATTCCCTATATTCACACATGCCTGTCCATACAGTAGATGGCACTTTTCCTCTGAGTTTCTGACAGATAATACCGGAAGAGATTTTACTGTCAGTACTTTCAGATGAAACCCTAAACCACAACCTGTTTGGTGCCTGGTGGAAAGGCACATATTTTGCAGTTCTCCCCTTTTACCATCATGCCAATGTCACTGATGTTTCTGTATTTTCCAATTGGCTGTACTAGTTTAGTAAGCCCAAGACATTTCTTGTGTGAGCAGGTAAAGTGCTGTTTCAATCTCTTGTTTAAAATTCTAGTTGCTTAGCAGAAGAGTCAGTATTGGACCTGCTTTCTAAATTATTGCTGGAAAGGAGTTTAATCAGTAGATCTGTGCCCTTTGAAGTCTTTATTTGAAATGTTTGATGGGAATGACATTGGCAGTTGTGGTTTTAAATACCAATCATGTTGATGATATGGAAATGCCTTGAGGGCCAAGTCATAATTGGTGTTTCATTGTATTAAGATTATGTTTCTGCTTAGCAATTTACCTGCCTGCAGGTTACACTACTGAATTCTAACCTTGAATGTTTTCTGTGCCTAAGGTAGGGCTGTGTTGAAATCAATTCCCTGTCAAAATCTCTAAAATAAATGTGCATTAGTGGTGGGAGACTCAGGACAGTTGAGGAGGGAGTGGTGGTGGTCAAGTGAGTCTACTTCACAACTATTAGAATAAAACAGCACAAAGCATTAATTGACAAAGCTTCCAGAGTTGCCAGAGGGTTTCTTCTTGGTAATGATTTCAGGAACCTCTTGCACAATTGTTAAGGGAAGTGAAGTGTTCAGAGTGAAGTTACCAGATTTGAAGCAAACCTCTTTTATGTGCCTCTTAATTGAGTAAAATTAATTCAACATTATGTGCATTTTCAGATCCCCTATACAACCTTATAATGAAATTACCATTTAGGAACTATATTTTTCCCTTGTTGCAAATGTTCCCACTAACTCAGACCCGTGTATGTGGATTTTTTGTGTTTCTCTGACTAGATTGCTCTCTAGGGTTTTCTCTCCTCGTCAGTGTGAGTATGCCTGATGTGTGCATGCATACATACTTAAACATCATGTGTACCTGGAAACAATGCACGTGGCTTTGTCAGTGTGCTGTCTCATGTATTCAGCTGCCTCATCTGATGCACTGACTGATGTGCCTGTGCATGAAATTTGTTTTTGTTGTATGGCTGTTGAAAACTACTAGATGGTTTAATAAGCAAATGATATTTCATTCTTTTCTCAACAGTTCTACTGGATTTTAACCCATGTAATGTTTGTATCCCTATTTTTATAGCTCTTGTCATTACATTTTCACTTCCCCCAATCATTGGGATAGTCCTTTCTAAATGTTTGTGTTTTGTTTTCCAGGGGTACTAAGTCTTATTTTGTACTTATACTATTAAATAAGTTTAGGCTATTTTTTTCCTGCTACTTAGCATGGTATGACAGCAATATGTCCCTGTCTGAAAAAAAGTTCTCTTTGTTCTAGTGGCTGTTACTGGCTGGTATTTTAAGTAAATAATTTTCACCATTTCTTGCCATCCCTTAAACAAAACTTGAAAGGGCACTGCAGGTACTCTGCACTGTTGAAACTCAAAAGTGCCTTGTGATCCTCTGATAAGGCTCAATTTCTGAAGTTGATTTGCTTGAGAGAAGAGCCTGTGCTTATATTTCCCAAAAGCAAATTTTCTTCAACCATTTTGGGGTTTGGATCACTTGTGCTGATTCATGACTTGGCTTAGACATAGAAGAATTTTGGGACCACTGATCTCCGGAGCTTTAAGTACACGAGACACTTTTGAAGAAAGCTCTGAGACCCCAAGACATATCTGCATGTGTCCCCTGAGTTGGAGCACAAGGCAGTGACATGGCTGAAGAGACCAAGCAGGCTCAAGCAATGCTGCTGGTCTGACTGAGGAGGTGGCACTGGCTTGTTCTCAGAGGAATTCTCTTTGCCCCAGTACATACAAAGATTTTCTGCTATTTGCAGCTTGAGGAGAGTTGACTCTTCTATCACACTCCGCATCCTCCTTTATAAACCAGTAACTGTTGTGATGCTTTCTGTATGCACACCCTGTGTGCCTGCCACCAGCAGGACTGACTCCCTATTCTCTCTGTTCCTTCTATCCCAGATAAAGAAGAAGTGCAAAGGAAACGACAGAAGCTCATGCCGAACTTCTCTGATGGCTATGGCGGAGGCAGTGGCACTGGAGGTGGCGGCATGTATGGAGGGGCAGGTGGCAGTGCTGGCTCTGGTAAGGCAGCAGTTTTGGGCAAAGAGGGAAAAGGGCTCTATTTTGAGAGCAGCACAGATGTTTATGCTGACTTTTAAAATGTAAAGAGGATTTTGTCTCCTAGGCATTTGAGATCTGACTCTGTTGCCTTTATCCTGCTGTTACTCAATTCAGTCAAGAATCTCCTTATTCTAAACACCTCATCATCCCGTTTGCCTTCCCACTTTGGAAGCTTTGTTGTGTCCTAGAGCCTTGGAGGCACTGACATTCATGAGACAGCTCAGTTAGCTGTCATTTTGGGTGTCTAAAATTAAACAGGTTCTGAATTGTTTCTTGGACCACGAGTGGAATTTGGCAAATTAACCCTGTTAGTGCAAAGTACTGTTAAAAAATTGGAGATATTCTTTAGTAAATTTTCTACTGTGCCTTATCTGAAATCAGAATATATCTGATATGCAGGATCATGAGAGCATTGCTTTGGTTCTTGCAGCAGAAAAACCTGTAGGTCAGCAAATGTCACCTGAACCACAACCCTTTTTTTAGAGCAGGGAATAGAGCAGCAGCTTTTAAATTGCTTCATGTATGGCTGGCAGCATGTATAGCATAACACCAGAATACTAATGTGTTGTAATCACAAAGATTCAAAAGCACAGAGGCAGCTTGTGATGTTTCAGTTGAGTTTTAGAGGAAAGACATAGGGATGCTACATTTGTGTGGTGTTATGGATGTTGGGATAGAGAGTGTCACTATCCAACCACTTAGAATTTCTTTGGATTTTTGAAGGGGTAGGGGAGAGCTCACCTTTAGCCTGGAAAATTAATGGGATGAAATAAAGCAGAAGGTGTGCAGAAAACAAAATCTCAGTTCTTTAGGTTCATGTTTTTGATGGTGTTCTCATTGTTTTAGGATGTAATACTATTGATTCTTAATCTTTCTCCTTTCTTTAGGGTTCAGTTTTCCTTCATATGGATACTCTGCTTTTGGAGGGATGCATTTCCCTGGCACAACAAAGTCCAGTGCTGGCATGAAACATGGTAACAGCATAAATGTCTTTCTTCCAACAGTTGAATTGAGTTTGACCTGTATTTTCTTCTACAGTATGAGCCAAAGTGTCAGGCAGGTGTAGCTAAGCGTGCTGGAGAGGGCCTCTTCTCAAACCTCTGGCAGCAGAGGAGTTTGTGTAGCCTATACTGCCCTGCTTCTCTTTTTTCCTCTCCAAGTGTAGTTCCTTTTTACTGTGCAGTCCTGAGCAGCAGTGACTAAAACCCCTCCACCAGCCCTCTTGCTTGCTTGAATGTGCTGATTACAGATGACCCAAGGACTAGCCCACAGAAAATGTATCCTCCTTTGTTGCCACAGTCTAGTACTATCCTGTAGCCCAGAGAGATCAATGGAAAAGATTAAGTTAATAATAAGGACGCTCTTGTCTTCCTAAAATAGGAAGGTAATTTCAGATGTAACATGTTGATTACTCCATAGATGCTTTCTGAGTCTTGGGGATGAATTTACTGTTAGGAAAAAAAAATGTGTCTGAGTAATTCCACTAGATTTTGTGTGAGTACTTTAGACTTACATTCTTGTACCATGAAAAGAGAGGTAAATCTGTTGTAATATATAAAAGTTTTTTTCTAAAGCAGAGGCTGTCAAAGACTTAGCAACACTTTAGAGCAAGTCACATCACTGTCTGTCCATGTGTGTTGGCATGTGGAATATTATGATTTGTGAGTTTAGTGCTAAGTTTTACATTGAAGTAAATTTTTATATTAACTTTTCAGGGTTTGGTTTTGTCTAGTTGAGTTTTATCATTTGTATTATAAAAAGCAACAGTACTGAACATTAATGATTCTGCTTTTTGTTAGAAGGTCTATCAAATTGCACAGCTGAACAAGACAGAAAGAGCTGTGATAAACAAAATGACCAATGGGACATGAAATGTGACATGAAGGCGGAAGCCATGGAGAGGACTGAGTGCAGAACGTCTGCTGTTAATGAGAAAAAGGAGGATTCTGTTTTTTCCTGTAAAACAGAAGCAAGCAAAGCAGATTGCAGGTGGCGGGGTAAGTGAGCAATAAATGTATTTAGGGTAAATCAAACTGCAGTACTGCAGAGCAAGCATTAAAGGTTTGGAAACTCCAAAATGTCTGCTTGCTGTTTTCAGAACATGAAAATTCCCCAAGATCTAAGGACTGTCCCTATACCTAGTTCTGTAGATAACTTTGCACCTTTCTACTGCCACTGGACACGAGCTTCTGCTTGTCATGCAAGGAGATGAGAAAGCTTTGCCTGCTGGGCATGTATACTGCCTTTGAATAAACTTGTGTGAGGATGGAAGCTGCAAGCAGTGAAGGCAGAGGGAATATAACTCAGCAGTTGACTTGGCTTTTGATACTTGAGAGACTTTAGTGGATGAGTTAACAGATGTTAGTGACTTGCAGTAGGTCTTCCCTGCAATACTGTTGAACTGCGTGCAAAGTAGCCATTATTGGTTTGAATTTCAAATGTTAAGGGACCTGTGTACATTTTGCCAATACACAGTAAAATAACTGCAGTAGCAAAGTGTTACACATCAAACTAGTGCCTAAAAATTTTTGCTTTTTATGTATTTTTCATATATTTGTAGCTTTGTAGACCATTAATATGTGGCTATACAGTTGCTGGTATTTTTCCTACCCTTCCTCTTAGATTTTAGAGTAACAAGCTAACCTTCTAACACCCTCCTGAAGTAGTGTTTAGTCTTATTTTCAAGTAGAGGACCTACAGGAAGAACATTTTGTTTTCCAATTAGAATATTAGGAGGCATAACAGGAAGTGGAGCAAAGAAGCCCTGGATCAGCTTCAGTGAGACAGTACCTGGGGGAAAAATTACCTAACCAACAGCTCTCCTAATTGGGCAATGTTTGTTAGATAGGATAATTTGTTAAACTTAACAAAAACTGTAGAAATCTGTTACTGGGTGTGCCCACAGCCCATTATTATGGACACACCTGGAAGCTTTGAATAAAGAACTGCTTTTTTTATCTTACCTTTAATACTGTTGTAAGGGGTTTTGTCTTTTTATTTCAGGGAACAAAATGAAAGGAGGAGGTAGGCAAGGGTAGTCAACAGAACTGGTTTAGCAGCAGAGTTCTAAAATATATAAAGACTACAAATCACCCTTTCCCAGACAGCAAGGTGTGCATTTCCTGGATTTTTTTTAAACAGTTGATGGACACTTTTTTAAAGGATTTGAGTAATCATGCTTAGCATAAAATAGAAAAACAGTAGTTGGACTAGAGAGACATGGTAATGGGTAGGAATTGAGCACGAAGGAATGTCTTGGTTCTGATTTTTACCAAATGCAATATGGTTTAGACCACTTTTGTATTCCCTGGACCAGGGAGACAGCACATTACCTTGAGTGTCAGCCCTGTCTGACACTTGCTATTAACAGCAGTAGAAACTTGTGGCTTGAGAATCCAAAGTGGCACAGGAGATGGTTTGTAGCTGTAAACACCTCCAAGGTGTAGTTTCTTGTGGTCTGAGAATGGATGGTGCTGAAGCAGCCTGCTCTTTGTAGTTTCAGTTGTGATAAATCCCATGACTGGTTCAGAAAATAAAACCTTGTCCTGATATGTAGAAATAACGATGTCCATTTAGCTGTCATGAAGAAGGGGGTCTGAATTGTTTACCTGTTTTCTAAGCAATTAATATTGTAGGCAGGAGGCTGACCTTTTTTTTTTTCTTTTTAAATCTATTGTCATGGCATGAAAGGAGGCAATTTCTAGCTCCAGATTATACAAAGAATTGGTGCAGAAGAACAGGCTCCATAAAATAGCTAGTTCAGGCTAGATCCTTTGGTTGTTAGACTAAAAGATACATATAATATTTTGAAGGATATATCTTTCCTGTGTGTTTGATATGGAAAACCAGGGAGTTTCAACATCCAGTTCTTTGATCTTTGGAAATGTGTATAACAAGACAAGACTGAATTGCCTAACTTCCTTTAATCTGAATATGTATCCTGAATATAACAAATTTGGTGTATAAATCCATCAGCCCAGGCATATAGTATAGCAGCCACAGGGATGTACTTGCCAGAACAATAAACTTCATGGATAGCTGAGTAAGTCTTTGCCTTACAGCAGTGATGTATTCATCAGGGACATGTTTCTGACCTGGTCTAAATGCCTGGTTTTGTGTAGCTTGAAATCCTGGCTATTGTCTCACCATGTGTGCTTTAAATGACACAGTCTGTTGTACTTGTTTGTACTTTGTAATTCCCAACCTTACAAGGTTTTACAGAAACACAAAACTTTAAAATACAGGCTGGTTTCAGATGATACTGCTTCACAGAATGACGCTGTAGTTTCATCTGTTTCATTTTCACTAGTTTCTTGCTGATACAGAACCACAAAAGTATTGACAGAGCAGCTAAAGTTACTTTTTTCCACAAATGAGTTTCTTTTCTCCCGTTTCTCCCTTTTGCCACCCCACCGTGACAACTTCTGCTTTTTGAAATCTCAATGCCTGTCCATTTTATAATTCTAAAATCAGGATACAAATACTAAGCATTGTAAAAAGTGCAGTGTTTTAAACAGAACAGACTCTCTGTGCTTTAAAGCAGGCTAGACTGCTTAGGCTAGGCATGATTTGAATTGGTGGAGTGCAAAGCACTGCATTTATTTCACAGCTTTTCTCTGAGCTTCTCTGCAATATCTGATGGGTCACCTAGGCTTTCCGTGCCTCAGCTTCCTCAAGGCAAAACTACTCAGACCTGCAAGTTCCAGATCCAAGTTCTGCTCCTTTTTGTCTCACTACACACAACTGCACGTCAGTGCTCTTAATTCAGTGCCAGTCAAACCAGAGGGAGCTTCTAGATTTGACTGTTCTCAGGGTTCCTGCTGCCTGAATGCTCAGCATGCACCTAGTCCCTCTGTCCTTACCTCTCAGAAGAAATTAACAACCACCTCAGTGAAGCAGTGAACAATACTTGGTGGTCTGCACTTTGCATTTCTGTGACAGCACAAGTGCTTCTCAAAAGTAGGTGGTGTTCCAAGGAAAACAAGTGAGCTGATGAAGAGGGAACTTTGTGTTGCAGATGCTCTGTTCCTGGAGAAGGCCATGCAGCTTGCCAGGCGCCACTGCAACGCTCTCTTCGATTATGCCGTAACTGGAGACGTGAAGATGCTGTTGGCAGCTCAGCGCCATCTCACAGCTGTCCAGGATGATAATGGGGACAAGTGAGTTGACCACACTGCACTTGCTGGGTTGAAACCAATTGGTTTGAGGGCAGAACGGTGTAGTCAATTTGTTCTGTCCCTCATAGGTGCCAGTCACTGAAGGTGCCACTTCTCCTTTCTGCAGTTTGGGAGAGGTACAGCTGTCATTTAGACACTTTTTCATTTGCAAAGAAGTCATGTACACTATAAACTTCATTGATCCAGTACCTGTCAGAAAATAATCTGGTCATTGAGGGTATGTTGAGCAGGTTGTGAGTTTGAGTTTCTTTGCCCTTTTTTACTTAAAATCTTGACTGAGTGAGAATTGCTGTGCTTGCATCATGATACACAGTGTATGGGGACCCTCAGCTTGATGCTGAAGAAGAGTGCCCTGGTTTTTATTCCATGCAAATCCTTAAGTCTTCATAGGATGCTTCAAGTAGATGTAGAAATACAGGTGCTTCAGGAGATGTAGAAACAATAGCTGGAGGGTCCATACTGCATTTCTTCCACTGACACAGAGTTCTTTCCAGAGGACATTATTTTGCTCTTGTTTACATCTGTACTGTTCTGTTGGTTTTCTTCCAAGGGATTGCACAGATTCTTGTGGCAGACTTGGCTGCTAATATTTGCATATCAGTCTTTCCATGATGTGACCTGGAGTGGAAATCCATTTTGTTACAGCCATGCAGATTCTGTGGAACTCGGAGTAAAGTACTGTGAGGAACTAATGATCAGTAGTTATTTAAAACTAAATTCAGCAGAAGGGTTCTGAACAAATACAAAGATAATCTCTTGCATAACCAAGTGAAACTATCACATCCTCACTTTTTAGCTGGAAGGCCCTGTGCAATCACCTACATTTCCTTAAATTTTAGTGTTTTGAACAGTAGAAGCCAGATAAGCCTCAAGGTGTCTGTCTAGAAGGAAAATTTCAAGTGACCGAGACCTGTATCCCACTGTTCAATTACTCTGAGAAATGTTACATTTTCACTCAATTTTCAGTGAAAATAGGCCTCAAATTGCAGACACAGGATTGCACAATCAGAGAGAGCTACTTTACAAGCTTTGCTTTCCAACTGGAAACCTACTGTCTGCTTTGAGATAAGGAGGAATATGAATGAGGTGGGAGCTAGCAAAAAAATCTGTAAGCACTATGGACTGTACAGCTTCTGTCTTTAAGAAAAGAAAGGGGGGAGTTAGAGGAGTATTGAGAAAGTAGGCCCTGCATTTAAATACAAAAATGTGCTTCTCAGATTTGGACATTTTAACTAAGTTAAAATACTTTTTAGAATGATAATAAATAGTTGTTTTCTTGCTGAATCAAGAAGTACCTGCAAGTATCTGAGGCTCAAATTCATGTTCCCTTTCTCCTGAGATGGATTTATTCTGTGAGCAAATACACATCTGTATTACTTCATAACTTTTTGACAAGGTGAAGCTTTGGTGATTGTCTTCTAGGTCTCTTGGGGGAGAAGAAAAAGGTCAAAATTAATTAATAAATTGCTCTGGTTGTCACTTTAATAGTTAAAATTATATGGCAACTACAAAGTTTTTGCTTAAGCCTTTCAAAAAACTTTGCAGTCAGCAATTTATGGCTTTGAGACAGAACCCAGAAACCTATGATTAGTGTGCATTTACATTGGACACTCTGTAACACTGGCTGTGACTGTATTTATATCAGTACCACTGCTCTGTTGATACCTGATGGCTCTACAGTGGTGCTTAAATGCATTTTTTCATGTAAGAATGTTTACAAAATTGAACTGACCTTTCATGGTCTAGTCAGCAGCATCACATATAATGGTATGGTAAGATTAAAATACTTGCTGCTGAAATGAGAACTAAAAGCAGGAGAAGAACAAATGTGTTTCTGTACTGAGATTTGGAAATAAAATGTCAGCATGATACAGAGCATAATAAAAAGCATCTATCAGAGCAGAGAAACAGCACTTTTCCAATAATGGTGGGACTGTTTGTACAGCACGGAAGATTTGAAGGAGGGAAGGTGCCATGATACTTCCAGTAGCAGTAGATCGAATCAATAAAAAATGCCCTTTAAGGATGAGTTTGGTTTGTAAATGATCTTTTCCTGTTTTTTGAAATATCTTCTGGTTTTGACTGCTCTCCATCTCATTTCAGGATGATTCCTTGCCCTGAATGGCATGGAACTTCCTTTTTATTTTTCTGACAAAAGTGTAAATGTGAGACTGTTCAGGTGTTTCTGGAGTGCTTTAACAGACACACCACATGTCCTGTGCTGATATTTTGTGTCAGCAGCAACTTGCTGAAAGATGAGTCTAGAAGTTGGCCAGCATCTGCCAATGAAGGGCTTGGCAGGGTATGTTTCAAAGGCCATGATTTTCAGGTCCTAGGGTAGCAAGGCAAATGGAGCTCTGTGGGACAGGGGTGATGGATTCACAGCCTGCTTTTTCCTGGTGTCATGTTGTGTCCAGCTGCTCGCTGGTGGTGAGGGACCTGCCTTTGGAGAAGAGCACAGGAGGGCCATTGCATTAACCCAGCAGAAGTAAAGTGACTTGCTATGCAGTCACTCATGTCTCAAAACAGGTGCTTTTGTGGCATGATGCCTCTGGCCACTGTTGCAAATCCTGTGGTTGTTAGTCACTGGGCCTGAGTCCTTCTTCATGTTTCTGTTTGAAAATGAAATAAAGAAAAACCCACAGATCTGGGGAAAACCATAAGGGAAAATCTGCTTTGGTACCAGAGAGGCTTGTGGAAATTATGCAGGAAGGTTTTCACAGTAAGAAGTGTTTATCTGCTGTATAATTCAAAATATGAAAAAACAGCAAACCAGCAGAGAATCAGCGGATTTCTGAAACAATTGTTTTGTACTGCACATTTTGTATATTAGCCTAGTACTAAAGTAATGCTGAGGGCCAGCAAAAGCCATCCTGAGTTTGCTTTTCTGATTGAAGGGTTAAACAGTTACCTTCTGACCTGTTTTTTTTTCCCAGTGGTGGGATTCATTTGAGGTCTTTGTACTTAGTGTTGGAATCATTATCTCTAGTAGTTAAGTGTTTATATCAGAATTCAGTCAGATCTACAGCAAAGTCTTGAAATTTTTGTAGTAAGTTTGAAAACAATGTGAATTTGTTAATCTGTTTTTTTGTTTGTTTCAGTGTCCTTCATTTAGCAATTATCCACCTTCATAGAGATCTGGTGAAAAACCTCCTGGAAGTGATGCCCGATTTGAATTACAATGACATCATTAACATGAGAAATGACCTCTATCAGGTGCGCAGTTGTGGGGGTACAAGTGTTCCTGATTGTATAGCCAGTTAAAAAAAAAACTGCACAACTTGCTGTCTTGTGCAATCCCACAATTTGTGGAAAGAGATCAGACTGATGCAAACAAGTTTTGAAAGAAGGATATATTGGAAGGTTGTGGAGGAAAGAGAGCATGTTTTCACTGGTTTAGTCCATAATTCTCCTTGATGGTAACAGAAGTGTCTCCATGGGTTAACTGTGGAAAAGGCTAAAACCAGTAAATTCATCAGTTCATGGCTTCAGTATCTGGCTTCTGTGTTACTAAACCAGAGGTATGGATTACAGTGTGCCAGCTCCTGGCTCCTCTGACTTTTCTGACACTGCTTAACTTGGGATCATGAGTCAGTTCCTGTGTCATCAGTTATCTGTAGGCACATGTGGAAGCCATAATAACCAATCCCCTTCCTACAGCCCAGATTGTATTTGTGCCCATCACATGAGCACCAAGATTTCCTCTTCATTTCTGCAATAACTGAAAAAAGCCCATCTCCATGTCTTTTACCTAGGAGGAAAAGAACAGGCAGGCACAGTTCTGCCTCCTCAACTATATATAGTCTGGCCTGTTTGCATTGTAATTCAAGTTCTAAAAATGCTGTGGGAACCTGCCTGGAAAAGAATCTTTTAAAGAGATTGTGCATGCCACTGAGCAGCACTCTGACACTTGTGTCATTTGTTTTGCTGCAAACAGTAAAGGCAAATTTTAATTCCTATAGGTTGTCCCAGAAGGTTTATTCTGACTTCTTTGTTTTCCTTCACATTTTTATTTTCTTACAAGAAAGTTTGAAATGTGGAAGCTGCTGGAAGTAAGCAGAAGGTTCTGAATTGAATTCTGTGCCCTGTGTTTAACAGGAACAGGAAGCAAAGCTGGGCTCTACACAGGAAATAAATCCCTGACTACCAGAACCTCTACATCTCTTCCTACCTTCAACTTAAGGCATTGCTAGAAGAGAGTGTAGGCTTGGGCTAGAATTTTCTTTCTCTACAGATATTCTGAAAGCTGACATATACCTTTTATAGATGCAGTTGTTAATTGCAAATGTGTTGACAGATCTATTGACAAACACAAGCTTATTCTGCAGAACTGGATTTAGTCTTTATTTTTAAAGTCCTCTGTCAATATAATCTAGATATGGAACCTTACTCAATTTTTAAATTGTTTTAGTATTGGAAATACTATTTTCCAGAGCACACTAGAATGCTTACTGTTTAAATAACATGCATCTGTATGTTCAGTGTGATGCTGCTCAGAACTGACAAGAATGCAATATGCAACCAACCTTTGGAAGGTCCCAAAACCTCTCAGTCTGAGCACTGCTCAGTGCTGCAGGTGCGGAGAAATGGGGAATGTGCAAATGGGATCAGCTAGTTCAACACACATGGCATAAATGCACAATTTTTCTGCAGTTTGACAAGTGCACATAATTGCAGGATTTTCTTCTTTTCTGTGTAGCCATTTTGAGATAAGGAACTCCTATGCCCATGGCTGCAAATCTGTGATTCAGGAGCAAAATGAAAGCATGGTTCATTGCTAAAGGATCTGAGTAGGGCCTGGAAAACATGTGTGCTCCCACTGTGCCATGAGCTTGGTGATGGGGCAGCTGTGGAAGCAGGGGGACACAAGGATTATCTCATTTCCCGAGTCCCTTGCACTGCAATGCTCAAATAGCTAGGTCAGTGTCCTGGTTTATAGAGCAGGCAACATCTTTCTTCCTCCCAAAGTCCAGCTGCTGACATTGGCAACGCAGCTTTTATTTCCAGTAAGTAGAAACCCTATTTGTAGTATTCAGTGGAAAAGAAGCTACAGCACTCCAAAGCCAACAAACCAAAAGCTTGCATATGTGTACAGTCTTCTCACACGAGGAGATTTTATGGCTTTCAGAGATTTCTGTACAAGTGATATAGCTGGTGCTTATTTTTTCATGGCTTCTGTCACTTGCAGACCCCCCTGCACTTGGCAGTAATCACAAAGCAGGCAAAGGTGGTGGAAGACTTGCTGAAGGCTGGAGCAGATGTCAGCCTTCTGGATCGCCACGGCAATTCTGTCTTACATTTAGCTGCTACTGAAGGAGATGACAAGATTTTGAGTCTACTCCTCAGGCATGAGAACGTATCTCCCATGGTCAACCTCCCCAATGCTGAAGGTATGGAAAGATAACGGCTGTATTTTACTCTTTCCTGCTAGACAAACACACCACAATTCCTACCAACACTGTGTTGCTACACAGGTAGATAGACCCTGAAAATAACATCTTTTGCCATTTTGCATATGCACAGGCACAGGTGAGAAAGCACAGGCATGTCAGTTTTCTGGTTATACAGAACAGGAAGATTGGTAATGGTCATATGACACAGCATGGATTTGAATTTTTGTCACTGTACATTCTCTTCAATCTCACAGAACCTCAAACACTTGTGTTCATCTTGTTCCTTATGCCACCCTTGGTCTTTTAAAAAAATCCCCCCAGAAGAAAATGTTTCCTCCTGTCCAGTGAATGAAATCCCCTTAGAAATAGTTTCTGGAGTAGTATTGAGTTTCATATCTGGTACTTTGTGACCATACAGAATTAAAGCCTGTAAAATAACCACAGAGAGACAGTTCTCCCATTTTTCAGTGCACAGGAGATTTTAATTTAGTACTCCTGCTCTAACAGATTGTGAAATGTCTGACCTAAAATTGTCATCATGGATTCAAAAAACTGTGTTCAGTTTTTCAGAGAGGATTTTTTGGTAGTGTGTTGGTTGGTTTTTTTAAAAAAGACTTTTTTATTATCTTTCTGGTGCAGGTATTCTTGAGGTGTCAGGTTACTGTGACTTTACAGGAGGATGATACTAAAATATACCTGTTACTCTCCAAACCATTTTCTAGAAGAGATGTTCAGTGGCAGATGGGGCCAGTGTGGGGTACCTACTTGTTTAGCACCAAGATGCAGAGTTTCTTTTTAAGCCTATTTTCTTAAGGCAGAAAGATGATCTATGTGAGCTCTGTAGTTTCTGCCTTCTGTTCCATCATATAGTCTGATATTTTTTTTTCCTTGCATGGTTTGACTCTCCAAGTTTCAATTTATGCACAAAGAACATATTTATTAACATTATTAACTTCATCCTGAGTCTCCACCTGGAGTGCTCTCTTAGGGTCTAGGGCCCCCGACGTAAATAAGGAGGACATGAGCTTGTTGGAGTAGGGGCAGAGGAGGGTGTGAAGATGCTCACAGTGCTGTAACACCTCTCCTCTGCAGACAGGCTGGGAGAGCTGGGGCTGTTCAGCCTGGAGAAGAAAAGGTTCCAAGGAGACTTTACAGCACCTTCCAGTACCTAAAGGGGGCCTACAGGAAAGCTGGAGAGAGGTGTTTTATGAGAACATGTAGGGACAGGACAACGGAGACTGGCTTTAAGCTGACAGAGGGTGGGTTTAGATTAGATCTAAGACAGAAGTGCCTGTGAAGATGATGAGATACTAGAACAGATTGCCCAGAGAAATTGTGGATGCATCCTTCCTAAAAGTAGGTTCAAGGCCAGGTTGGATGGGTCTTTGAGCAGCTTGGTCTGGTGGAAGGTGTCCCTGCCCACAGCAGGACTGGGGTGGAACTACATGATCTTTGAGGTCCTTTCCAACCCAAACAATTCTATGATTCTATAGTCATTTAGTGTGTAAGCAGGCAAAATACATTACTTGTGCTCAAGTAACTACAGTAACTGTAACTCATTTTACAATTTTCTCACTTTGAAACTCGTTACTCTGACATTTCTGAATTTTACAAATATTAATGCAAATGATGGATGGGTTTTGTGTAGGTCTCAGTGCAATTCACATGGTGGTGATGGCAAATAGCATGTCCTGCCTGAAACAGCTGATTGCTGCTGGAATTAATGTCAATGCTCAGGAACAAAAATCTGGACGAACTGCACTGCACTTGGCTGTTGAACAAGAGAACATCCCCTTAGCAGGCTGCCTTTTGCTTGAGGTAAGGACAGAATTTCTTTCTTCCAGGTCTTTTCAATTATATATTTAAAGGCTGTTGACAATCCTTGAATGCTTCAGAATGACAGAAGAAGGGAGGAGCTTCCTGTTTATTGACTAGATTACTTGAACTGGTATAGTGGCAAAGTTACAAGGTAATGTTGCTGTTTTGTCCAGCACTGCTGGGGAAGCTTTTGCCCAAGCTGAGGAATTCAGAGTTTGTGACCCTAACTTTTTTTTTTTCTTTTTTTTTTAACTGAAATAATGCTGGCAGGCACTGAAGTTACCAAGAACAAGGTGATCCCTTCTTCTGTGTGAAGTAGAACATGTATAGAGATGTGCAGAGAGATGTAGTTGTGTAATCTGTAAATATTTGTCTCATCCTAACACCTTGATCCTGGTATCCTTCATTCTGCACACCCCAGCTGGCTGTGTAGCTTTCCTCTGTGCCCATCTATGGGTGTGCTACCAGCCTGGCTGTTCTGATGAGCAGCAGGAGGGCAGGATTCTGTGCACACCACTCCCACTCCAAAGGCCACAGGCAATCAGATGGCAGAACTCTTACAGGGGATGCAAAGTAGCTTTTATCTACCTGACCAATTTGGAGAGACCCTGTGCCTCCTGCTCTAGCACTGGAACACACTACCATCCTATGCATGTAGCCAGTTGTAGTTACTTTCTAATTCCTTCTTTTTAGGCCACAGTTAGAATTTTTATGCAATCAGGCAGGGAATGGTGCTTACTTGCACAATAGCAGTGTTTATGCTGACATAAGCTTCTGCAGCTGCATTGTACAGATTTCTTTTCTTTTTTACCATCCAACAAAAACTTAGGGTGATGCAGATGTGGACAGCACTACATATGATGGGACAACTCCTCTTCACATAGCAGCTGGAAGGGGCTCAACAAAATTGGCAGCAGTTCTCAAAGCAGCAGGTATGGAAATAGATCTTTGCTGGAGATTTTTCTTTCACAGTGACAATTCAAGTTAGAAGGCTGCAAGCAGAAAAGACTGTGCCAGTGAACTTGTCTAAATTTAAATGGGTGGAGGAAATCAGATACTAAAAGCAAGAAGGTCTGAATTTCCTCAAAGTCCTGCTCTGAGGTGCTGTACTAATCACTCTTCAGCACCATCTAATGGCTGGAAAGGCAAATTATCTTGGTCAAAAAAAAATTTATGAGGACTTTGGGAAGTTTCTTGAGTATCTTTTGTAGCTTTTATAGCTGAAGAAGTGGAGAAGAGATCTTTTTGTGTATCTGGGATAAGTGTGGGACTGCTTTAGAAATAAAAAGCCAAAAAAATACCATCACTAAAGCATGAGCTTATTGCTGTCTCCTACTGCTGTCACTTTGGAAGAATTAGGTTGGAGTATTTATTAGAATATTTTGTCAGTTGTACATAAACCTGATTTTTCTCATTTGAAACAGAATCCCAACCCTCTCATTGCTGAGGCCTGCCTGCTTGGTCTTTTTAAAAACACTCCCAACTTTCTCTGACACTCTAAAAAGCAGCATCACACCATCCCTTCATCACATGCATGCTGGGCTGTGTAAGGCAACATGGGACTGGGAGTCAGTAGATACCCGACCTCACTCTTTGGGCCCTAAGGATCAGCTTGTCATTTTTTTCCCCTCTTTATAATGGAGAGTAGCATTGTACAGAAATGTGACAGCATTTAAATATAACTGAAAAAAGATATACTTGCTAGTTTAACATAAAATATAATTTACCTGGAGTAGCTAAATTAGCCAATTTGTCATTCAGTACATAGAACGCATATTTTAAATATTATTGAGAAGCAACTTGAAGCCCCTTTTCTCCACACACACTTGTTTTTCAGGTGCAAATCCTCACATTGAGAACTTTGAGCCATTGTTTGACTTAGATTATGTGAAAGAGGATGAAGATGATGATGAAGGGATTGTGCCTGGAACAACACCACTGGATATGGCAGCCAACTCTGAGGTATGTGGTCTGTTTTCTCTTTTAGTTTTTTGCTGGGTTTTTTTGTGTTTTTTTTCTAATTATAAAGGATAGTTTAGCTCTCTCAGACAGCTCCTTTCATTGCATCCAAAATTATTGCAATTAATTAGATGAATTTGCCATCAAAAATTAAGCTAATTCAGCCATAAAACTCCCCTGATGAAACAGCACTGGAGGAAAGGTCCACTGAACTGACTAATGCTGCTGAACAGAAATGACCAGGCAGTTCCTGAAGTAGTTGCACTAGAGTCTTCAGTGTGGGAAAGTATTTACCTGGGTGGGCAGCTTGTGTTTCAGCCCATTCTCCAATAGGTTTCTTTGCTGAGTGTTCTTCAGAATTGCAGCCTGTGTGTGGTGGGAAAATGCATTCCTGTGTTCTACCCAAACAGTGATTAAGCTGATTATTGTGCATATGGCTTGGTGTTAATGTAAAGGATAGCAGTCAGCATTTCTAATAATCTGGAGCTGGGGAGTACCAAGCTTAGGTGAAAATATAACCCAGGCTTTGTTTTCAATGACTAGTTGCAGACAGGCAGCAGCTCCTTGCTGTCTCTGCTACTGCCGTTTATTTACTGCCAAGACTTCCTCTGTGTCGTGAAAATAGTTGCCAGATGACACAGCTTAAAATAAAAGGATATTTAACTTCTCCAGATTTCTCCCTAAAGTTTAGCACAGGTTTTGTACAGTATTTTTCGTCACACTGAGTCTGGGAGCGAAAAATGCTGATTTACAGATGGAATTTTATACAACACTGCTGAGACTTAATAGACACTAACCAGATTTCTCCTAAATACTGACTTTAATGTGCTCTCTTAGGTGTATGACATATTAAATGGCAAACCCTACGAGTCAGCAGAGGTTTTGGAGGACTTACTCACACAAGGTAACACCTATAAAAACTTGACTTGATATCCCTCTAGTAATTGAGTACTGAAAGTGTAGTGGCAGAAGACACTGCCCTGCTTATAACTGAGCTAGTGAGAGAAAAGAGGTGCCCTTCCACCCCTCAAGTCATAGAATGAGAACAATTCCCTTAAGATGTCTCAAGGACAAAGAGTACATTTGCAGTATTGCAGCAATACATTTGTAAATGCTGGGATTGAACTCTCAAACAGCCTTCAGTTTGGCTTTGTTTCTTCTTAAAAATGAACTGGTGCATGTCTTGTATAAATAATAAACTAATATATTTCTCTGTTCCCCAGGACATTTGAGAGAGCTGAATGAGAATTCCAAGATGCAGCTTTACAAACTATTGGAATTACCTGATCCAACCAAAAACTGGTCCACCCTAGCACAAAAACTGGGTCTTGGCATACTTAATAATGCCTTCAGGTTGAGCCCTTCCCCATCGAAGACTCTGCTGGATAACTATGAGGTAATGTGCTGCAACAGGTTATAAAGAATATGGATACACATAGAGAACCTCGTTCTCCTGCAGTCAGACAGCACAGCCCTTCAGTTCTAGCCAGCCTGGATGATGCTGAGTGTGTGATGTCTGCTCTTTCAGGTGTCTGGTGGTACAGTTCAAGAACTGATCACTGCTTTGAGACAGATGGATCACACAGAAGCCATAGCAATAATTCAGGAAGCACTGTCCATCTCACGCAGACCATCTCCCCGGGAAGACAGCACAGCAAAAGCTCTTCCATCATCATCACCGCTCACCTTTGCAAATGGAGAGACAGGTAAAACTGACAGCAAAATATGAAGACTTCTATTTATTTAGGACTTTTTTGAGTTTTCCCTCCCCACTCTATCTAGGACTGCTAGGATTTCATGCCTTCTTGCACATACTGCTTCACCTGCTTACTGGTTTTAGAAATATTTTGCTGCTCTCACCACAGTTATCTGCTAGGCATAGGAAAAAGAGGAAATATTAACCACTTGAATCAGCATGCCTGCATCACAGTATTCATTGTACTGCTGTCCTTTGCTAAAACCAGACACCTGCCATTTCCTAATGGTAATGTCTTAGATGTACTGGGAATATAGGCAGTTATCTCCTAGGTGTGTACAAGTGCTATTAGCTTTTTTACTTCCCCCCTCCCCACCCCTGTAGTGGTATTAAAAAAAGTGTTTTGGGCTCCTAAACTTCTCAGTAAGACTTCAGTATTACATTTCTCCTTCCACAATATGTAGCACTTCAAAATGGCCCAGTGTTCTGTAGGCAAAGAAACTGGGGATGGCTTAGGTTACACAGGACCTCAGGCAGTCCTGCTGGACAACTACCTGCTCAGAGCATGGCCAGTGGAACATGAGGTTGCCCATGTTACGTCCAGTTGAGTTCTGAGCACCTTCAACGATGGAGGTCCTACAGTGATTTTGGGCAGGGAGAAAGAGGAGTTGTGAGAAGTTTGTCACCAGGGCTGTTCAGTCACTGCCAGGCCAGGTTTAGTAACAAAAACATTTTTTATTTCCTGTACAAACAGTGGTAGTGCTGCCTATAGCCAAATGTGGACACTTACACCCTGTGTAAAAACACTGTAGGTATTTCTAGTAAGAAAAAAGAAACACCACAGTCACTCCATTCCAGTCTAACAGTGCCAGTTTATTCTCTATAGAAAAGTGTTTGGTCAGTCATGAATAAACCTTCACACCCACCCAAATACGTGCTTGTACACATATTGCCCATTTAGATTCATCTTGAAGGGTAAGAGGGGTTCTGCTCCCTCTGTAACATGGAGGGCATCATATAGTTTATTTTAAGATGTTTGTCTAGAAAAACAAGACTGAACTCTTAAGGTACCACCACTGTTTTAGTCACACTGATCCCACATTGTACCTTCAGTTTCAGCTCTTGCAGTCAGGCACTCCTTCTGTGGATGCTGCACAGGTGATAGAGGCTACTGACTTGTTCCTATTTGGGGTCACTTACTAGATAAAAGCTCTTCAAGTGTTTGTCTCAAAAATAAATCTGTAAGTTGAAATAACATGAATTAAAAGCCTCCTGGAGTTGTACACTTGCACAGAGTGTGACTCTGAGAACCAGAGTACCTTCTGCCCTGTGATCACCACAGCTGGGCAGAGTTCTGACCCAAGTGCACTGACGGCATTAGTGTCAGCAGAGCACCAGGCTTCTCATCCCCTCCAAACTCCAACTGCAAGCTGATCTCTGCCAGCAGTACATAAGATCACATGCTTTAGTTGCCTGGAAACGTTCAGTACAGCTTTTCCTATTACAATAACTTACAGTAGACTTATTTTCCTATAGAAGAGTTTAACCCTGTTGGTTGGTATTCCTTAGGCTTTTCACAAAGCAACCTTGCTTAAGCCACACAAATGATGATGTTTCCCTTTTCTCTGTCCCTCAGGTGAGCTCTGTAATAGCAGATTCCAAGACCTCGAAAGTACCTGTGACAGTGGTGTGGAGACCTCCTTCCGCAAGCTGAGCTTCACTTCCTCAGACTCTCTGACCAGCAAGTCCTCACTAACACTTGGCAAAATGGCCCTGGGCTATGGACATGAAAGTTCAGGGCAAAGCAATTACATAGCTGACTAGTGATCTTCAATTAGCAATATGCAGTTACAGGAACAAATGGGACATTTCAAATTACATCAGTGTCGTCCTGGCCAGAGGGAAGGGAACTCACAACCAAAACTGCACTGGAAGAATCCCACCTGAACCCGAAAAAATAGCAACTGCAGCATGTGACTCCTGGCCACTGCTTCCTTCCTCAAGTACATTTAATTGTGTTCATTTACAAGCCATTTACAACAACCAGGGCTCCACTGCTGCATCAATACACAGGTCTGGATGCTGTGAAAGACTGACTGAGCTTCCCTGGCCTGTGAGGATTTTCTTTTACAGATAAAAAAGAAGTTGTTAATGCATAATACAAACTTACTAAAGAGGTTAAGCACACGAGCAATCAGAGGATACAGTATGTAGCTGCTCTCTTCATAATTTTTGCAGCACGGTTGCATGCAAACAGCTTATAAAATAGCTGGCAAAAAAAATCATTACTTTAATCACAACAGTGACAACTTGGCATAAAAAGAGAATCCTGAAAGAATCTTGTATATTTCAAATAATGTATTTTAACTTAACTTTGGTGCCTCTTATTCAAAAAATTTTTCAAGTTTGACATTTTCCTACTTGTAAATAGTTTTTTATATCTGTTCCTTTTTGAAAAAGCGTGCTTTTTAAATGCTTATTTTTATTTTACTTTTATAATAAAACCCCAAAATTAATTCTCCTGTCTGTGCTTGCTGTGATTTTTACATTACTTTTCAAGCGGTATTGAAGATTTAGATGCAGTTTTAGGCATTGATACATGATCATGCTGATTTCCAAGCACTAAAATAAATGAAAGGTTGCAAGCCACCTGTCCTAAAGTTAAAGTATCTTTTATGGAGGGAGAGCAGGACCATCAGCTACTGCTGAGCAGCTGTGCTTTGAGATTAAAGCCTGTTCCTTGTTTTAGATCTCATCATTATGGCAGTATAGAATCATTTACACTAAAACCAACTATTTAGTGTCTCAGCAAATTTCTGATGAGACAGCTCTCCTTTGGGCTATCTAGAATCTCCGTTAGTAATTGTGCTCATGAGCAGTGTTTCTTCTTGTCTGACATCAAATTCTGAGATGGTGAGTGTCCTGTAATTTATGTTGGCCCAACTAAACAGAACGGGCATCAGAGTTCATGATGAAAAAGCCAAGAGGGTCATTGTCACTTACTTCTAGCCAATTTTTGTGACACAAAGATGGAGTGTTGACAGTGTGGTTCTTGGCTCAGCTCAGTCTTCAGTACCCTGGGTGTCACTCCTGAGAAAATGAATCAAAATAAACCTTGAAAATGGTTATGTTTAGAGTGGTAGCTGCTGTAATGAATTGAACTATGACTAATGAAAAAAACTTGTGAATTAATTTTATAATCCAGCTGAATTACTGAGAACATTAATTACTTCCAGAGAAGATGAGTAATAGTAAAAGTGCCATTCTATCTTTCAGTCCTTATATCTATAACCCTCATCTAGGCAGTGTCTAAGGCATATAGATTTTTGTACAATTAATGTACTTCTCCAGTGTTCTAGTTGTATTTCAGCTCTAATAGAAACAGGCAAAGGTTCTCATATTCCAGGAGTGGAGGGGGCTTTTTGAGCCCCAGGAGAGCTGTACAATTAAAACACACCTTCTGCTTCCAAAGAATTTCTAACACAGTTCATGGTGCTGGCAGAGATTTTTACTGAGGTTTCTACAATCCTGCAGGTCACCAGGGCACCCTGGCTGTTATGCACACCTTTTAGCTTTAGTTCTGACCAGCTCTGCTTTTAAACCACCTGGATCTAAATTTCCTTAAAGCCCTTCATGACCAGATGTTGTTGCATAATAGCTGTTTATCAGGTTAGTGATCATCCACAGGAGGGCCCCTAGGCCCTGTGTAGGGAAGTGTATTAAATGACAGTCTCGTAGCTTCTCAGTTTCAGTGTATTTATTAAAAAGGCTTTAATCTTTTTAGGTTTTTTCCCTTTGTTTAGAGATAGAAAAATACTACTGAGTGTGTCTGTCTACACCTGGCTTATAGAGAGAAACCTCAATCTGTATGTGCAGTGGAATAGAGCTCACTCTGTTATTCTGCTACTCTGCTGTGGTAACAAACATCAGAAACTTATAGAAAGCAGCAAAAGTTGTGACAACAGATCTCTTCAGATTTTCTCTACATCTGATATAAAATGAATGATTCAGAAAGTTAAACTGCTCTTGATTTTAGATTGGCTGCTACAGCTGTACGTTTCCTGGCATCATCTTGGTATGTATGTACAAACTTGGAAATCACTAGTAGTGGGAAGCTCTAAGCAGCATTCTGAGATTCTCTGGATTGCAAGGATAAAGATCTTACCTACATGTAGTGGTGTATGAACTGTCTTTTCTCCATTGCCTGGAAAGTAAAATGCTTTTTTCACACATTTAAGGAAAAAGAGTCACTCTCCTTGCTTCCCCCAATTACAGTGACAGGAATGGTTGTGCCCATTTGCTAGCTCAGTGTGCAGTGGTCAATACTCACTCACCATCCACAGCGTCTGGCCTTTCTGGATGATCATGTCTGGATGAAATAAAGCCGTTCTAGAGTAATGGCAAATGGCACAGGCCAAACTTTTGCTGGCTTCGAGACTCCTCCTACAACAAAAGACAACGCAAGTTAATTCCCAAGGAGTTGATTTTCTCCTTTCAGCATTATGAAACAGCCTGATGTCCCACTTGGAGCCAAGCTGGAGTATGTTTTTCCAAGGCTGCAGAGGATTCCCATGGGCTCATTTAAACCTATGTGCTATAGGATTTTTCAGCCATCCAGTCACCTTTGCCATATAGACAATGCAGGAGAGCACTAGCTCAGGTACTTAAAGGTCTCTGCTGACTGACTCTACTTCTTATAGAGATGGCCTTTTTTCATTTAAGTTTTGGTTTTCTACACTAATTGAATGAATTTGGGGCTTTTGTTTTGCTACCTTATAACATCTGACTGGAAAGCAGGGTTATGTAAACACAACTCTTGGATTGAAAACGGTTCTAAAAATTTCAAACCGTGAGTTCCTAGTACCCTAAGTAGGTAAGAAAGAAAAGAGTGATTCTGTTTATTTCTGACAATAAAAAGGCTTGCTTGTAAGCTTCAAACCCCAGCTCTCCTGTACTGAAAATAAAGTCAATGGCCCATTTCTCTGCTCCTGACACTGGTTCAAGTCACTGAAATGGTCTCGCTACACATCTCCAAACCAAAAGGGAACTAACAGAAGTAACAGTATGGAAGAAAGATGTGCCTCTAAGGCAGAAAATTTGTCCAGACCACAAGGTATGCAAACAGCAGGTAACAAGAAAGACTAACAGAACTATGAACAGTTACTTAGAGAGCAATTTTTAGATATATTCGCATGCTTCTTTCCTGGAGAAGATGCAGAACTTGAAAAAGTTCCAAGGACATGCTTCAGTAAACTGGAGAAAAATAAGTCTTCCTTGTGTGTCAAAAAGTACAAACTGGTGCCCTCCAAAGCTCAAAATGGTCTCTGCAAGCCCAGAATGTGTTCACACCTAAATCCCAGCCAGAGAATGGTTTTAGGACTACAGATTAGCCAACACCATACAGTTTTCTTCCCAAAACTGTTCTCGAGTTCTGTTCTCGAAGGGCATTTGTCATGGCTGTGGGGCACTCTGGCTGCTGCTTTTGCCATCAGTGGACAACAGCCCAGAGGGGCCCAGGAGCAAACAAAGGCCATCAGCACAAGAGAATTCACCAGTCCTTAACAAGACATGGCAAGGCAGCAATGAAAGAACAATGGCACGGCCAGTCCCCTCGACTGCTGCCACCAATAATGTAAAGACACTGAGGACAAGCACCATAGCTACCAAATGCTCTCCTAAGGCTCCTGCTGCCAAACCCCCATCAACAAGAATTGGCAGTACAGGTGCTGCTGCAGCTGTAACAACACTCAGCTGGCAAGATGGGTACGTGGATAGGAGGGCAGGGTACCAGTGCTGCCTTCCCCATTTCTGCCCCAATCTGAGACAAAGGCAGAACAATGTAACCAGTATAGCACACGATGCCACTGCTAAAGTAACACTGGTTAACTAAAACACACCTTACAGCCACTGCTGCATGGTGAGAAAACAGCTTCTGTAAATATACACCTGCTACAACACCAGGAAACCAAAAGAACATATTAAGGATATTAAAACAATAATGGCAGTCAACCTTCCCCTTTAAATTCTGTTTTGAGTTCAAGTATTTGGCTTAAGCAATTGCTAATCTTTCATAATGGCACCTAGTGCTGAATTAAAGATTTTCATTGAAAAGAAGAGACCTACCCCTCAGGGAGCTCCTGACCTTCAAAAACAGCAATAATTTAAAAAATTGCCCAAACTTTGCTCTGTCAATCTCGTAATTGCAAAAAGCAACAGGGGAAAAAAATAATAGAATGCTGTTATGTATAACTGTGTTGGCAGACTTCATTTGTATAGCCACTTCATCGCTTATTAATCATGTACTACATCATTTCTTTCAAGATTTTGCCTAAAAATTATGACAGGCTAGATGAGATCACAGCTATCCAAATTAGTGAACAGGTTTTGCTTCTAGCAATCCAAAAGTTTTTCTACATATCTCAGACTTCACTCATATGCTGAGACAAATATCACTGATCTCCAGATAGGTCTCTTGATTGTCTCTAAACAAGTGATTCCTCCAAAGTTTTATTTATTTAACATTATTAAGTGCCATTTTGAAAGTCTATCTAGATGTTGCTGGAAAAGACATTTCTCCATCAATGTAAAAGAAAGACATCGAGACTTGCTCTTTTTCTAATACACTGCAGCAGTACATAATAATCATATTTTCTCCACTTTTTTTTTCTTACCTTGTATTGACTTTACTGCTGCTTTGATTCCACCTTGATTCCAGGACACCAAAAAAACCAGAAGGATTTTTCTGGTATTGTTAGCCCATGATGTCTCTCAGAATAGCTTTTTAATTTCCTTTGTCAGCGCCTGCATTTGTTAGGTTTTACTCATGACTGTCATTTTTCCTATCTATTTTACAAAATCTATAAACATTGGCATATACACATCCATATTTGGATTGTTTTCATATCTTCTTTTAGTTAGGTCTTGTTTTGAACCAGATCCAACTACAGTTAGTTGTTTTGGTGACCCAATAAAGCATTTGTAAGAAACTCTTAATTAATCATTTCCCTTTCATCTACAAGTTCTTCCTCTTGCTCAGGAGTATGTCGGTTTTGGTTAACACCAAAGCATCAACATGCTCATTAATACTGCGATCACAACTCGAGTCTGAGTTCTCCAGTGGAACACAGAGCTGCTCCCCCCACACGTGCTCCAAACCCCCCACACCACGAGCAAGTAATGCCCACATGCTGCTTTTACGAGAGCGAGGGACATCAGGGACAGAGCTCGTTCAAACTCCACCTACTGTGATGCTGATTCTGCTCTGCAAGAAAATTAGTATTTGCCTGGGTGGACAGAGGATCCTTGTGGAACCCCAGCAAGATCCCAGCTGCATTTCAAACCACAGCTGAGAGACAAGCCAAATGTTTAGCAACCTGCCCATGGAATGGCTCCATGGCCTAGTGGAGGTAGTCCCAGCTTCCCTCCCTGTCCTTCTGCCTTGCTCCCAGCATACCTTGCTGTTATCCTAAAATGAATTTCCACTTACAGCATAGTGAAACTAGAAAAAAATATGGATGTGCTTTCAATACACCACATATATTATGTAAACTTTGCTGTTGTTAATTTTAACTGCTGATTCAATGTAAAGATAACATGACAAGAAGAGACAGTGTGTTCTTCAGTGAGCTCACAGTGCACGTCATTTCAGCTTCAGCCAAATTCTTCTTATTTTTTTATCTCCTCCTGTTTCCTTCTTTATTTAGAAGGAAATGAAGTATTCTCAGACAACATCCAGTAGGGAGGTCAAGATTAGTGAACTTTTTAGCTCTTCAACACTGGTAGGTTCCCAAGGATAAAACACAACCATTTTCTTCTTTTCAGTCATGAGGAAACCATTATCACTAAATCTGCCTTTTATACTCCCTACATCCAGAGTAACAAAAGGAGCAATTGCAGTGGTCTGAAGAACAAATATATAAATGTCATCTTGTTGGGATACAGAGGCCTGAAAGAGAAATAAAAAATATGTATTATTAAAAAAATACATGTTAAAGGAGACCCCAGTTACACTTAAACTGGGAAAGACCTGCATGTCAGTAAAACAGGCTGAACAACCAAATTTGATCATAAATAGTATTCTTCATATGTGAGAATTATGCAAAACCTACAATATTACTAGAGCCTTCCTACAGAAAAATACAGATTGTGGAAAAATGCCAAGAAGTATTATTCCTTTGCCATCTTCTTATGAGAATAACTGATAATCTGAGTAATTTTATGAGAATAACTGTAATCTGAGTTCTACATAGCACTGATATCCCATACTTACTGCAGTGAAAGAGATTTGTCCTTTCACCAACACTTCACTCAATTTATCAATTCACATCTACTAAAAGAGCTTGCCCTTTCAATTATGTACATAATAGAAATACACAGAAGCAAAAGATGGTAAAAATCCTAGTAAGACAGAAAGACTTAATGCATCATGCCAATGAAGCCCTTATACTTAATTTAGCTATATATTTTAAAAATAGTTGTAAAATACAAGGTCAAGGTATAATGTTTTGTATTAAGTTCTATCAGTACGTAAATCTCAGAGAGACTTTAAATCCCTCCAGGATACATTTTCATGCAGCACTCACGATTCACCATAATGAACGATTATGCTACTTAACTTTCAAATACCAGTTAACCATCTATAAAAAAAGAACAAATTACATTCAGTGCAGGCATCATATTCCAGTTACAAGAAAAGCAACACTATTCATTTTTGAGAAAAAGCACATATCCTCTACACATTTTGTTTCCTGAAGAAATATTAATGCTTTTGATGCTTTTTAAAAGCAATGCTACGAATGGTAGCTCTTGGATTAGCAATGTATTTGAAAGCCTAGTTAATTTATTAGTAACTAAGTATAGACATACTAGCCTCTCCCAACACAGTAATTTTTTAAATCACAGCTGCATTTCTTAAATGACCACTTTGCATTTATCCTTGATAGCTATCCTTATTAGTTAATATTGCAAAGACAACACCATTAAAATACAGAGGAATGAAATTTTCCAAAAATGCTCCAGTTGCAGAGCTTTTCTTATTGATGATATCATTCATAAACCAAAACAAACAAAAAACCTCCCCACAGCATGACTCAGACTCCAGATTATACCACTAGATGAAAAAGAATTAAAACAGGCTGATTTCTTTTCTTTGCATACTCAGGAGGCAGGCTGTGCTGCTGTGAAAGAGATAAGAAGAGAAAATCTGGCCCATTTTCTTTTTGTAAAGCAATTATGCTGGTCCAGATTCAAAGAGATTAGACCTCTATTCCCCCCTTGTTCAGTTTAGTGCTAAAGAGCAAAGCTGTAGTTTGAAAGCTAAATGTGAGAACACAAAGGTCCCCCATCCTGCCCATTTGATGATTAAGAATTTTCCAGTAAGATGTACATGCTAAGAATGGAGGTTTAACGAAATGTGTGCACACACACACGCAGGGCATGCAAGCTCTCTATATAAACAGCAAGCTTGCTAGGAGCAGAAGAAATCTAGGAAAAAACAGCAAATTGACTAAATGACCGGGTTATATAACACTGATGGATGATTTTTTTTTTTTTTTTGCCTGTTTAGAAGACTGACATACCAGCTATTAAGAAATAATCACTATTATGCAAATCAGAACCCTTACTGGAGGGCAGGGATTTGAAGGAGGAAGAAAAGAGCATGTAATACTACATGTTAGCAATGTTACACTGATCTGAGAGCATGAGCACTTCCAGAGGAAATTCTGCTGATGATAATGCACTCCACACTCAACTGAACTAGGATCACCTCATCCTGATACACAGTGCTGTCTGCAAGCCAGAACAGCTGTTATGATGCTATTTGCTGTCTAGGGACAAAAAAGAAAGAAAGGAGCAATGCTGCAAGGTGGAAGACAATCTAAATAAATGAAAGGGAGACTTCATTCTTTAAAACAAAAACAAAGCTCAGACAAAAAACCATGAACAAACAAACAAACCCCAGCAGTCTTATCTGGATAGACATCTAGTGACACCAGAAAAAAATCCGATTTTGAACTCAACCTGGAAGCCAGAACAGCAATAACTAAGGAGAGAGAACATTCAGTGGAATCAGACACTGCATAGCCAGCAAACAACCCAAAACAGTAGGATTAGTAAAACTAAACACAGTAATTTAGCATGATTGATGCTTACACTAAGCTGGGTCTTCTCTAATCCCACAGCATCCCTGAGTGATGAAAGGAAGTAATGGTTTGTAGGACTCTGGAGCCCATCTTCTCCCACGAGACAGAAAGTAATAACACAGCTTTTCCTGGTACAATTTCTGCATCTTTCCAGAAGGTCACTGATGGACTCCTTGTAGATGGGGACAGCACTTTGTGCTTTAACAGTCACACCTTCTTTGGCAAGGGTGCATACGGGCTCCAAAGAGCTCCAGGCGTGCACAACGACCTATGAAGCACATTGAGACAGCACAGAGCTTAGAAGAAAGGCTACATCTGTAAAACAATGCAGCATCCTAGATTTCAGATTGTGCATTACAACAGATGTTTTTCTGACAGCACCAGATGATTTCCACCTAGCAAGAAACTACACAATAGATACAGCATAAAAATTAGATCATTCTAAAAACCTAACAAGAGGGCCATTTCATACAGTCTGGAGCTGCTCTTGACCTGCAAGACTTTTTTGTCTTCTCCAGGTTCCTTGAGAGGTAGAGATTGCCAACTCCTACCAAGGGAGTGCTGGGAAATGGAATTACTGAATGAATAATTTGTTGACTCCTTTTCCTCCGTTCCTGGATTAAAAAAAAAACTCAAAGGATTTTCTTGAGATTGCTCAGCATTATCTGATGCAACCTAACTGGGTATGCTAGAGTTTCTGCTTAATCACTCTTAAACAGAAGCAACCTTCATCATCTTAAAAGGGATTATGAAGGTTATATGAATACAGCAAAATACATTCCCAGACATCATCCATGCATTACGAATACACCCTTTTTAAAGGGCACAACTTGTAAATTAAGCACTTAATGAGAATTACAACATTCTATTTCATAAATTTTCAGTTATTTTTTGCCTTAACAGGAGTGCTGCAGTCAGAAATAGATCTTAACTCCTTTCAAGAGTTAAGTTCCAAATCTTCATGAAGTGCAATATACAGTTTTCATCAGAACTATCCTACTGCCAACACTTCTCTGCTGCTATCAGAAAATCTGAATTCATGTCTGTTAGAATAACTCAGACCAAAAATTAACAATTTCATTAAATGCAGTCCCTACTCTAAAAACTGAGCATCCAGAAATCGCAACCATTTTCCGTGCCATATATTACTCCATACAAGTAACCCCATAAATCTGAAAAATCATGGAAGCCCACCAGACAGTACAATAATCTAGGAGCTGACATACTCATACTACTAGTGAGTTATTCCAGGTCTCGAGGTCTGTTTTTCCATCCTTCACACTATTTTCACATGGGACACACTTTATGTGAGGAGCTGTATCTCATAGTGGAAAATGGTCCTTAAAGTCATCTGGGGTCTGGCTGCCATATGATTAATAGCAACAAAATGTAACAAAATCAAAAGGAAGACTGCTGTCTACAAGAAAACACAGCAGTCCAAATACTGACTTTAAAATCCTATCAGTTTCTATAGCATTATCAGAAAACATTATAGGCATCAATTGCAAAATGGTGATATGCATAGGTGACCTTCCAATTAAAGATGTGCTGTTCATATTTCAGAAGATAATCCAGTCCTTTTTTCCAAAGCATATAGTCTGAGTACTGGTAAGTAATGGCACAATCCTTTCTTCCCCCCTGCTTAATCAGGTTATCTAGCTCTAAGACCCAGGGAAGAGTTTTGTTAAGTAGTGAGGTACCATTTCTCACATTTGTTCTATTTAACCACCTTTAAGATTTCAACAGTCATTTCAGCCTTATACCTACAGGCTATAAACAAAGCAATTCCTTTTTCTGTGAAGCACTACACACTACTTTAATAAAAGTTAGTGTTGCCCCTAAGATTAAACACTGGAGTTGCATCTCACAGTGCTTGAGCATGGCTTTACTGAAGCTTGTCTGTACAAAGATGCTCTTATTTCAATTTCTCACATCTTTGTAGGAGGCACACAAGAGTGAGGTAGGTGTCACTTACCCTCAAAGTCAGCTTGTGGTCCTCATGAAGATCTGAGACACCATAAATGTGCAACATCCCTTTATCTTCATAGGCCACAGGCAGCAGTGGTGCAAAGAAGTTCTGGGCAAAATAATGGAGCAGTTTCCACTTACCACCATACTCTAAAAACAGTTAAAAAGAAGAAAGACTGAAACTGAATCCAAGGTTGCCTTGTCACACATTCCTTGCATGTGCTTTCTGGTCCTGCTACTGGCAATGCAACAACCCCTCCACCCTTTTTCACCTTTACCAAGTGCAAAGAAAGACTGAAAGTACTTTTGCTTCTTTCCAGGCAAGGCTCTGCCCTGGAAAAGATCTGATGCCCTTTCAAGCTTTGAGCTTTCCCTAAAGTTTACAGCTTTCTATGTGTCTGTCCTGTCACTGCTACACTGTCATTCAGTTAAAGGAAGCCTTGAACACAAGTGACAAGGTTGACACAGTATACCACACATAAACCAAGCAGCTGGAACATCTGTGCTGTTGAGAATCCAGACAAACACACTGGCACTGCCACAGAATATCACTACTATAAAAAGAGACAAGGTACTTATACAAAGTGCTCTCTTCCCCTTTTTCAGTCCTCTGTTCAGTTCTTTCGTACAGGACATCAGTAGCAATAAAGACAAAAATAAGTTCCCCAATCAAAGACAATTGTGAGCTTGGCAAAACAAATTTGCCAAGATCTAGAGACAACACCTCCTCCATGGGAGTTAGTATTCATGACAGACACATGACAAACAGTTCACATTGCTACTTTAATGGCAAGCTGTACCTCATTACTGTAAATACTTTGGAAGTCTGCCATTAAACTGGAAAAGCCATCAATCTCTGCATCCTCTCCAAAAAAAACAATTTTGCTTTCTTGCTTTGCAACACTGACACGTAATCATTTTGAAAGAGAAGCTGCATCCATTTCTTCCTCTATTAACATTCCATCTAGCACCCACTATCTGCATTTTAAGTTTGTCCTTGCTCAACCACTATTCAGTCACTGAAATGGCTCTAAAAAGAAGTAGAAAGTCAGCTGCACCATCTCACAAGGAAAGAAAAGTTAGATATTAGCTTTATTCTTGTTTCTGGCTCTTTATACAACAGGTTTAAAACTGATGTGTGCTTTATGATGTATGAAGAATATTCTTAGTGAGATGTTTTTGTTGTAACTCTCTTAGTAATTGCTCTCTTAGTTTTGGTTCTTGTACAAAGCTTTTAGCACTTTCAAGGTTTGTTGTGGCTTTCCCAGGGGGGCTTGAACATGCATTATCTGCACTCCACATAGACATGAATGAACTTGATGAAGAATAAGTGCATTAGCTTTAGTTTAGCACCTTACACATACCTTGTTCTCAGCAAGTTCACAACTGGCTAGCTTGGAAAACAAGAAGCTCATATCTGTCTGGAAAACCCACACAAGATTGAACTGTGCTGTAAGATCAGTCTGCTGCCAGCAAAAACACCACTGGCATTCAAGTTAATTGCACTGAAGCAAACCAAAAAGATAAGGCTGGAGGAAAACTTCAGGAGAGGCAGCTGCATTTCTTCAAAATAGACAGTCGATAAACTGATGAACATACTCAGTATATTGGTGCTTCTTAGTACAGAACTGTAGAACCATTTATTATGGAAAAGATCTCTAGGATCAAATTCAGCTGTTCACCTTCCAAGTGCACCATTAAACCATGACCCTAAGTTCCCATGCCATAACTGTACATCTTGTAAATACCTCTAGGGATGGTGATTCCACCAGTTCCCTAGGCAGCCTCCTCCAATGTTTGACAACACCTTCAGTGAAGAATTTTTTCCTAAGATCCAATTTAAACCTGCACTGGCACAACATGATGCCACTTCCTCTTATCCTGTCACTCATAAATGGAGAAAAGGGGCCGACTCCTACCTTGCTAGGCAGTTGAAGAGATCAATAAGGGGTGTGTGGGGGTGTGTGTTTGTGTGTCCCACAACACTAAACACTCCCAGCTCCCTCCGCTGCTTTCCACAAGCCTTGAGCTCCAGACACTTCCTCTGCTCCACTGCCCTTCTCTGGACACGCTCCAGCCCCTCAATGTCCTTGTAGTAAGGGACTCAGAACTGAACACAGAATTTGAGGTGCAGCCTCAACAGTGCTGAGTACAGGGAGACCAATTCCTTTCCCTACCATTTCTGGCCACAGGCACAAGCCAGGATGCTCTTGGCCTTCTTGGCCACCTGAGCACATGCTGGCCCATGTTCAGCTGCTCTTGACCAGCAGTGCCAGGTTCTTTTCCATGGGCAGCTTCCCAGCCACTCTGCCCCAGCCCATAGTGTTGCCTGGAGTTGTTATGACCCAAGTGCAGGACTCAGCACTTGGCCTTGTTGAACCTCATTTAACTGGCCTCAGCCCATCGATCCAGCCTGTCAGATCTTTCTGCAGAGCCTTCCTGCAACTCTCACCCTATTCAGTGTTGATTGCAAACTGGCTGAGGGTGCATCTGAACCCCTTGTTCAGATACTTGATAAAGACATTAAGCAGAGCTGGTCCCAGTACCGAGCCCTGGCAAATCCCAGTAGCGACCTGCAGTCAGCTGGATGTGAATCCATTCACCACCACACTCGGCCTCGCCCTCCAACCAGTTCATTTTCATGGTGAACAGTGTACTCATCCATATCATAAGCAGCCAGTTTCTCCAGGAGAATGTTGTGGGAAATGGCATTAAGGCTTCGCTAAAGTCTAGGCAGACAACAACCACAGCCTTTCCTCATCCAACTGCATCACTTTGTCATAGAAAGAGATCAGGTTGGTCAAGCAGGACCTGCCTTTCAAAACCCTGTGCTGGCTAGGTCTGATCCCCTGGTGATATCAACAAAGGTATGCTCTGGCATTCCAAGGACACTTCCTGAGAGAAAATATTAGTGGTTTAAAGAACAAATCTACCAAAAATAGGGGGCGCTAACAAATTACTCTTCAGTCATTAAACTGGAAAAGATGGGAGATTCGGACTGGGGATGGATTATCTGAAACAGAATAAACACGGGGGGCAGTATCTGATCCAACAAACAAAAGCTATGGGCCTTGTATGAGAAATGGGTAGGGAGAGTCTGGAAGGGGTTGAAATCTCTAAAGCCCTCAGGACTGCTACAGGACTTCCTGGAATTTCAATTGTCAATTAATTAAATTGACAATGCAAAAGATGTTGCTAACTGCAGAATCCAGGCAGAGCTCACCACAAGCTCAGACAAGTTACCCAGCATGGTCTGAAGTTTCAGCGCCTGTTGACTTGAATTTTTTTCCTGAGTGTAATTCACATAATGAAAATCTAGGCTTCAGCTGTCTCATATATGGAAATGAATAATGCAATTGATGCAGAACATTTTCTGCTACTTAGTGTAATATAAAATCCTGTTTCTTTTTGAATTGGTCCTTCTCTCAATCTCTGCTGTGCCTTGATTTCCAACTGGATTACACAGCCACACTGCAGAGGGAAAGAGATGAGGTCTGATACCTAGGCAGTAGAGATCCTCAAAAAACCTTTACGGCGAAGACTCAGAGCGAACATAGTATTAAACTTCCACAGAATAACCCAAGCAAACAAGAACCCCAGCCATCAAACAAATTCAAACAAACCACACACTTAAAAGTTTGCACCATCTCAAAACCCACTCTACTACTATGACACCCATTGTTTTGGAATGTTTGAAACATCATTAGTCTGCTTAACTGAGATCAGATTTTAGACTGCTATTTCCCTTCCCGAAAAAATAGAGCCATTTTAAAGAGCCAAATCTCAACTGCTGTAGCAGTTTCACACAGGAAGTGTTTTCCAAAGACAACTTTTCCAGTAACAGGATCTTAATAATACATTTGTCAAAGTAATTTCAGACAGCAAGGAAAACTGAAGCTAATTAAAAAGCCCATATTTTTCACTTCTTGTGTTGTCTTGATTTCCACAGGACCAGAACTACATTCCTTTCTTTAAGAACAGGAAAGTTGCATATCAAATGCACCATGAACACACACCCAAAAATGGATGTAAAAAATCTGGAGGTCAGGAAGTTATCATGAGAAACCGCTGGGTTTAAACTTTCCTGTTACAAACATGTATGCCCAAAGGCAACAGTCAAAAGTTATTTAAAATAGTCCTAGAGTGGTTTTCTCCTCCTCCCACATTTAAAAAGATTCTTACAGAAATCCAAGTTCCTCGATTTTTCTTGACTAAAACAAGGGATTTGCACTCTCTGTGGTATTAAACTTCAGAACAGGAAACTAGAGTTAGGTTTGTAGTGAGACCCCAATACCCTTTTTTCTGACTCTTCCCTGAAGCCTGATGGCAGGAGTGCAAATAAACAGACCTCCCTGAAATTACTTTAAATTAATGACTTCACACCATTAAATGTAACCCGAGAAACATGCTGCTAGTTCTCTCCTCACCTCAGCCTCATGAATTCAAATCAATTATTCTCCATAACAGCCTGCACCAGGGCTCACCAGGGGCTCTAAATATTGAACCTGCAATAAAAGCCAGTTATCTGCTCAAGGGAATCTCAAGACTACCGAGTTGGGTACCTCAAGGTGACACTTGTCTGGGAGTGTCACAGCACTCCACCAAAACATACTGCAGAGATGCTAAAGCATCCAACATGGCACAGCCAGCTTCACAGCTAGGTACTAACAGTCAGAACCCAGTTGTGATAAAAGCTGTTTACTTCTGAGCTGAAGCCAGAAGTGCTATGACACAAGTGCTGTGCTGTGTTTTCATTCAATCCAAGCAAACATCTTCAAGGTAAAAGTTAAAAGGAGAAACATTTGCTACCTTCTTCCTTCCCCACCATGTGCAAACATTTCTGCTTTGTACCAGAAATTATGTAAGCCCCTCCATGACTTTCTGCAAAGTAACAGATTTAAATAAAAGCACTCATTGATACTACTGTGCCACCTAACAAAATGCAGAAACGTGTTTTTGAAGTGCAAATAAAACTAATTTCTCCGAAGTCTTGCATAATTTCAGCCATTAGCATTTCAAAATCCCTCTACCACACTGCCTAATTAAATGAATATTAAACCTTTCCTCATCTCACTGAGGGAATACAACAAAACAAAGGGACAGCTGTATCTCTGCTGAGCTTCTTTCTTCTAAACTTCAACAACATATGAATAATTCAAGTATTTGATAAATATTCTACAGTGATGCCATCTCTGTACTCAAAAAGAAATTTATGGTCTCCACGACCATTACATCTATCAATACACCTGTCTTTACAAAGGGACACTTTTCCAAGCATCTTTTTCTCTTGAGGCACTTAAAACCTACCAGCATCACTCATTGCTAGAATCATAAAAGAGAACATTATTATATTCCATTTCCTAATACAAGTCTAGAAAGTCCAGAAAGATAAGCATCATAGCTGGACCACTGCCTTAACATTTAAATAAATTAGCCTCTTTCTTCTACTGGTTTTTGCTTTATTGTTGCAGTTATTTTGCTTGGATTACTTAAAAAAAAAAAAAAAGGGAAAGGGACAAACATCTCCCAGAAAAAACGGGGGAGGATGGTGTGGGTTAATTTTTTCCCAAACCCAGGTCAAATGCCATTTTATTCCAAGGGTACATCAAGACTGTCCATAGACAGTCTTACTTTTTCTCTCAGCTTTTTCTAGTTTGCTCATATTTTTTCACACGTGAAATGCTTAAATAAAGATATTCAAAACCAAAATATGTGAGAAAACTAAAATTGAAATAGAATCAACCCAAGTCCTATACAGCTGCCATAGGACAACTTCTCCATTTCAAAACGGTTTCTAGACAAAATGTTTGGAACATGAAACACAGCCACTTCCATCACACCACACATTCCTCATTCTTCCCCTACTTCTTACTGCCTAAGTGACTTATCTCTTTATATGTCTGATCATTTTTGTGTTCTATGAGGAAAAAATTCTGTGTAAATAGCACATTAGCAGAATAAATTAGTCATGAGGAGTGATTCACTTCATCTGACACCAAGTTAGACATCAAATCTCAGGCAGTCATCTCCTATAAAAAGCTTCTCAGAACCTATGCCAGGTGAGAGATATCCTATGAAGTTCTATGAAAATCAAATTCACAATGGAGAAGATAATTCATTCCAGCCCCAAGACAGCAATGGACACAATGAATCACATTTGGAGATAATCATCTCTCCCCCAGCTGACTACAGAAGAAACCCAGATGCTCTGTTTTTATATCATAAATCCCATCGTGTAATGCATTTCTAAAGGATGGACAGAAATATGTTCGAAGTTTGTAAAGGTACTCAAGAGACAGAACAGAGCTTTATTTCTTATTCTGATACTTCCAGATGAGGAAAGCACAACTGGTAGCTGGTGCTTTTTACCAGACTGTCACAAACTTACCCAAGGAAGCCCATGAAGGAGCCTGCCAAATGTCATTGAGTTGCCAGTACAGAGCTCCCATTGTGTGTCCTTCTCCATTGATTATTTCACTTTGACTAAAACGATAGAATTCAGTTTCTGTCTTTATACACTGAGCCTGCATCACCTTGGTCAACAAAGAGATAACAATTATTTTTGGCACATTGGATTTTACTTTTTTTTTCAAAACGTGTGAATAGATTGATACACAACACAGACTTCACAGCAACAGCATATAACTTTAAACTTGAGCTCTGAGGAGTATCCACCTGCAGTGCAGTGGAACTCTGCTGGAAGGAGATCTATTCCTAGCAGCTCCCAACAGCTTTGCAAGCATTACTCTTCAAGAATCGCATATGGGGCTACTTCCATACAGTGAAGATGGTCTTTGGAAGGCAAATTGAAGATAAGGAAAATAAAATGAAATTTAAAATAAGTATTTTTTTAATTGATTTAAATAAACCCCTCCAGAGGGGTTAAAATGATGTTAAGCTGCATTTCCTTCTGTATACATTAACTTGGTGTCTAAACCCCTACACTCTGAACTTACATTCTCACTATACAGTCAAAACTGTGCATCAGAAAAGCAGCCTTTTTTCAGCTGCACTCCCACTCCTTTTCTCCTTCACATCAGCTAAAAACCACTTTTCAGAATTTTTCATTGGCCAAGTTCTCAATAGGTGCTAAACTGACTGATATGTTCTTCACATAGGTTATTATTAGGCTGGGGAAATATAAAGAAATTCTTAAAATAAAGTTAAAAGTCTTTAGGACAGTCCAAAAGGTAAAGAAATTACTTCTAGTTAACCATTAAAGCAAATTTGCTTTCTTTATCCTTTTTGCTATCCTTATTTTGGTATTAAATTGTTTAACCTGTTAATAAGACCTTAAAAGACATAGCCTTACAGAAACTCTCACAGCTTTTTTGAGTCAGGACCTCATGGTGCAAGCTTTATCCCGGTTTCAATTTCAAGGCATTGTCTATCCTTGTTCTCTTGTCAAGAGTGACAAAAATTCTCAAGCAATTTTGCTTTTATATAAAACTTGCTGACAGCAGCTCTTAAACATTAGAAACTTAGTGTGTAGTTATTTCCATCAAGAGTGTTTCTCAAATTCTTGAAACACTCCAAAAATTAACAGCACTTTCAATTTGCATAATAGCATTAGAAAGTTACTTAGCATCTTTTAAAAATTGCACAGAAATCACAAATAAAGAAGCAAGCATGATGTAGGACTACTATGAATTAAAAGCAAAATACATGCTTCTGACTTGAAAAAAACCCCAACATGTATTCTCTAAAATATCAATATTAGAGTCCACAATAAAATAAAAGCTACTACTAATCTAATTAATAGAGAAATACATTATTTGGAAAAAATCTTGCTTCCAAAGTTCACGTGTTCCATGTGGCAAAAATCAAAGCAGTGATCCTACAAGGGGCCACATGAAGAACAAAACATGGAACAGGGAGTAACATGCAGCACTGGGAATAATCTTGTACCATGGAAGCCCAACACATCCCTGCATCCTCTCCCAGCTCGGAAGAAGAACCAAGGCAGCACATACTTTCAGACAGACTTTCTCCCAGTTTCTGGGTAATTCCTTCATTATTCCAGCCCTTCTATCATGGAAATTGGCATCTCTCTACAATAAAAGAGAGACAAGCTAGCTCCAAATTAAACTGGACTCTCCAGTTCTTCAGAATGGAAACTTTCTGTATGATGGAACACTCCCTAAGGGACCAGGTCCAGCTCTAACAGCTGACAGAATTTAATGGAACAAGTACTGACAGCTACTTCTATGGAAGACATCATTGTACCTGAGTGAGGTAAATCATATCTTTGAACTGCTTTACAGGATCTGAGCTCTGGGGAAGCTTGAAATGACGCCCAATCTCTTGAAGCATCTGAATATTGCCACCTTCATGGTGCTGCCGATGGAGAGAAAAATTGCTTGTGTAGGACCAGTCCTCAGGGGAGGAAACCTTTTAAAAACCACAAAAATAAGGTATCTGAATGAAAAGGTAGAAAGTACATTTAATGACAGCCAGGATATTGAGGAAAGGATATCCATTACAGCCTACTGATATAATCCAAAACCTTAAAATTGGTAGTATATTTCTACAGTGCCTCATGCAGTCATGCAAAGGTTTCTAATCACTAACAGCCTTTGCTTACAGTCCTTGTACAAAAAAATGAAAACAAACATTGCTGTTGAAGCCAGAAGAGCAACTTTTGGCTCAGTGGCATTTAATCTAATTGTCCTAAGCTTTGGGCTGGCCAAGGGACCTCAGAGTTTTGCTTGCATTCATAATAAATCAGAAACATCTAGATTAATATCGAAGAATATAATCTAGTCAACCACACTGAGGTATAAAAGTTATGTAAGTCAGTAGGGCTACAAATTCTAATCATATGTCGATACATTTTCAAACCTGCCTCTGATAACAAATTACCATAAACCAGATTTTTTCAACTAAAGACAACAGAGCAGCCCAACTCATTAAGTTATTATTGCCAAGTTTTCATTATAATTACTCTCTCGAAACATTCTTATTAAATTTTATCTTTTTAGGCTGGATTGGATAATTTTTATTGTTATTATTATAGATGAATGTTCTGATTATGCTTCACATAATATGCTTTGCCCAGCAAATTGGAAGAAAGATTCTGAACTCCTTTTGCTTGCATGCATGAATATCAACTTCCCTCCCTGGACAAATGGACAAACAGCGTGTTATGTCTCTGCTCCACTTTGACAAGTAAGACAGAACATATAATATCTAAATTTAATGGAGACAAAACCAAATCCTCTTACATGCAATGCATTAAGAAACAGATTATTTAAATGAAAGAAATTGGTAATGCATAGAAATCAAAACATTTTAAAATTCAGTACAATTCAGCTTTTGTCATGTTTCTCTTCTTTCTCAAATACATATCCCCCAGACACCACAAAAGTAAACAGATGTTAGTCAAACATTACTGAGCTATACATAGAATTACTACCAGAAATAAGAGTTTCGTAATAGTTTCTCATCCAAACCAGGCCCCTCTTGCGACATCAAGGTAAGTATATTGAACACAGAGGAGGGAAACAGTATGGTTCCATTCCCTCCCTCCCCACCAGTACACACCTCTATCCTATGTACGCCATACTATGCCTAACAACACATTACTACAGTTTGCATGCAGAAGTTTTTTGGGAAAAGATTCATTGCTCTCACTAAATGAGAGCGAAGGGGACAGCAAGGTGTAGAAGCCCAGCCTTACCTTTTCAATTGTACTGAAGGAAGGCCAGGACTGAAATCCATACTCTGAAGCAAAACGAGTTTTAGGATACACTGTCCAGTTCCAGCAGTCACTGTTGTAGTCATAAAAGTGTGTGTCACCGTAATGGGTGTCATAAGGATTCTGGGAGAGCCAGCCTTCTTTAACTGACTCCAAGCCATTGGTGGGACTGGATGTAACAAAAGGACGACTCTTATCTTCCTGAGATTTAAAAAAAACAAAACAAAAATACAACCCCCTTACAAAGTGATTGGCTTTTACCATCTGAATACACAGACCACTTTTTGAAAAAAAGAGCTTGGGGGCAGGGAGACCGTACTTCTTCCAAATTTCTGAGTCACCACCTAGGACACATTCCCTTTTTATGTCCTAACATTCATCATCTTTACTTACTTAATTAGCTTCTTACTTATGTTCTTGGAGGACAGCTGGGCATGATTCTGCTTGCTCTGCTGTTCTGAGGGATTCTCTCCTCACATCAAGAGATTTTCTATCTTTATATGCCTCTAAATTCTTAATGAAGGCTATTTAAAGTGTATCTTGTGAAATATATACTCAAGGAACATTAATATTTGAGTACTACAACTTCTTTATGGAAAATTATTACTTTTGCAGTGTTTTTGCAGGATCAAGGCCATGATTTTCTCCTTTCTTATTAAACAATCACCTAAATTTAGTCCTAACAAATCCAAGATGTTCTGCTTTTAATGCTTGCATGGTATCATTACAGATTATTGTCATTTTAGCTTGCTCTGTATGCTAAAATGGATGAGACTACAAGAAGGGTTACATTTCAAATTGTTCAGAGCTGCCTTTATTTATAGTCTCAGTTGACTCAGAATACTAAATCTTTTAACAATAATCTACAAAGTACTAAAGAAATTCTTTTGCAGGTATAATTCACTTAACACCCTACTTCTAGTTAGATAGAGGTCCAAATTAGTTACCAGTAACAAGTTACCGCAATTGGCTCGAACACAGTAATGGACTCACACATTTGCTTCATTTTAAGAAACAATCCTGTTTCCCCATCCTTCTTTTTTCCTTTTTTTTCTTGGTGTGAGTAATTAATAATTAATTGAAACTATTTACTACAGGAAATCCTGCATTCCCTGAAGTCTTTAGCTCAAAGGTAGAAGCCTTTTCAAGTTACCAACTCCAGCACTACTGGTAGTTACAGGTTTCCTCAGCTGGCTTGTATTACACAGGACCTGAAGTGATCTCCCTCTGTGGTTCTTTTTTGCACTCAAAATCGTTATTCAATGGATTTAAAATAAAAATGGGTCTGTCTTGGATGGCAATGCTGCACAAGTACCAAGCCAGAACACCTCACTTTGTTGCATCTACACTGGCCACCCAAGTCATGTAGCTAATCACAAAAACACCACAGCACACCTTTACACAGAGCTCAGTACGGAAATTAGAATCTCCTCTTCTAAGAGGAGAAATAAACCCAAAAAGCCTGTGCAAAATGGGTAGTGCCAAATCACACTAGACTTAATCAAGTATTCCAGGTGTTTGTGGACTGTGTACTCGCAGTTTAAATTTTGCATCTAAATATTTTACTTAGTCTTCACATACTGTAGAATACCATAGATTTTATTTACAAAATCAATAACACAGCATGAGTTCAATGTTTAGCATCTCTTTTCCTTTACCTGATTAGAACAAGAAATATACAGTCATATACTGAAGAAGTAACATCTTTATAGATTTCTTCAACTGCTACTAAAATACCTGAGGGTTGTTAAATGCTTTTCACAGTGTTCTTCAACAAAATCAGGATAAAGGAAACCTCATCATCTAGATTAATTAGTCAATGGGCAAGCTGACTTTTGTCCACTGGAAGTGAAGGCACATGTGGACATGCTAAAAGCAGGAAGGAAAAAAGAAGCAAGATCTACTACACTTTAATGTCTTACTTAACACATCACAAAATGTTAAAGACAAGTAAGTTAATTTTTTTTTTTATTTGGAGAATAACTCTTGACTTTAGAGAGTTGTTTAGAAGAGCTTGGAAAGGGCAATTTGTCAAAATGCTCTTCCTCATGTCTAAAAAGAATTAAAAGAAAAAAAAGGTAATTCCAGCTTGCTCCAACATTAAAACCTTTTGCCAAGCCATCTCCTCCTACAGTTTCTTGAAATTACTTACACTAAGGACTATTTCACGTATGTTCTTCACATAAAGGGTCACATAGTCTTTGATATAGACTCCTATGTCAGAATAAGGTATGGAGAACCAGTTGCTTGCAATTGCTGCTTCATTTTCATTGTTACCACTCCAAAGAATAATCGATGGATGAGATTTTAAACGTCGCACCTGAAATACAACTTACAGTTTCAGAAGTCAAACAAAATTACTTATCTTAACAATTAACTTTTTAAAAAATAATCACTTTATTACTAGCTATATTACAAGTCCACATGTATATTACATATGCTAAGCCTACAATTCCCATTTTTTGCCATATGGTTCACTATTCCCACAGCTTCCCACCGGGCTCAAAGTTTTGTAATATGCACCTTCAGAAGGGAAAACTTCTAATATGCTGACATACATCTGCCTTATGCACATGTGTACCATCCACTTCTACTCAGCTATGTGTAAAGGATAAATTCTGTGTGGTTTGGTTGACTAACTACTCCTGCAAGCAGTCAGAGGAGTTCAAGAAGATTTAGCAAGGTTACATTTTGTGTCTGCTACATAAAGGTACACTATCAAAAACTTCAAAACAACCATTTTTGGAAAGCTAACTTACACAGTCAGTCAATGAAAAATAGATAATGTGAAATAGAGCTTTGACACGTGGAAAAAATACCTGATGAGAAACTTCTGCTCTTACAGATTCTAAATAATTCTGGTCAGTTGGATATAGCGCACACGCAAACATAAAATCCTGCCAAATCTACAAGAGAAAGGAAAGATTTTAAAAATTGTCAGTAATTTACTTTGCATACTTAAAAAATGTATTGGGATGCACAGGTCTTTGTTCAGACAGAAAACAAATCACATTCACCATAGGGCTCAAGTATGCGCACAGTCCCCACTGGGGTTATCCTTGACACCAGGATTATGAAATAGGAATCAGGTCCTGACAGCCTACACTGAGGAGCAGAATACTGCTCAGTAGATGAAGTTCTTTAAGTTTCAACAGAATAATCAGAAACATGAACATGTAGCAATTTGCAGCTGAACAGATCAATTTCATATTTACTATTTTGCAGGTATAACACCAAATCTCCATTACTTAATGAGAAGAAGCATTAATTCTTCTGATGTGGCATTGAGCACACTTAACAGACATTAATGTGTACTTATTAAGAAAACACCTCCATACAAAATGATCCAAAAATCAGCAAATCTGGCACAGTAAGAGGGGCAGAAACAAACTACATGCTTGAAAAACAGAATGACCTTTCTCTTCAAAGAAAGATCAAGTAGAGGCTGCTAGAGAACAGCAAGCCTTTCAATTCAAGAACAATGAACTCCATTTGTACCTTGCAGGAGAATTACAAAAATGGGAACGGAAACCCAATGAGATGGATAACATTTCTTGTTTACCTGTTTTGTTTTTTAAATTGCAGTAACCTTGAGGCTCCTTCTAGTCTATCTCAAATGTTAATGGAGAGACCTCAAGAACAATCATCTTAACCCAAAGGAGTCTATAGCAGACTCCACTTTTCTAAACACCATGCTACATGGAGAGAGACAGAGACCAGCTCCTCATAGAATTTCATTTTCATTGCAGTGAGACTATGCTTTTCCATGGTTCTTTTCAGCACACATTCCCTAAGGAAGCTGAAGATAAAGAATAGGACAGTGGGAGATAATGGAGCCATTAATAATTGTTACAATCTTAACACTGAACAGAAAAAGCAAAGCTATTGCTGCAGAATCACTTATAATCCTTTAGTGGCTGTTGGTGTCAAAACTCCTTCTTCAAAGAAACTTTCTCACTATTGTCCTCAGTGAGCTATCACTGGTTTTCCTTAAACACAGTTTGACTCTAAAGCACTTTCAAGCCTTTGCAAGACCATCAGAAGAAACAAATCCAAAAGCCTTCCCCATTGCCTTCTCCAGAAAAAGGGTTTGATTTTCTGCATTTACTTGCTATTTTGGCTGTTAAATAAGATCTAAATCTTGCACTGAGCACTATACAGACACAGATCTAAGTGGCCTACTTAAGGTGCCTAGTGTCAAAAATTAAAGAACTGTAAGTGCTCAGAAACCTTGAAAATTAGGACACTCATTCAGATCACTAAAATAGATGTAACTTTTTTTTTTTTTTTTTTTGCAAGCACATCATCTGAAAGCAGCAAGGTATGAATTCTGTTTCCCTGTTTCTTCTGGTGTAGATTAAGACCAAACACACATCTCAGGATTTTTAATACCAAATGCAGCTTGGCCTTCATTCATCTAGTCACTGCTTCATCATAACTTATTAATACATGCCTCCAAGCTTATATAATAAAAGTACTCATCTAGGATTAGTGATTGCAGCAGGTGTTTACCTTACAGCTATATTTATATTAAATTACAACTTGTTCAAAATGGCCCCTTGAATAATGCCTTCCATGTTTGTCTTTGGGTCAAATGAAAAGTTTGAACCAGAAACACCCATACCTTTTCAGTTGTTGCTAAAAGGAAGAAAATACTTTTAAAATAAATAAAATCCATTTCCACATCTGAGAAGAGCACAGCTACCTTCTACCAATGGCAACCTTCTACTGTAAAGTCTCCAAAATATCACTTCCAGATTTAACAGACAATCTCTGTAATCACAAGACATTCAAATTACAAAGAAATTAAAGAACCTCAACCAGCCAACCAAAAAATTAGTAATCTGACCTCTCATGTTGATACTCTACAATGTCCTTTGGAAAGATGGTTAGAACTTACGTATTAATTTTCTTATTTTTAACTTGAAGTGGATTTTCATTTACAAGTTCTAGTCAGTTTTTAAATAAGTATTCTGTATTATTGTTTTTACCATTATTCCTATTTCATCACAAATATTGTAAAATTCATCTTGTTCATATATTCCTCCTCCCCAAACCCGAAGGGCATTCATGTTAGCATCTGCTGCAGACTTCAAGAGTAGCCTTAGTCTGTCAAATACAAAAAGGAGATAGACAAGTTTTGTGAAGTTGTATTACTTAAGAATTTCTTGGGTTATACAAAAAACGAAGAAACTAATGCTCCTACCAAAAAACCCACCCAAATCTAAATCATTAATAGGCAATTTACAACTTACAACTCTAACAGAAAGAATCAAAATACTCTGGTTTCTAAACCTACATGTCTGGACGGAGCTCCCAAAAAGCAATTTTTTGTGCAGAAAAAGTTGCTTGGTTCTGTTAACACTTATGAAATAGATGGTGTGACACATGTGTAAATGCTTTTACAGGAGTATTGGCAGGACCAAATTTAGAAATACTATGCTTTATTAACCACGTAGGTCTTTTCTCCTCTGATATTACTTACTTTGTATGTCAATTAATTTAATTCAAATTCTGTTTAAACAAAATCAGGAATGTGAGTTCTGTAATGCATAGCAAGAATGGGGGAGTGAGAGGGTGAGGATAAATACTGAGACTGGGAATCTCATGTTAAGAATTTTAGGCTTCATTTTTCCTTAAATCATACTAGCAGCCTCTAAATTGCACGCAAATGCACACTGCAGCTTGCCCTGCTGTCCTGGTTCCCCAATACCCCAGAGCAAAGCTTAGTCCAAGTACAGTACAGCCCCTACCCCACCTGCATCTCTGCAGGGCTATGCACTGAAATCCAAGTAGCCTAGATGAGATAAGGAAAAGGGGAGAGGCTACTATGCACCTACATAACACTGCATGACATGGGTTAGGACATGGATGAAGTGCACATCCTCTGACTACCAATGGATGTGTCCAGATAAGGTCAAAGAACCTGAGGATCATCCCTAAAAATACCTGAAAGGCCAGTAACTATGAACTGCAAGCAATCACCATCCCACCAGCAATTGCACCTTCATGCCTTGAACACTCAAATCTGTTCCTGTTAATTAAGCCCTAATTCTGAAGTCTCCCACCCACAACAATTAGTGTTCTACCTCAAAAGTTTTACCCAACAAAACCAACCTTTGATACAGGGTGTAGAGAGAGAGAATCAGGGAGGAAAACTTTATCCTTTATCCTTAGAGAACATCAAACGTGGCTTACGTGTCATAGGTCACTCTGTCCTGGAAAGAATCTGCTGGAATCCAGTTTGAGCCCTTAATAAAAATGGGTCTGCCATTGATTCTGAAGTAGAAACTCAGACCTGGTGAGCCAGGAATAGGCTCCTGAACAAGTTCTACTGTCCGAAAATAAACCTGTAAAGACACAAAACTTAAATTTAAAGCTGACAAAAAAGGAATTAAAACGAGATAAATAAAGAAAACTATCACAAAGGGATTAAACCGAACAATAACAGCTTAGAATTTGGCAAGGAGTCAAAAGACATGGTCTCATCCCTAAATTCCTGCTTGCAAAGAACACACTATAACAGTACTAGAAAGAATTCTTTCAATAAGCCTGTTCACTTTTTAAAGTTGCTATCATATTAAGAGAGAGCAAGAGAAAGTGTGAATAAACAACAATACAGGTGCACACAAGTATGTAAGGAAGAGACAGATGAAGTTTAGTTTCTGCAGAATCCAGTCAAAAGTCCAGCTGAAGGCCAGAAAGAGAAGTACAGTGGTTGCACCAGATCAGAAACACCATGTAATCCACAATTTTTCTCTACCAGGAAACTGCAGCAGCTCAGTTTTAAGTCTTGTCCCTGAATGCCTAGCATGAGATTCATGTAGTACAAGCAAGATCTTCTCCTTTTACTGCTCTGAAATGATACTTTTTCAACAGATGTAACATGTACAGAGAAAAAAACATCCATGCAAACACAAATGCCAATTTGCTAGTGAAGGGCCCTCTGGCCATCACAGCTGTGTTGGAACAGCATGATCAGCAATAATGACTCCGAGTAATCAGTTCAGCTAAATAAACACTTACTCTGAATAAAGTATTAAAGATAAAACACATCTCAAGCAGAAGCAGAGGCCAAACTGTAAAGCTGCTCTTTTAGCCTAATATATGGCATTGTGATACTGAAACAACTTTTTCCTGCTGCAGGTGGAATTGAAGCTCCCAGGAAATTGTTCTAGATGTTTTCTAGGACTTCACTACAAGCAACCATGCTGCTCTGAGGGACATCCTGACTGCACTGACACAAACAGCCATGAGGGAGCAGTGCACTGCAACATCACTGACCCTTTATTTGTACAGGTGCCTTCCCCACCTGCCATATCAGCTCCTGCACACCTACAAACTCTTCTGGAAAATAGCTCAGAAAACAAGGACACTTTAAATATTTTCTCCTGCATCCTTGTTCCAGTTTGACTTCTTTAAGTCAGGAAGAAAACACATTTTCTTTCTTGTACCTGTTGCTCATTATCATAGGGAGAAAACTGGAAAATTAAATAAAGGGAAGGAAGGCTAATAGTAAATTTTAGCCAAAACAGGTTTGGGTCAGAAAGGCAGGAACCTAATTTTTTCTAAACTACTCCTAAGACAGCAACCACTCCTCTCTCAGATGACTATTTGCTTTACCTTTTCAAAAGGTCAGTTTGTAGAGTACAGCTTGTTCTCTCTCTGCCACAAGCTTCAGCTGAGGCAAGTATCTGTCAGTAAATCAGGCTAAAATTAACCTAGTTAAGTGCAAATGATACACCTATCTACACCTATCTTTAAGACAAAATGCAATTCTTTATTTCACACATCAGACATGGCTATAGTTCAAAAGGGAAATTATTAATCCCACTATGGGACTGCATTTTCTGAATGTTCAGCTTACCAAAAATTACACATATAAATAGAAACCTATTTCTAGAGGTAGGGAAGAAAAAGAAAATCACCACTTTTTGCTTCTAAGCTAACTGGACAATCATTAACCAAATACCTGGATAGAGACAATGCGTGTGACAAATGAGATGTATTAGCAGAGGTCACATTATCACTCAGCTCAACCTAAACAGCTCTGCATCATGGCAGCAACCATTCCTAGAATTTTGCAGACTTCGTTTAACAGGAGCAGTTGAATTTAAATAATTACCAATGTTTCATACAACTTTTGCAGTTACTCTAACACCTGAAGGCTACAAAAGAAAAACTACAATATGAGTATTGCAGTAGCAAAAAAGTTCTGACCTTCCTGCAGTGAATTCAATTACTCAGAGAAAAACTGCTCAGTCTCCATTGTGGCTCTTTTTTAATGGAATGGGACTTGCAGTTGGAGCTGTCAAAGTATTTAGGATGTCACCAGGCAGGTTGAGACTGTGTCAGAGTGCATTTGTAATGGAGTATTTATATTACCAACAGAAGTAATGTGATACTGCTTTATTCATGCTCAAGTGGAACTCGTGCAACTGGCCAAACCCAAGGCAATCTGAGAGGCTGAAGCATTCAGCCAGGACCACCCAGACAGCATGAGCAAGAGAAAAAGCTCCTTAGCCTCAGCTCACATTCCCAGGCCTTCAAGATTCAGCACAACTCCATTGTTTCCCAGGGTCAGCTGGTAACAACACATCTTCCTGCTCCTACTACAGCTTCCTTCTGCCTTGGGGGGTAAAAGAAGGGCAATGGGAGACAACCACCATGTGGCATGACTGGCTACGTGCCCTTCTGGCTACCAAGACCTTGGCCACCTCAAAATCTGTCTTGTAGAGCTTGCTGCCTGAGGACTGAGCATTTCTCAGTCTCAGGGCACACACAAGAGGCTCTCTAGCCACCACAGACCAATCAGCTGGTTCTGGTCATAATTATGAAAGAGATACCTGTCTTTTTAATGCACATACAAAGGCTTTGTACACAGTTAGGTGACCCGTGGATCACATTTGGCATTCCCATATTTAGCAGTAGGAAAAGTAATAAGGATGAAGATGCCTAGAGCTGAACTGAGATCACAGAACAACCTAGTAACCTAACAAATTAGCACACGGCATGAAAGTGATGTGAAAACTACAAAGCCTGCTGGAGGCCAAGATCTTGAAAGTACAAAAATAGCCTTAAAAATGAAAAACTCAGTACAATGCTGGAGAAATGAGCATACAGAAAGATGGAGAAATGGAACTGAGAAGCAACAAATGCTTCATGGGGCAATGAAAGAGGTAATAAATTTCTTGATGTGGGGATGGCAAGAAATAAGCAACTTGTCAATAGCAAACGGGACCCTCCATCAAGAAAAAACAATGTCACTGGGCGATACGACTTTGTTTCACATTATCTTGAGAAACAAACTCTAAAACAAAATATTCAAATGGAAAACCAAACCACATCCCATCCTAGGTGCTGGCTTTTATTCTGCTTTGTTTTTCTGCTACTCTGAACAGGAATGAGTAAGTGCTTCTCTGAGTCAAAGAGATTCCCAGCACTGCTGGCTAGAGCTCTATAGAGCTCCTGCAAGTACATACTGGAAGGCCACCCAGAAATATTAACAAAGGATTAGTTTAAGTTTTGAAGACTACTCTAGCATGTCAGAATCCAGAAAGTAGTTCAAGTTAGGAGCAGCCAAATCTGACATAAGATCAAGCTGTGCTTGTTCATATGTACATTCTCATGCTTCAGTTTTCTGTTGTCCAAAGTTAAGTAGATACTCATATGGACACAAACCACTTGTGAAATGTCTCACCTGTTTTTTTCTGAGGGGAAAAAAAAGCGAGGAAGTAGGAAATTTATTCTTCCTGAATACAGTCAGCACAACATGGACAACAGAACTGACAACAAAACAACTTTCAGGAACATTAATCCCTGATTGTATCTCCTGAACTACTCAAAGTTCTTACTGAGCTATATGAACGTTGCTGTTCAGTCCTGCTGACAAGAGAGAAAATTATGCTACAACATGAAAACCTACATACAGAGCCTTTTTCCACTCCTACAGCTCTGTCTGGGGGGTGATGGTGTGTGCATGCATAAGTGTCTGTTGGAATCTAAGAGATTCCCCAAACACAGAAAGGATGATCAGACCTCACACTGTGAGCTGTAAAGGCATCATATGCTGGTTAATTCACAATGCCCACTATGTGGTGCATTTGGTTTTTTCCCTCCCCTCTTTCCTCTTAAGGAGAAAAAAATAAGAGGCTTCTGTTGTAGACCATGAAGTTCCCTGATCATATGCCCCTGAGCTCTATGAAATATTCTGACACAAGTACCCAAATGGAATTAGCTTTCTTATCATTGTGCAGTTTTCACATAGTAATAACAGAATTTTCCCTTTTAGAGGTTTTACAGTTGTATTTCCTACAAGCAGTTTTTCCACGCAACACATGCTGTGTTTACTTGGTGTGAGTTTTTAATTGTTTCAAAATTAAACAGTAATCAGAGCAAATTATTATATTATTATTATTATTATTACTTCATAATCAAGCTAGAGCTAGTCCAATAAAGGTACAACATTAGAAGCTATTAATTTTCCTACTTTTTTTTCATACTAACAAATGTTACAGCAAATAGCAGTTTAGATGCCTGGTGACCAGATTAGTTTTTAGTAAAGCAATACACACCAGAAACATCTAATAAATGCATGCATTTATGTGGTTGTTTCCACATATTCATGGCATAAGGAGGCCAGTCTAATCTCTAGAATTTTTATTTCTAATGGACAATTGGAAATTACCTCCTCTAGGCTTCTTAGTAAAACCAAACAGATAATTAAGAGAACCCTTATGCAAAAAACCCCAAATGCTACTTTTATGGTCATATTTAAGATCTTACCTTTTCTTAAGCCTGAAGCACATCTACCACATTCTAATAAATATATGCATGTTAGGTTTTTAGGAATGTGTTTATCCCATAAATTTTTACAAACTGAATTAGTAAGAAAAATCTCAGTAATAAGCCTTTGCATAATCTTCTAGAAATCTAAAGGGTTTTTCAGTGCATGATATAAAACCAAGAGCATGGTTAATGAAGTTTAGAAGTGCTGTTTTCTTGCCATAAGCTTGAAAACTTAAGTAAACATCTTTTCTCTTCTGAGGTTTCTGGTTAACTGTAAACCATCTTGCAGCCACAATATAAGTAAAGGCATCCACACAAGGAAAGACTACCAGAAAAGAGGTAGCCATACATGGTGACATTAAAAAACCTCACTTCTCATTAGCATTTTCACATGCATATTACAACTCAGCAAAACTTTGCAGAGCTCTAGACATCCCGCTATGCAGAGCTGATGTCCTAACACTAACAGTGCAATGCCAGATATAATCAAACTTTAGGGCTCACCTTTGAAAACTTCTCCATCTGCCATCCTGCCTCCATCATGAAAGTTGTTGTCATGTTGTATCCAGTTTGTTTTCCATGTCCATTTGGCCACCAAGCCTCCACTGCAGCACTCTTGAACATAAAACGGAGAAAGTCTGAGCAATGTGTATTAACAAGAGGTACCAAAGCACCTACCTAGGGTTCAGATATCTTTGAGTGAATTACCACAAGCCTAACGAGGTTTTGTGCTTCAGCTGAGATATGCTAATGTTCTCTCCAGCTGCAGCTCTGAGGTGAAAATCATTTAAAGAGAGAAGTGTGATTTCTTCTGCTCAAGTCCAGGCTATCACTTCATTTTGTATCCACAACAGGCCATGAGCATGCCTGGACATGCATGCACACATCTAGCTGCTACTCCTCAGCTGAGGTACACTGACACTATTCCTCCAAACCCCAAATATCTGAGTCAGGAGCAGCCATTATTCACTAAGCTCAGTATCATACACCTCCTTTCATTGATCCTTTTACCTATCCCATGCAATATTCAATATACAGCAGTAACACTTTTCAACTGTGACTCTGGTAATACATAACCATACTGCCCGCTTCATTTATGTCAAACTTTTAAGTCAAATTCTTTCATTCATTCTGTGGTTTTTTTGCTTTGTCTCTGTATGTTTCTTAATCACATCATTAGTACTCCATAATTTTTATAAACATGAAATACAGTCTCCAAGATAACAGAATATTTATCTTCACTCTAGCAGCCTACTTCTGCCACTCACTCCTGTTGCCAGCATTTGCCAGTTGAGTGCATAACACAAAAATTGTGGAAAGAAAGCAATAATGCATGAAACCAAACAATGGAGGGATCAGCACTGAATATAGTAATGCAAGGAGTGCCTCAACCTTTTCAAACAAATTGAGGTCAGAAAGCAGCCCAGCAATACATTTTGCTGTAGCTATACTTGGATACAACGATGAATATACCAGGAATATGTCTTTCAGCTTCTTCGATACAGAATTCTCACAACTGCTTGTGAGGAAGCACTGATCTCTGCACTGCATGGATACAAACGGAAGCACAGACTCAGCGCCTGCCTCGACAACAAGGGAGTGTTCGCAGCTGCCTGGCACGACTGGGTGTCTCATTGGCCACTAATGATGTCACCCTCTGCTCATCACTAGCTGATAAGCAAAATGCTGTCATGTTGGCAGCACAGTACTTTGCGTGGCAACTGCAGGAAGGCTGATACACATCTCGGCAAATGTACCACTCGCACACCTACTGACTCCACAACGTAATCTGCAGTAAGCTCTTAACTAGAAATACATTTCTGGTGAGGTCTCAGTATCTAACATGCACCACACGACTCTGTACAGAGTAAGGGCTCTGTTAGCCTCATCAATAGAGTAGACATTTAAGGGCTTCTCATAAAATCAGCTGATGTGAATTCATGCAGCAAAGCCTTTTGTGCACAAAGAATAATGAAACACTGCTGCCTCTGCTCTGAAGGAACTGCTTCCTTCCAGGCTTGCAGTTGCACTATACTAACAGATCTCTTCTGAGGCTGGGACAACTAAATAAGCAAAAAATAATTTTTGAAGTTTCACTTTGCAGTGCCTGGTTAACGTAATCCATTAAAAGGATAAGCAGAGACCCCTGGTTGCTTTAAAAGAAACTGGGTACTGGAAATTACTCATGTAACTTGCATGTCAGATGACAACAGTAACAAAAACTGTATGTTTCTAAGCTTCTGTGTCAAAATAAAACAAAGCACATAAATACACAAGTCACAGAGTGTGCACACTGTAACACAAACACCCTGCTTGCTTTCTCTCCATGCAAACTGACAAGTGAACTCAATAATACACACGGACAATGCAATCACACTGGGAAAACAGATGCAGCGTTACACAGCAATGCAGAAACACTGCAGAGCCAGTAAAATATAAAAGAGCTTGAAGGCAGACCCTCTAATGCTACTAACTGCCAGTATTGTCAGAAGCCCCACATTCCTGCTCACAGCACATCACCCACCCACAAATGTGTGTGCTGCAGCAGTGAAGCTCCCGTGGAGAACTCCATCAGGTGTGGCTCCTGCTGCACCTGCCGGGCCTCCCACTCTGCCCACTGGCTGGAGACTGATTTTTTAATGGAGTTTGCTCCTCATTAGAGCACCTTCTACCAGTCAAAAACACCTCCTGAGACTTGCCTATCCAAAGGACTACAAGTGAATATAAGGAGTATTACTCCACAAAATTTTCTTTTGTGTTTATTTACCTGAAAGTAAATATCTACTGAGAGGCCTGAGGAATGTTTCCTCTCCCTCCTGGGAAAATCTTATGTATTGTAGTGTATTCTGGTCCCAGTCAGTCCAGTAAACAGCAGCATGTGAGATACCTGCTACCTGCTGACAGTGAAGTGACACAGAGTATCCAAAGGTTATTTACCTAAATACCTCAAAAAAGGTCATTTAAGAGTTGCCAGTGATTATGTGACCTCTTTCTAAGGCTTCATCGCGTTTTGGCAGTGAGCTACATAGCTCCACAGACATCAGATTTTAAAAAGCAAAATAACTGTTCTCCTACCCTATAAGGGATACAGAACTGCTGTTAAAAGTTAGGAACACAGTAAGGAATAGGAAGGAGGCCTAAAAGTGGCATGGAGGCAGAAAGTCATATTGGAAACCAGGGGAAACATCTTGCAGCTGAACTAGCTCCCCACACACACCTCTTTACCTTGTTGATGTTTACAAGCAGCACAATACTGCCTTCTCCAGGTTGAAGCTTCACACTGAATGTCTGCTGCGTTTGTAACCTGGGGATGTTCACAGTCACAAGACCTGCAATTGGCTTGGAGCTGACTACATCAAAAATAGACTCGACTTCAAGATACCACTGCTGAACACTCTTTGCTAAGTGAAGAGGGAGAAAAAATGGGATTTAAGACTTATTTTTATATACCTATTAGTTAACATTATCCTTCATTAAAGAAAATATTCAATCACCTAAGATTAAATTTAACAATTTTCAGGCTGTGTCTCAGCCATCCTACATGGTTAATCTGCTTATTTAGTGCGTCCAATGGAAGAGAAAAATGCAATATGATTTATGGTTTTTTTTTATGTTTTTTAACTCTTTTTTTTAATTCAAAAGCCATCCAGGGCTTTTTTTTTTTTTTTTTTCATAGTTTTGTACAAAAGTCAGAGACCTTGACACCAGTCACTTCATTAGGAAAGAATTTTTTCCCACCAACTCCCATAGACATTGTATTTGCTTTTAGTCAGCACTCACATGAACATGGTACTCTTTGGGAAAGATTGTAATCACAAGCCAGTACAATCACTTTTGTCAATGAAACAAAACCAGTATTAACAGAAAACGAGCTGAATTCATCCCAGACTCACTGGACAAAATGAATGGAGCTACACTGGGGATGAATTGGGCCCACTGTGTCTAGACTTGACAGGCTGTATCTTTATATCCCTTCTCCCACCCATGTGTCGTGAAAGAAACAAGTTAATGACTTCCCTGAGATGACTCTGAAGTTACCACAGAGCATCCTCTCTTTTATAGAGCTTACTGAAGAGGGAGAGCCAGGGTCAAGGGTACTCAAGATGTATGTGTAAATTTCCCACTAACTTCAGTAGTTGAATTGCCTAGCTACTAACACAGCCTAGCTAATCCTATACTTCAAATATTGCAGGTTAACATATAAGCAAAAGCAAACAAAACAGAAAACAAGGAGAACTAGAACAAAGACACATTTTGTATACCCAAACTACTAATAACTTACTTTCTCCTTTCATTTATATATTCTAGCTCTCCTTCCTCCACAGGAGAAAGAGAGCTCACTCCAAAAAACAAAGACTTGCATTCAGCCCTGGTGTGATTTTCACTGTCTTTCACAGAATGAAGAGCAATGATTGAGTTCCCAAGTTTATACTACACCTAGCATTACCCAGTGAAGACCGATCATCTGAAATGTGGAAAAGGTTAAAAAGTACCCACCCTATAAGGGTCAGACATTACAGTGCATTCTTCTTCCCATACAATAGCATATAGAAATTCCAACTCATTCGTAACTGCCTGAACTGTGGGGTCTAGGCAGAGAAACCAAGAACAATGGATCTTTTACAGACTCAGTGGTCAAAAGGCTATGACACTAAATCTGATGAACAATGAAAGTACATATGCAGCATAAATTCAGGTTGTTCACTGACTCTTTCTTTTTCAAACGTTATTATGTTCAAATACTAATAAGCTCTTGCTCTGGTTCCAAGCCACTCTCTGCTGAAGGAAAGAGGTTTGCCCTCTCCACTTTTACCCAGAGAGCAAGACTTTACCTACCAGAAGGTGGAGTTGTGGGAATGTGGGAGGGACCATAAAAGACTTACTGTAACTGAATTTCAGAAAGCAGAATCTGTGCTGGGGCTTTCCATGGAAATTCCAGTCACATCAATTCTATTTAAGACCTGCAGCTATTTCAGGATGCTTTAAAAGCAGCCATGGAGTGATGCCTTCCTCTTTTATTCATACACAACAAATCTATTCCTGAGGGCCGAAATTCACCCCAGTGCAGAGGACCCACGTGTTAGCCTATACTCCACTGGGCTCATCAAGCAGTGAAAAAAAGCATGTGGGTGGTCTACAACTGGGCATATCACCATTTGCAGACAGTTTCAAGGGAAAATTAACTACTTTTGCACAGCTACAATGATCAATGAAAGGAGAGGAAAATCAGAGAGACCACTGCAAGAGAGGAAACCGGTTTGGTAAGTTAGGTAGCAAGAATGCATGAGGTTATCCTCTCCAGTTGCAGCTTTAACAATTATCCTTGCATAGCACGACTGCTTTTCTCTCTCAGACTGCATGTTGTGTCCTGAAAACTCAGCACTCTTCGAACTCTGCTCATTGTGCATTTGTCCTTCCAACACAAAACTAAATTTCCATAGCAGCTTTGCCTTTGTTTGAAATGGAAGTGAGACGAAAGTGAGACATTTACAGGGAGTCTTGGTGAAAACGCATGCCAACAGAAAGGAAATTTTCCAAAACTGAAAAACCGGTGATAATCTCAATTATACTACATTTATTTGTGCAGTTATTCGGGGATTTTAAGCAAAAAAAAGATTCTGAATTCTAACACTTTTAACAGTTATTGTTTGTACTGAAGTACTGTTTCAATACCTAATAAAGGTGTGTTCTGGAAAGAACTACATACAAAGTAATAAAAAACCCATAGAACATTTCCTACTGATGGTTAATTTGGCTTACCAATAAAATGGGTTTGTATTCTAAAGGTGTAACCAATAACAAGAAGAAATAAGAGACTTACCAAAGAAAGGAGTTATAGAAAAGTAAATCAGGTGATAATGGTTATAGGCCTCAATCCTAACATCTTTCCAGATTCCTTGAGTGGGAAAAGAAGGGCCCCAATCCCAACTAAATGAGCATTGCTCCTGGAAAACAGAATGATTATGTTACAAATGCCTGTTTTTCACAGACATTGGTGCTGTGCCAGAAATAAGACATTTGCTATCTGGGAATAAAATACTGACATACACTGAAAGAATTTTTCCAGTTTCCATAAATCCAGAAGACTCTACAGTATTTTTTTCTTAATTCACGACCAGAACTTTGCTGCTACAACCTGTATTATACCAAAAATTAAGTTTTGTATTAAACGTCCATGTGCGGAGAAATTTTGTATTACCAAAAGAGCAAAACAACACTTAGCATACCACTAAAAAAACACCATTAAAATCCCAAACAGTAAAGATCAAAGAAACAACCCATGAGATTAGTCTCAATTCAGTTGTGAATTATCTTTGTTTGTAATGTCAGTATTTAATTGTACCTAAAAGACAAAGTAAGCAGAAAACTGACAATTAGAAATGTTACAGTATTGTAGAAGAACAGTATCAAGTTAAAAAACATATATGAAATAGTTTATCTCCTATTTTTCAGTTTTAACACCACAGAGTAATACAAGGAAAGAAATGGATATGTTTGGAGTATTTGTGTAGTTCAGTCATGTTCACTGTTTCTCCCCTTTTTATGGTTCTGTTATACAAAAACAAAGGGAACAAAAACATGGTTGAGAAGTAGCTTAGTTCTGGTACTAACATCAGAATAGCTGTCAGAATTATAAAATGCTGCTCAGGCAGAGAAGTAAGTATGCTAATTTCCATTTAGCTGTTTTCAAACCTGGTCAGACCTCTACTTAACAAATCCCCTGACAACATCTATTCAGCTGCCCTCCAAGTTTCACACAGCCCCAGCCCCCAAAGCAAATACAAGAGATCTCCTAAAGTCTTGTACAGTGACACACAGTTCTAAATTTAGAGACTAATAACTTACAGCCAAGGCATACTAATTTGGGCAAACCACATTGCACAAGCCTGGCCTATCCCTTGCATTGCCAGTCAGCCTCCCTGTCTATCAAACTGCAAAAGAGCCTTCCAGGAAGCAAACACTGTACCTATTTCAAACAGAAAACTAGGGATAACATATTCTTAGAAAACATGTCCAATTGAAAGTCATTTTCCCTTTATAAAAAATAAACCAATTAATCACTGAGAGACCAGCAGGTTTCAGTAAAAATACTGCAGAGACTGCTACAGAAACAGTATGTCACAAGAACAATACGCCTGTATCGCTGGAGTATGTTAGCAGTGACAGGTCTGTGTTCTGCCACAAACTCGCAACCAGCTTATAGCAATGTCCTAGTATGTTTGTTTAGTTTTAGATGTGACATAGCTGCTCTTGTTGCCAATACCTGGAATTCAAAATGTTTCTGGAAATCTCTGGAGCAGTTTCCAAGTACAGTCAAAAATTTCATTTGAGGAAGAAGCACTAGGGTACTTTCTAACAAATTTAAAGGTATAGTTCAGTGAAGCATAAAATAACTCCAAGTCTCTTTTGCTCTATAAATAAGAACAGAGCTTGAGTAAATGCCCCACTCCTTCCAAGCCTCTCCTTGCACTGATTTCTGAGAAACACAGTGGACTCAGAAGAATTAATAAACTTTCTAAAATGTAGCAAAAATAAAAGTAGCAGCAAGCAGAAATAAAGACAGCCTCTTAACCCTGAAGGATCTTTCCTGGACAATGTGAAGTCTATGTTTACATTAATAAATTTTAAAGGAAATTATATCCAGATTTAAATACCAGATTTACAGAATCCGAGTCATTTTTTGAGAAGACTTTAGAAGGGCTTTATTACAAAGTTTGAAAATAATTATCAAGAAAGGCATTTAAGAAGAGACAAATACACGAAAACTCCCAAAAAGACAAATTAGAAAATAAAATCATCTAGACATTGCCTCTATCTGCTGCAAAGCTATCAGAAATACATGAGATGCTACTCAAATGATAGTTTGCCCTAAGTTAAGTTTTAACAGCGAAGAAGCCATATCTTAAATCAAGGTTTCTGAGTTTCATTAATTTATATTACACTGTTGTTTTCATTGAATATTTACATATAAATCACACTTCACAACAGTAATAAGATGAGAACATGTTCCCAGTTAGATAACACTTCTTGGGACGTGCCAGAGCTGCCCAATATAAATAGCACAGCACATGAGCAACAGCAAACACTCACAAAGCTGCTTGGATGAGATTTTTACAGCCTTGGCTATAACACACTGGTATTTGCAGCAGTGAAATCTATTGTCAGTATACATTGCTAAACCCACCCAGTGGATCAAAATGGAATGATTACACATTTCCCAATGCTATCTTGCCCTCTTAGCAGCAAGTCTCCTTGCTGTCTCTTTGATGAGAACAGCCTTCTAAACATTCTTATCACTTTGATATGAAGCCTGGCCTTCTCACGCCTCCTGTATTGTCAACATACAAGACTACAGGTTTCTAGGGGGGATGGGAGAAGGAAGCTGCATGAAAAATATGCCCTACTTATAAAACAACATTGCAGGTTACAGAATACAACTGTAAGGACAGCTTGTGGTGCATTCCTCTTCCAGCCTGAAGCCAGAGACAGCCAATTCTGCCCCTACCTTTCTGATGAAATTAACGTGGCACTCTCCTTTCTGCACAGGTGGAGGGCACGCTGGGGGGATGCTGTGTGCTTTGTAACATCTGCTCTGCTCCGCTGCATATGAAACAGCTGACAAGAAACGGACTTCAACCAAATTGACCTCCTGGATCATGCTGGTAATATCAAAGCTCTAGGACAAAACACAGAACAAAACCATTACAATGCTGACATTTATCTATGAGATTTATAATCAGTATTACATGGGGATTTTAATACCATACATATATTATTCAAAAGCTTTTGAAATATAGTCTCAGCATGATCCGGTTTTGAAAGAAAAGAAAAGCTACTTTGTAAATTGAAAAAAAAAAAATACACAGTAATGTTCTAGATAGAAGGAAATGTTTCTGGGCAAACCCCTTTCCTCACACCAAGCTCTCATTGCAGGTTGCAGTACTTTGCTTGCACAGAGAAGTACTTGAAGGACAAGGACAGCAAGAGAATCTTTACCCTCATTCCTCATCCAGAACCCATCTGTATCTTTGGAAAGACACGGTATTCCAACTCAGAGAGCTGCTCCATACAGAAGTGCTTCCAGCTCACACTGTGCTGCCAGCTCATCTACCACAAGGCAATGAGCTGCCTTGTCCATGAATGCTGCAAAGCTGTGTTTCATTCCCCAAAATGAAATAAATTGCAATCTAATCCCCCAAATGTAAGACACACATTCTATGCCAGCACCAAATTAAGCATTTGGGGGCTTCCTCAGCAGGTCACAAAATCCCCTTCAGTGTGGCTGGAGAACTGTTCAGTTTCAGAATTATCCTGTGCTATCAACACAATATGGTTCCAATGGCTAATACCCATTTATTCCTCAGAGTATTCATTTGTGAAAAGACAAGTCTTGGCCATTTTCCTTTAATTTGGGAGCAGCCCAGATAGAATCACTTCTTTCTGTAACATACAACAGGATATTAGAAAGCAAATAGCATTCCCCAATCCAGACCCTTCAGAGTCCTTCCTGCAGATGCTGTTGCTATGTGGAACAGCTGAACAAGGCACAAGCCTGGGTCACAGTAACTCCAGACTCAATTTAATGCAGCACACTCTGGTTTTACAGTGAAAGCCATTTCATGAATTGTTACAATCTGACACAAAATTAAGTTGCAGAAATATGGACAAAATAATACCACTTCCTAACTTTCAGAGCCTGCTACTGACAAACCTTTAGATACTCTCCAAACAGGAAATAATTACAATTTCATCAAAACTCTACAAAATTTTTTATTTCACTGATGGTAAAACTATGTCAAATAGAAACTAAGTGGTTTGTCCTAGGTCACACAGATCCAGGTGGCAGAATGTCTTATGTCTCAGTCCAGTGCTTCTGCAATAAAAGCTGCCAGAATGGTAAATGCTAAGATATGGAGACACCAGATTTCATTTGTAATTCAGTTATTCCACTACCAATCTTCCTTTAACTCTTCAGATTTTTTGATTCCTTTAAGATAAAAGCAAGAATTGCTCCTTATGTTAATACCAGAATAATTTTGTATTTTAAAGCTATGAAATTAGTCTGAATGTTTTTGCCACTCTCAAGATCATTCCACAATGAATACTCTCATGCTGACATAAGTGAAGCTCCAAAATGCAAGACAATGTTATCCAAAGTACCATATTAAAAATAAACCACCCTCTTTAAAAAACAAAAGCATGAAAGCACACACAAGCTTTACAGCACGTGCATTTTCATTGCAGTATTGACATGTAAACCATTCTAATACCAATTATTAAGTAGATTCACAGCTAATAAAACAGATTTAAGCTTAGTTTTCTTGGAGGCGGGACAGATCCCAAGAAGCAAGAGATATTATTAGCTGAATTGATCCTCTTGTATTGGTCCTCTCCTTTAGGATAAGGCACAAACGCACATTCACCTCTAGATATGACCCAACTGCTACTGAAAAGGTAAGTATACTTCCCTTTCTAACATGTACCCAGCTGCTACTGAAAAGGTAAGTATACTTCCCTTTCTAGCATTTACCTAATCGTACATGCAGTCTTCAAGTCAATACTTTCTGCATCCAAGCACCTACTTTGATGGATACTTGAATGCACTCGAAGTGCTCAGAAGAAAAAGGCTTTGAAGAAAACACAGAAGCACCTTTAGCAATAAACACATTACTTACATATCTGTTGAACATGTTGTCTGTTCTTCCGAGAGTGACATTGTTGAGCAGGATCTGTGCTACTGTATCTACTCCCTCAAAAACCAAATTAATTTTCTGCCACTTTCTACAAAAGAAAACATATGTGTGAAAAACTGTCAGGATACCTAGAGTTAAAACACACAGGAGACACACAATATAAAAATGTGCATCACTATTATACCAGCAGTTGCCGTAGCTACTTTTGACTCAGTGTAGCTACATTGTACCTTTAAATAGTCAAATTAATATGACAGCTAAAGTAGCTCAAGTCAGCATGCTCAAGAATACATCAGGTTCACATACCCACCAGGTATTACATGGGATAGCTTTCAATTAGCCTAAGTATAATCTTTTTACAGCTGACAATTCATAAGTAATTTTTAACAAGCAATTAAAAAAAAAAGAAAAAAATCAGCAATTAAAGTGTTCTGTAGCAACAGCTTTGCAGCTGCACGATTGCATAATTTGTTTTATCAGATACAAAAGTATTAAGCAGATTTTGAGCTAATGGATTAACTTGCAATTCTACATGAAAGATGGCTGAGAACTATTTTAGACATATCTTTACTGCATACCTGATGTCGAAAGGAGTTTTGAACATCCTGCTGTAAGTCCAGTTATCTAGTGAGATCCATCTGTACATCACATCATTAAATCTATAGTATGGATCCTAGTGACAGACCAACAAAAAGAAAATTACACTATTTATTTAGTAATAGTGTTGCTGCATAAAAAGCATCACAATATCCATTAGATGACAGTTCTTGTTTCAGTCAGTCTGCAAATGCAAAATCCACCTTAGTTGGTCCTGATACTCGTTTTCACCCTTGAAATTTTACATGAAAGCAAAGCTTTAGTAATATTTGACTTTATTTATAACTCAAAACCCTGTCTGCTATAATCACTCAAACTAGAAGTAGCAGGATTTGTTTTTACACAAGAAATTACTGGTCTGGAAATTAACCAATACATCCAGAGAGCTTGTGACTTAATGAGAGGAACAGAAACATGATCACCCTCATAATTATGGAGAAAGTAAGACTAATAGGATTTTATGAGGCAGAGAAACAGCATTTTAGGCCTTCAGGGACAGCAGTGAACAAATCTCTAGTTTAAAGTTACTGCAAATAAACCAGTTGTTCCTTGTCAGCAAGACTGGCTGTGGCAAGGATAAATGAAATTGTTGTATGTGGAGGGATGGAGAAAGAGAAGAAGGAGAAGCAACACCATTTTGGTAAAAAACTAAATGACTACTTTTGAGAGTGGTATTGCATTTACATCAAATGTGTCCTTCTCCCTTTAACAACACTACCTAGGAAGAATAGAAGGCATGGTTTGTCTAAGCTACGTCCTCGGCCTTTCTGGCTTCATGCTGTATTACCTTACAGCAGGTCACCATGTCCATCACCCAGCTTAAAGGACCTGACATCCTATGGCCTCACACCTCCCACAAAGGCAACAGAAAGGTCCTGTCCCATGTCAGAGAGCAGAAAGGCAGTGTCCCATCCCCTGTCAGTGCCGGTACCCGGCTCCCTGCCTGACATCCCGGTTCCAGCCCCTGCAGCAGCAGCACGGCTGTGCTGCTGCCCCCAACAAAGGCCAATGACTCAACCCGGCTCAGAGAAAGGCGAGCAGCGTAAAGGATTTCTTTGATGGGAGTGTTCTACAGCACCAACACGCTTAAATACCCATCCTGAATATTCTCAGTCACACTAAAAAAAATCAGCTTTTTTTTTTTTCTTTCCTACTTGCTGGAAGTTATTTTTTTCTCCCCATTTCAGGAGTCAGTATGCATAGTAACAACATTTGGGATTTGAAATCTTCTGAAAAAAAATGTTCTTATACCTCAAATTTGTTTTACAATTACTAGGGTCAGGCTCTGCAATAAACACATAAATTTATTTACCTAGCAGAACAAAATCAAAACATCTAAGTGACTCTCCTCAGCAGCACAGACCCTTCTGGAGTCCTACAGCAATACAAACATCATTCCTTGGGCTCATACGGAGGGAAAGGTGTCACCCTGCCTCTAAATGCTACAGTCAATCAAATTTCCTACTATAAGGGAAGAGTCAAAAAGGAAAAGCCTTGACACCTGAGTAAAACTATGACTTCTGCATTGATAATACAGTGTATTCTTTAAAAGTTAAGTCATCATGAGCTTACAGGACTATTACTGAATTTTAAGACATCCATTCCATACTTTTGGGGAATATATCTCAGACTTTTATTGAGATGCAAAAGTTAAAGCCAATAAATGTATATTAATATGTAAAATTTAGCCTTATAAAAGAAAATTCACTGAGATCATTGTACTCAGGTAATGAGAGGCAAGCATAGAATGTCAGACACTGTGAAACCCCACAATATGTACTTTAGAAAGCACATTTTTGACAAGTCTTGCTTTAACATTATATACCATCTTATATACATTTACATGTACATACATATTCGTATTTAACATTACATACTATTTTATTTCACATTATGCTTTGAAAAATGTGCATGTTAAATTTTAATATTTGTCACTTGTATGTATGAAATATTTAACAAAAGATGTGAAAGTTGCAAATGCACTACCAACAGCAGACTGTAAAGCCATTTGGTTAATGGTCACACAATCAACATCAGTGCCTTGGCAAAGTTGCAGAAAAGAAACCTGCACCATTTCTCCCACAAAAGCACAGATACAGAGATGTTAATGAACAAAGTCCTAATTTCTGGAAAACACAAGAAAACACAAAACTGGTTGTCTAGCAGCAGAAACGCAGGAATCTTTTATCAGAGGCAGAAATCTGATCGCCAAATGGGCTTTTACAGGAGCTTACAGAGTGACATGTTTAAATCTCAGAATATACTGAAGATACTTCTTCCAGAAGGAGCTTTCTTCTTTACTAGTCTAAAGTCTTCAAACTTCAAGAAATGCACTGACTGCTAAAATAGGTGTCATAGAAAGTGCAAATATGCCCTTTTCGATGGAAAGCTCACAGTTCCATGTACCTTCATGTAAAACTTAACAGTTTACTGATACCATTGCTACCTAACCAGTAAGACAGCTCATACATCACATAAAAGCTGTTAAATGCTAATAGCTGGTCAGCCACTTTAACCATGACAAATGTTGAGTGTTGTAAAATCAGTCGTGGCAACGTTCAAGCAATGCTTTTAAGACAATTCTAAAGGTTCAGGAGAAACGCATGATCACAACAAAGTCATCTAAGAAAGTAGATTTACTTTGCCAATACACTTGTGAGGTTATTGGCTTTTCCATTATTAAATACAACTGCTCTAAGTGCTGGAAGATGTAACCATGTAAGCCAAAGTGTTTGGATTTGTCTGAAACAGAATTTCATCCCACATTAAATCATTTCACATCAAAATGAAAGGCTTAGTTCAGAAAAGTGCATAAAAAAAAAAAGACAAATTTAAATCACTTAAAGGCACAGGGAGAAATTGGAAGAAGGTAGGAAATAGGCTGCACATCTATTACACTTCACATTCAACAGCTCAACAGCTCAGTGTGATCCTGGGAGCAATTCATAGAGGGGTGGAGTCAACTATAGCTATTTTTAGATCTCACCAAACATAACAGCCTTGCATTTTCCTGCTCCCTGCAATTTGGGGGAAAAATCTGAAGTATTCAAGCTGCCTGCCTGTTTGCTCCCTGCTCCCAGCCTCAACGCTGTAAACAAGGAGCAAATCACTTTCTAAGAGGAGGTTAAAAGCCCTGCTACAGATCATCAAAAGGAAGCAATTTCCAGGTCGGCTAACAGGACATCAGCAGGACTTCAAAAGCGCTGGCACCACTACAATGAAGAACTGCCAGTGCCCAGATGGAAGGTTCTCCTTGCAATGATTTTAAGGGGATATTGAAAAGCTACGGTGATACAAGCTAAGAGCTTCTCCTGTTAAGCAGGAAACGGATGAGACACGAACACAGGAGAAGTGAGGCTCCAAGCCCAAGTGAGCGAGCGAGTGGTGCCAGGCACACCCTGGCCCAATGAAAGGACACCTCCCGGTCACCCAGGCTCCAGGAGCTCTGAGGAGCATGGCACAAACACCTTAATGACACCAGAGTCAGCTGTACCCAGGTGGAAGATCTGCATGTAATAAATTGAAATTTAATAGAGAGAACAAAAATCAGATGATTTTGCCTTACCCTGCTTTTCTTATGAAGTCAACTTGCATGCTCTTCTCTCATAAATTAACTCTGCTGATATTTTATCATGTACACTGTAAGAAAATTCTGATGGTGCAACAGATCACCAAAATAAAATTTGCAAGTGATGTTTCATGATTTACAGTTTAATGATTCTGCTCTGGGCAACTTCAGATTGAAAGGTAAATAGTTAATATCTACTTACCTATACTCATGTGCACCTTAACATCACAAGCAACAGCAATCAGGACATAAATAATTTTCACAGCTTGAAGTCAGGCTGAACTAACAGTAGTGATGAATGGACCATATCCTCAGAGTGTGAATCTTGAAAGTTCCTCCTAAAGCAACTAAATTTCAGTAGCTGCTCTCAGAAAGCAGTAAACTGAATGTCACTGTCAATGTTCAGGATGTGTCACAGCAGAACACTAAGTCAAATATGACTAAAAAGGTAACACAGTAATACCCACTGCTTAATATTACTTGAATACTTGGATGTATTTAACAAACCACTAGAAATTTTACCTCTTTTAACATCACAAGCTTTTGAAAGAAAAAATTAAGTGTCCTCTAATATTTATGCTCAGATTTACTAAGGGGTTTGAATGTTTGCACGTGTTCTCACAGTTCAGCAGAGCACCTGTATTTCAATGGAAAATAATACAATAATCAACTATTCCAACAATTAATGCCATCTAACCTGACCAGAACCATAGGATATCAAATGGAATTGTTACCTGGCTTGTTCCAAAAAAATCTAAGTTGTGATGAAATATCAGAAAACAAACAACAGTGTATTTTATACAAATGCAGAACAAGATACAGAAAACCACACTACATTCCAGAAATGTAGAGCTATCAGTTCAGGTACATAAACTTCTGTCTCTTCTAATAAATTTTGATATCAAAGCATGACCAAGAGCACTGTTCGCTTCTCTGTCAAGTGCATGCTCTTGCTACCCAGCCTCTATATCAGCATCACACTTACAGACCTCTCATAATACTCCATACAAGTCTAGGTGACAACTAATAAGACAGAACAGCCTTATGTATAAATGCAAATGGCTGTCATATGAGAAAATCCAGCTGTAACAGCCCTAGTCCTCAGAACTGGAAATACACCGGAGTCACCTGCCAACAAGAGATGGCATTGTGCAGAACCTGGACAGTATGTGGTAGAGGATGCCTATTTCCAGCACACAGACTTAATAAGCAAGTTACCTGTGGGTACATATGGCTTACCAGAACAGTGCCTAAATAAAATACTACACTGACAACAGTGGTCAAAAACAAAACTTTCAGACAAAATGGTTTTGGCCAATCTTTTTCCAGAGCTGCAGGGTTAGCAACAGATTCACTGCAAGTTTGTAAAATGTCTTCATTCAAAACAAAGCTTGGCTCTAACTTCATGCAAATGACTATTACTCTTCTCTATGTGCATTTCTCATGTGTTTTTTTCAATTTTACATGTAAATAGTAGTAAGAGCTACAGTGTCTTAATGAAATGTTATTAAAACAATCAAGCCGAATGCATACTCTGATGCAATCTCCTGGCCCTAGAACTTTTATCATAGTTAATCCAGCATTTGAACTACATTGATTGAACAGAAAGAAAAAAATACTTTGGTTGGAAACTCAAGAGTCTTCCCCAAGAGCATTTTTTGAGACATGTGCATTTGGTGCATTCAGAAAGACATGTTGCTCCAATGTACATTTTATGAGCCAGAATAAAGATATCTGTAGAACAAAAGCTAAGAGGATCCAGGGAGATGAGTAATGAACCCTCAGCATCAGAGATTTTTTCAATTCCAGTGTATGGCTTGCACAGCAGATTAAAGTAAGGCTACAGACACGCAATCAGCTAGGGCATCCCTGTGCAGAAACAGTTTGTGTGTCGACCTAAATTTGAAATGAACCACACAATGATAAATAAATTGCTTGCAGCCTAGTCTTGCAATCTAAGCCATGTTCTGAAGGCTTAATATTAATCAGCGTCCCCCTGCTGCCCTCGTTCCTGTCATTGTGAGATACCCACTAAGCTACATTGCTGGAGTAGACCCTTCCAAACTCTGCTTTAAATTTCTTTTCTGGGTGCTAACCCATTGAAAATCTCACGGATACAAAAGCAAAGGATGCAGTGAGATTTGCCACTTCCAAATCACACACAAAAACAGCATGTAGATTTCACCAGGTTGCTGAACATAGGGTTCCTGCTATCCAGAATGATTTTGCTCCCACTAGCTTTGTTCTCCTATTTCCTGGTACAGCTTTTCAGATCAATCTCCACTTTCAATTACCAGCTGGGTTACTGATCTAGTGACATCTTCTGTAAAATGAACCAAGATCCTATATTCCATTGCAAAGAGTAAAAGGAGCAAATGAAAAAAATACTTAAGACCAAAACTTGTATTTAGGCATCTATAATAAATCTCCCATTTCTATACTTGACCCAACACCAAAAAAGGCTGATTTCCAGAGATAATGAACTCTGGAAAAAATGGAGCAACCAGTGCTCTATTCCTCTACAATTAGGGCAGTGTGTATGCTTTTGTATAAACAGGAATATAGGAACATGATTTTAGGCAGCTGCACTTGAAACTTTTGGTCACATTCACCACAGTGAAGAAACCTCAGGACAAACAGCTGAACCCCCCTCTGCAGCACGAAGCTTCACACTGCAATAATGAATGATGTCACTGACTCCTTCCAAACAACACAGACTTGCTGCTTTGCACAATGCAAAGCATTTAACACCATCTGCAATAGATTTCAAATCTGCTAAGGTTGCTCCCCTGTTTTGGTATGGTCTGCATTCCATCTTTTAAACAAAAATGTGATTTTAAAACAATTTAGTTATTCTGGTGCAAATTGGTGTGAATGCTTCTTTCTGTAAACTGAGCTTTGCTAAACTGAGTAAGAATATGTTTAAGCTGACTTGAGTTACCTGTACACACCTATATATAGAAACAGGTCGTCTCATTTTGAGCTTGGAACTAGTAAGACACCAGCTGGGCCCAGTCCAGAGATTAAGCAACCATACTAGTGAACCATTTTGGTTAACTCAGCACTTCAACAGCAACATCACCAACTTGGCAACAGCTTCCAGTCCACCAGCTGTATCAGCACGTGTTTTGAACAAGTTCTTACTTGTATTCAAGTAAACACGCTCTAAGTGACCACAACCAACCATCATCGATTTAATTAGCCAAGCACCCACTGCTGCCCAGCTCACTGACTAAGCTCTCATGCCTCTGTGCAGGCTTGGGATTCTGCCCAGGCACATGAGAGTTCATGATCCTCATTTCCAAATACACTGCTAAATTACAAGTCAGTTTGCAGCAATGCATTTAAATTAGCAATCACATCTTCTCACTTGTAAGTGTACTTAGTGTGAGTAGTTAAATGTGAGTCTTTCATTACATCACTGTCTTGTGTGCCTGAGTCAGTGAATTGGTCACAGTCTCTCTCTCCTGATGATTATTCACACTTCTTGCAGCAACACCTCCCAGCACAACCAAACACCCCAGATGTTCGCGTGCACTTCTGCATCAGAGAAACCAGCACAGTTCCCTTCACCGATCCTCCACATAAAGTCTCCCTGCCCTCTGCATATTTGCCAACTACAGAAGAGTCCTTCTGAAACCTTAATTCTTAGTGTCCAAGATGTCACATCACTTAGCACGCAGATGTCAACAGATCATCATAGCTCTCCCTATCCCTTCATAGCATAGTTCTTTTTCCAGTGTTGATGCTCTGTATCTGGCAGTGACACTCTTTGGAATCTATTATTAGTGCTGGGATTCCCAACCTGTGCCAACACAGAAAATGCTAAAATGATCCTGCTCAAAGGGTGTGTCTTTCTCCTTTTACTTCTCTAATCAGAGTATAATAAGCTGAAGCCTAAACCCCAAGAAATAAAAATACAAAATGTGTTTTTATTTTAAAAATACATCCAGAATGTGTTTTTTAAGTAAATTATGCATAAGAACTGTAACACTGGGCCCACAATAAAGGAAGGGTAATATGATATACTCACTCCATACAACAGTACATTTTCCAGCACAGAACTGTATTTATCACCTTTATAGGCGACTTTGTTAACTTCACTGTGGTTTTTATTTCTTTCTTTGTTCCAGGTACACAAGAACCTTTTCCTAGTTTCCTTTTAAAAAGGTTATCTTATTTCAACAATGATCCAGTTAGTGCCACGTTTCTCATCAGGTCTGAGTCACAGGCACCTTGTGCTAGTATCAGATTACTCTGCTATCCATATGCAACTGCAGTTTTGAAAATTTTTCCAAGAAAGTGGTTGTTGTTTTTCTATAAATTTAAAAATCTAATAGAGACAAACATAAACAGAAGCAGAAAAGGTTCTTCAGAGTGTTGAGACAGGAGTTAGTACTTTAACTTTTTCTGTTTCAGACTATACATTCCTGAGGTAGAATGGGTGTATATATGACCTCCACTCTTCTGATATTCCCCACAAGTTTTAAAAGGGCTTTTAATAGCCTAAGTACACTAAACTTATTGCATCAACGAGTCATATTTTAGGAGTGTAGGTTTAACTCTTCATTCTTTTGAGGCACCACTATAGGTACGCATGACTTACACACTGTGAGGATACTGCAAGTATCTGGTGTCAGTACCTTGGCTGCGTGTCAAAACCACAACCTCACATAGCGCAAAGCTTCCATCTGTATCCTCGGCCTTATGCGGGACTGAGGACACTGCAGACACCAAACGAAGCCTGGCTGCTGCCCCGGCGATGCCAACCAAGCCTGCAGCGGCCGGGCAGCTGCCGGGACGGGGCTGTGTGCTGGGGGCTGGGTTCGCCCCTCGAGGCGGGCTGCCCTGGCGGGGAGGGCTGGGTTCTCCCCTCGAGGCGGGCTGCCCCGGCGGGGAGGGCTGGGTTCTCCCCTCGAGGCGGGCTGCCCTGGCGGGTTGGGCTGCTCCAGGGCCCGGCTCTCGGTACCGTACCTGGATGAGGCCCCGGCCGAGCAGCGCGGTGTGCACGCAGCCCGGCACCTCCGCTCGCAGCGCCACCGAGCCGTTCCCGCTGCGGAGCCGCCAGCTCCCCCGCAGGCTGCGCACCTCCGGGCCGCCCGCGGACACCGCCAGCGGCAAAAGCAGCGCCGGCAGCAGCAGCGCAGCGAGGCCCATGGCGACAGCCACCGCCACCAGCGAGCTGGGGCGGCGCTTCCAAGGGAGCAAGGGAGGGGATGGGAGGGAGGACGCCGGCGCCGCTGCGGGCGGTGCAGCGCGACTGCGCGCGGGGCTGCGGGCGGCCGGGGCGGCGCTGGCGCTGAGCGCGGGACAGCGGCCGGGCCGCGCTCCCGCCCCGGCTGCGGCGGCTCCCGGCGCGCAGCCCTGCCCCGGCACGGCGGCCAAGGGGCCGGATGGTTTGCTTTTCTCCAAGAGGCGCGGCGGTGCAGTGATAAGGGGAGCTCCAGTACGGGTAACCAATCTCTCAGATGCAGCAAATGCACTCGGAGCTCTAGAATACGGCAGGGAGGCGGCAAGGGATGAGGAAGAGCTGTGATAACACCGGAGTGGGTTCTCTCAATATTGGCTCCCCGCGAGTCGTGACGCTTTTATATGGCCTCAGACTTCCACATCTTTTTTCCCATAAAATTACAGAAGCATATAAAACTGTAGCAAACGTCATGGACATCTCAAAGTACTGTGGTTTCCTCATAAAGAAGGGCTGTGGATTTTGTGTATGAAAAATCAGTAAATTCCTCTGCAAAAGGACAGAAGCATCAGCTCCTAAGAAAGAACATACAAGAACTATGGTTTTCAAATTACACTGTAGCTTTCCTGTGTGCCCTTGCTAAGTTAATCCCCTTCATTCACAGCCCAAAAGCAGGAATTAAAACAAGTTTTTAAATAGCTCTGTGGAAGGCTTTAACTACTGTCCAGGTGTAACACCCATGGTACTTCATGCTCTGTGCCCACTGCACCAGGGGGTGCAGGGGCTTCCAGCTCACCTCCATAAACTGGCAATGTTTCACACCAGGCCCTCCCAGACTGACAAGAACAGGAACACCAGAGTTTTGTTTTTGCTCCTGGCTTTCACACACCTGTTTCAGCATACTGTAGCAACCCACTCTAAAATTTGTCTTTTAAGGCATGACTGAAGCATGGTCAACATACCTATATATTTTTGATGCAAATCGTTTTGAGCAGACAACCCTTTATTTCAATGCAATACAAAAATTTCAGTCCTTCCACTCACCTCCAATAAAAAGTATATAATCCAGCCACAGTTAATATTTTCACCTGTGAGAGCACAAAAGGGGGTGCAGTTCTGAGAAATACTGACTCAAAGAGACAGTAGCTGATCTTTTTTTCTCTTAAAAAATTTCTGCTGCTAACTTAAAAGAGATAGCTGGGACCCACACCTTTGGGCAGCAGAAGGCCATGTAGAAACTTAGCTGTTAGAATAGTTGCTGTGTGTCAATATACTAACTAACTGAAATGCTGGTCCTGTTCCAGCTCAACTCCCAGCTGTCTTTTAGTGAGATTGCCAAAAAAGGCTATCATCCTAGATTGACTTACCCCAACTGGCTTTGCATGCTGTAAATTCAGTCAAAATTAGCACCTTCTCACCTTTACTAGTCCACACTATAAAATAATTATAGATTAATAGTATAAAGCCGTACTCTGTTTCTGTCCTCATCTGTCAATGAGTAATGTTTTCAGGGCAATCAAACATTTCAGTGTTCTTTCCTTAAATTCACTGATACCACACTAAAACCATTTAAACATTGTAGTGCTGCTTGAGAGATCTTACAGGATATTATTTCTCAAGAAGCAGATTTACAGCGGTCAAAAAAGAAACTACTTTCTTTTTTCTTTTTTTTTTTTTTTTTTTTTGTTTAGTAAATCTTTTCCAGCAAGTCACATGATAGGTTCCCAGTAAGAAGGAAACTGCATTTCACGATGTTTACTGTACTTCCGTACTTTGCCTTTTATTATTTCTGCTTAAGACTGACTGGAGCAACACACACACCAAAAGACCTCAACCTAAAAACAGTGCTGTAATTAAGTATTCTGAGAACATGCTGTTTCCTTGTTCAAGGTTTATAATTAAGTTAAACCATGTCTCATTTTCATGTCCCAGTTTTAGGGTTTGGTTTTTGTTTGTTTGAGGGTATTTTTAAATGACATTTTTGCTGTTTCAAAATATGAATTTTAAAGGCTGTGATTTAATCTTTTTAAATCTTAAGGCACAAAACAAGATAAACTGAGTACTTTCTTTTAGTGTGTACTCTATTAACCCTCTTTCTGAAATACCACAAATTTAGGAGATCAATACAATTCTTATTTTATGATACTGCAAGCAGATATTCTGTATCAACTAAGACAAAAAGCTGAAGGCAAAACCATGCCTTTGGCTCTATTACAATAAATTCAGAGCAGTTCCACTGTAGCTGCCCAAATTCTGCCATGTTAATCCAGATGTCCTTTGTTTCCAAATGCTATATAATCTCTGTCATTACAACAGGGTGCTGCGATGTTCTCTTTCAAATTCATGTTCAATAAGCTCATGTAAGGGTTTTAAACAAAAAGGTTCTCACAGATTTGGATGCAGTACTTCAAGATATTACTGCCCCCACCTGTTCACCCTGTACCATTCTTCTGCTGAAGGTAAACACCTCTGAAGCCAAACAGGACTTATGTTCACAGCAGCCCAGACCAGGGCATGCTCTCTCTTTTGGTAACTGTGTGCTGCTGCGGATACTGCCACCACAGACCATTTGTCAAAGATGCAATATCAGTGTATACATGTTTGTATGAGTGTAAATACCTTCAGGCAGTACAGAATATCCATAAGAAAGCTCCACAGCTCCTCAACATAATGCCAGAACTCTGTTTTCTGACTGCATCTGTGGAACACATACACTGTACAGAACAGTTACTCTCTGCACTGGAGTAAAGATAATATGATGCAGGGAGCTCTCCAGCTATGGATTTCTAAAGGACATTATTCTGTACTTATTTTGAACTCCATCCAAAAGAATGTTAAAAATAAAATTAAAAAATAAATTAAGATTGCTTTTAGAGGACACTATTAATACATCATTAGAAGACAATACTGTAGTTGGTTATCATGAGCAAAATACAAAGTGACAATCTAAATGGTAGGCCTGAAGTTTCTTTCATATTTATGGCAAAGTCTATAGGCCACTGCGAGGGGATTTCCTTAGCAAACAAAATTACCCAACACTAACAATCATGAGTAATTAAAAATAAGTATGTAGAAGGGAAGCTACTGCTCCAGGCAAATGCTGTAATGGAAGGGGAAAAGCAAAAAACACGTAATAATAACTTTAAAATTTCAGAAGCAGAAAGACAGGTGATGCCTTCAGTATCACCTTCAACTTCATCAGGCATGCTGGGGCAAAAGCCTGTATTTGTATCTCTACATAACATCTTGCTTTGAGATGCACTTAAACCAAAGATTTAGGTGTCAGGTCACCACCTTCCACAGAACAGGCACAAAAAAGCCTAAGGATCTTCAAAGCCAGCATGACTGGATTTCTAAAGTCATGTTATTTAGAAGGCAGAATTCCCACAGCTTTTATTCTCTTCATTTTATAAACAAATTTGAATCAATCCTAATCTATTTATAAAATTATGTAACACTGATCATTGCCATTTACCCTTTGTTTCATAAGCAGCAAAATCAGTGTCTTGTATGGTGCTGTCCAAGCTCCCCCTCAATTCTCATTAAAATGTACTTAAAATATATGGATTCTCTGGCACTTACAGAAAATAAGTAGCACAAATGCAGACACTATGAAACAGGTTGTTTAGCCTTTTCGTAGAGGCTTAAAACTAGACAGTCATCTGTGACCACAGTAAAACTTGTCTTTGAATGCTTAAAATGAAATCTCTCAACATGTGAGTATCTGTAGGTAGCAAACTCTTCCCCATGATGGAAGTTTGAGAGGCTTCACTGAGCCCATGTGTGCGACACTGGACCAGCTGAGAGCAGGATGTACGAGATACATCACACTACCTACGAAGCACACATCCAGCCTATTGTTTTAATGAACGTTTTCTATGCAGGTGAGTATTAAGAGAATGTCAACAAAGGTTTGTAGCTGATAAATTGGATGAGTACATGTAAATGGATTCAGAGTTGCTGAAACAGCTAGGAACTGCATTTATTTTTCTAACTTAGGTGACCCCAAACAAACCACTGGGGCAGGTCAGGACCTCTGTTTCTCAGACCTTCAGTGTGGCTAATGGTCCTGGCTTCAGCCCTAGGAAAAATTCTGTCCCTTCATTTCTACCAAAATGACTCTAATGCAAACACCAGGGAATAGTCAAAATAACTTTACTGAACACTGTGGGTACTTGACAAGACACTTTTTTTTCTCTTGAAAGATTCATGATTATTTCATCACCTGTAAGAATTTCCAGAATTCTTAATCAATGAAGTTCTCACTCAATCAACTCAAGCCCAATTAGACAACAGCATAAGCCAAGATCATGGCTACACAGGCAAAAATATCCACTTCTCTGAATTATTCCAGTGAAAACCCTTGTACATAACAGAGCTTCATCCTCATGCAGTCCAGGAAGCTATGTGCCCTATCACTTGCTGCACTGGTACAAATGTCTCAGGAGTAACATTTACAAAAAACTGACTCTTGCAATTCATGAAACAGGCATACTTCTTAATACGGGCTGTATTTTTTTCCCAAATGACTTCATACATAAACAGCACTAAAAATACTCCTTTATATATACACCCATCTGTTTAAAAAAATGCATTATGTGCTTGATTCTCATGGCAACAAAAAGGAAAAGACTACTGCAGTATACAAAGAGTACTGTAAGGATAGATTATATCTCAAATTGGAAAGGACTCATATGGATCATCAAAAGTCCAACTCCCTTCTCCTTGCAGGACTGAATAAAGCTAAACCATATGACTAAGAGGAACATCCACATATTTTTTAACTCTGTCAGGCTTGATGCTGTGACCATTTCCCAGAGGAGCCTGTTCCAAGTGACCAATCACCCTCTCAGTAAAGAACCTTTCCCTAATGTCCAACCTGAAATTCCCTGACACACCTTCATTCCATTTCCTTGTGTCCTCTCCTACTGTCTGACTAGATCTTTTGTTTTGGTACTAGTCAGAATTCTAGTATTTTGATATTTGCACTGGAAGAAGG